TAAATACTTCATACTATGTATGTTATTAGAATTTAAAACTGAAATTTTTTTTCATATTAATCTTAATATTACATGACTAACTTCGGTAACATATTTCTAAACTTAATTATAAATTTATTCATAAGTCTCGATAGTAAAACAAACTAAAAGGTAATAAAACCTCAAAGTACGAAATATTACCTAGATTTTATTTTTATGTATTGTAATGAAACAGTTTGATTGAGACTACAGTTAAGTAAATAGTAATGGAAAAAATTACAGTACATAAATTAAAGTGTTTTCATTACTTACATAAATTAAAGAATTTGATGTAGCTATCAGAAGAATTCAGAATGTCTACTAATTAAAAGTAGATTGGTAGGTTGAATATAATAAATAAAACATAAGTTACTATAAAATTAAGGATTTATTTCGAAAATTTTCCATTTATATTGATACCAATCCAAAATATAGTACATTGCAATTAACGCATGTATTATCCTACTTTTGTATTACAAATCTTCACAGGTCTATGATAGTTTGAACGTGAACAATGATAAGATCTTCTCGTTTGGCAAATTAAAATTTAATATGCGTATCCATATCCGTACCCACAAGCACCGAAAGCACATGGGTTCCTGAGGATGGGCGCGGAAGTGAAGAGTGGAGCTGGGGCAGCAGCCAAGAGAGGAGCAGAGCGAAAAATTGGTGCTGATGCCAGAAGAGGAGCTGAGCGGATGATTGGTGCTGATGTTAGCAGAGGAGTAGCAACTGGTAATGGGGCTGCGATGGCCAATGGAGCAGTGGCGCCAGCCAAGAAACCTGGTTTCGGCTCAGCATAGACGGCGGCCATGCAGACGAACAATACTGTGAGTTTGAACATGGTTGCAAATTGCTGCGATGATTCTCTTACTAGAGCAAAATCGAAACTGATGTCGATGGGATGTGAGCTCGTAGCTTTTATACAAAATAGCTGCAAGGCCAGGCGCCTTATATCCCGGATGAGTCGGTCGAAACTTTGCAGAGGAATTGCATAATCCGAAAGTACCTGCTTTCGTACAGGGCAGGAGAAGGCGTGCTTTTTACGTATATGAAGGTCAATGATGGCTTAAATGATGGTGGAGTTGTAACGTGAAAGAATTGTATACGGTTTGTACAACGAATCTCGTCGATAATCGTTATATTTAGATTACGTATAATGCATATAGTATTTATATTATATATTCTGTTTTTGTTATATTTTCTGGTGAAAATAATTTTCAATTATTGGATTTGTTCAAAATATAACTGCATCTATGAAAATGTAGAATTTTTCAAAACGCAATGAAAATTTGAATCTTCAAAACTTTTGAAAAATAATTTATAATAATGTATGACCCTCGAAAAAATATTTTTTTTAAAATTGAATTTATTTTCTGCTGGCACTTTCTTACTCTTGACTTTTTGATTGTGACGAATTATTCTAATATTGATGTAGAAAGTTTTATTTAACATTTTTGAAAATTGCTCTTGGAACTTTGGTTATAATCTTTGACTGGCGGAATTCTGTCAATTTTGCATGAAAAAACACCTAACTGTAAAATGTCCGCAAACTATTTTGCTACTTATTGAGTAGTTAGAACATTTATATGATGTTTTGAAATACAAAATAAAAAGTTTTGAAAAAGTTTGTACTTTCTTTGGAGTTTGACAAACAATAGATGACCTTGGAATCGGAGACTTGCGTATTCAAAATTTTACGTTTATGTAAAAAACCGTGAAAACAACAGATCTACCTAAAGATTGAAATCAATATTTTTTATCAAAAAGATATAAAATATAAAATTCACTAGTTCATATACGATAATTTAAAGAATTAAAGTGAAGGACATCGAAGAAAAATTTATCAGTAAAGGAATGGCATTATTACAAATCTTTTCTAAATGAGAAACCCTTTCGTAAAAGATTCATTTACTGAAACCCACTTGTTTATATTATAAAATTGACTATTCGGTTGCTAAGCAGATTGTTCCATATCAGTGATTTTGTTTGAATAGGATTTACTTTAGCAAAATTTTGCGGATTTTCGACTTTTGACAAAGCTTAAATTTCTGATAATAATCAAGGACATCGATATCAAAAAAATTCATATTAGAATGCAATAGTATTATTATATCGACCAGTTTATCCAGTTTATCCTACAGAACATCTGACATCCACGCCCATCTCCCCACCCAGCAAACAGGATTTACCGTCGAGCGTACGCGAATAGCAGTGTACCCACTGTTCTGTATAAAAGCTGTCAACATACAACGATACGGCATCAGTTTCGATCTTACTTTAGTAAGAGAATCATCGCAACAACTCATAATCATGTTCAAGTTTGCAGTATTGTTCGCCTGCATGGCTGTCGTCTATGCTGAGCCGAAACCAGGTTTCTTGGCTGGTACTGCTGCTCCATTAGCCATCTCAGCACCGTTGCCAGCTTTGGCCCCAACGACAATCATCCGTGAATCTCCAGTCATCACTACTAGCACGATCTACCGCTCGGCTCCTCTTTTGGCACCAGCACCAATCATCCGCTCGGCTCCTCTTCTGGCACCGGCACCGATCATCCGCTCTGCTCCTTTCTTAGCTGCTGCCCCAGCTCCAGTCTTGTCATCCGCACCCATCCTCAGGAGCCCATGTGCTTTTGGTGCTTGCGGATATGGATACGGATACGGATACGGATATTAAATCTAAATATCCCGAATAAGATTTTCTAATTTTACGCTATGCGTAACAGTTGAAATGGATACTGAATTTTAATATTAAAAGCTTAGAATTTTGTTTTGTTAACTCTATTCAGTACCTACAAGCCATATACATGAAAATCTAATCATGTCATCTTAGTATTCTTTCTACATTTTGTACACTAGTCTGGTATCAGTAAAACTATAAAAATTTAATAATAAATTTTCAATATCACTCAATAAATTTTGTGCCAAGTTATTACCTAAACCACTCTTCTTATCGTACTTTTTTAATATATATCTGATGTCTGATGTCTGTTTATGACATCAATACCAACAAAATATTTGTTTGACTGTTATTTAGATGTTGCTAAATATATTGTTATATGCTGTTATATATTTTGCAACATCTAAATAAATTAAATAAAAAATAAGCATTAAAATTTTCATATTGTATATTATAAGTTTCAATTTTTTTTCAGATTGCATGAAACAGTGTAAATGGTAATCCAAAGAAAGAATTCTGTTCCATAAGTAGCTCTACTGTAATATAAAGTTGAGTTTAGTTGTATATGATTACTCTCGATCATATTAAATCTTGCAAAATTCTAGAGCAAAGAAATAAGAGAGTGACACCCAAATACTCTAAATAAAAACTATCTCCGCTCAATTTAATGTTGATAGTGTTTCGCTGGTTTGTCTTCCAACCTCGTCAAATCCAGCGCAACTAATCTTGAAAAATTCTTCAGTTGAACCTGATGAGGTTGGAAAACAAATCAACGAAACGCTGTCAAAAGTCAAGGTATAGATTACTTGAGATAATTAAAGTAATTGCTTGATTTTTATAATTCCACAAATACCAGCCTGGTATGTCAAATACAGAGCAATCTTCATTTTAATTCCAAAAGCCCTACGTATAGGTATGCAGGTACTGAGTAGATGTGACAATAATCCTAAGTCAGCATCGAAGTTGACCATGCAACGCCGTTGATTGGACGAGCGGATGAGATTGGAGCTGGAGCAACCACAACAGCGGGGCGAGCGATCGGTGCAGTAGCCACCGGGGGAACTGGACGAACGGTAGGTGCTGGAGCCGCAGTCGCCAAAGGCGTTAAAACTAAGCTTGTACAGCGGCCAAGCAGACGAACAAAATTACAAATTGGAACATGGCTTTCGATGTTTCTTCGAACTGAAATAGACGGCAACTAATGCTGGTCCAGTGGTAAGCTTTTATACAAGTGTTTGAATAAATAGTTTTCACTTGCTGATGCGAGGCGAAGGTCAACAAAACCGTATACAAACAAAGAAAGACAATGAAGACAAAAAAGCAAGAGTAAATGTCTCCTCTTTGGGCGTGCAAGGCTACGAATGCAATCCAATTTTTACACATGCGATTCGATGTATCCTGCAATCGTATAGCAGATCAAAAAAGCGAAAGTGTACAGACTCTCGAAATGGATGAATCACATCCAGAATGACTTTCATTTGGTTCGATTGGCGAAATCCCGAAAGCATATTATCGACCATCGCTGTGATTTCCATTATGTTCCCCGCCGTCCCATCGTCAAATTTCACATTATGCAATTCTTCTGAATACGCATTTTAATCTTTTAACCGAATCTGTATAAAGTCGTCGGTATCAGTTCCAATCATTTCTTCAACCAAAGAACCATCGCAACCAATTACAGTGAAATGGAACAACGGAAGAAATCAATTATAATCTTGAATTGTTATAATATACTTATATATTTCCTCGAGGCACAGTTTTGATATTCAATACCGAATAAATACCGCTATAGATAACGGATTTTTTCATATATATTAATCATGGTCACTTAACTAAGTGAAAAAATAATTCCAACGGAAAAAACAGCTGAATCTTTATTTTCAATTTATTTGTTAAGTGTAATATTTTTAAAAATATAGCTTCGATAAATTTTTGTTAAAAAATGCTTTTATGAGTTTGATACACACAAGTCAGCTTCCTAATTGAATTCTTAATCTTTGCACAGTTGGGATAGGCCAATGTAGATACACAGATACAGAAATTGTCTCACAAAACTTTGAATTATGTATTCAACACTTCTTATTAGACAGATTAATCTTTACGCTTGAAATTTTTCAAAAGAAGAATGAAAAGAAAACAAAATGGAATAAATACAAATTTAAATAAAATAAATGCAAATTTTATTGAAAGATCATCCTCATTGATAACACAATTTTCGCGTTAACTACACTTCAAACTCGTTCATTTTAATTACGCATTAAAAGCGAATAAATGTACATGACGATTTGACTAGACTAAGAGATCTACCAGCTATTCAAGCCTGTATTAATAGGCAATGCAGCAGGTGCACCATAAATTGGAGCCGGAACAGCGGCAGCCAGAGAAGGTCTGAAAATCGGCGCTGATGCTCCGTAAGTTGGCGCAGGCAATGCGATTGGAGAAGCGTAAGATGGAGCCTTGACAATGGGAGCAGCGTAAGACGGTGCGGGGAATGCAATCGGTGCCCCAAATGAAATCGGAGCCGCAGCTCTCAACGGTGGACCGTAGACTGGTGCGGGAACTGCCGATAGCGGCAAGGCAGCCGGCGTGAAGGCTGGCGCAGCGAAGGATTCCTCTACCAGAGCACCGCCGTGGTCGTTGCCGTGTAGGAACCCAGCCTTGGCCGCAGCCACAGTGACCAAAAGGATCGCAAGCTTATACATGGCGACTGCGCGTTGTTTCTTGATTGCAACGAGATGCGAAACTGATGCTGTCGGAGTGCGAAGCCACGGCTTTTATACGATTTTTTTTCTCTGTCGATGAGGTAGTTGTGATTATTCTCGGGTGCATCTTATTGGGTGAGATCGACTTTCTCGACAAAAATGAGAGCACGCGATTGTGCTTACGCGTTCGTTGGCTTATTACACAAGTTGGATTCATATTCAATAAAGATAAAAAGGACAACGATACGCGATGAGGTAATTGAATGTTGCTTTTTGGTAGGTTTCATTCGTTACGTGTATTGATTGATATTTTGCGATAATATTTAATCTTTCAAGTCGATTTGCCACTGACACGAACTAGGGTAATTAAATATATTAATTTGATATGAATTTGTATTTCAATCGATGAGTTTATTTACATTTCAAATGACGATTTTATTTATTACTGATACGGGCCTTTCGTATTATATAATTTCTGACAAGAAAAGAAATGTTGTATAAGTTATATTTATAGTTTTAAAAGTGAAAATTTTTCAAAGAAAATACGGTAATTATAATAATCTTGGTCACATAAAAGCATTAAGTAAAGTATTTCTATGAAAATATTCATGCCTCTAAATATCCATCTCTAAATTATTTTACAAATGGTGAAAATACGTATTAATCTGAATTAATACGTATTTTCACCATTTGTAAAATTAAAGCAACATTTTGTTCTGTGATTTAGAGTCTTACATTTGAGATTCATTCTTATCAAATTTAAACGGTGCACTACAAATCTTTGAAATTTATATCGCTATATGTACCATATAACTAATCATAACTACACTCTATGGATACATTACTGAAATTACCTAACCTACCACCACTATAATTATCCTGGCTTGCTCAATGGTTTTCGGAATTCTGTAGGGAACGATTACTTCTCAAATAATCATTAAATTTAATGAAAAAATGTAATGTGCGATGAAATGGTGTTTAAGTGATCTTATTTTATAGATAATGCACGCTCTCTTCAATTGTGTGTCATTCAATGACAATTTGTAGAAATGAATTACATTTATTTAAAAAATGTTTTTCATGCAAGCGAATGACTTCAATTGTGTAGTTGTTCATTCCATGCCAGTTCAGCTGACCTATTTAAATTTTCTGCTTTACTAAATCAAATATGTTTTAATGAATAAAGCTAACTACAAAAATTTTATGGTTGTTAATTTCTCTACATAATTTTTAGTTGGAAATGAAACCTATTCTGCGAAAACAAAATTATTTAATTTGGTTTAGCGAAATGTATAATTTTGTTTTGGTGAAAAATAAATCAAAAGAGCGTATGCCAAATTTATTCCATGCTGAAAAGTAATAGATGCAAAAAATATATATATTAATTATGGTTGTGTAACAAATGGCAAACGAATGCATTTTAAAAGAATATAATATTACATAACTTCTGAGCTTGCAAACTTGTTCTGAATTCAACTCATGTTGCGAAAAGAGAGAAAATTTTGATCTGAATTATATGAAAGTAATTCTGACCTTGGCAAATCCATTCTCTTACAATAAAACAAGAAAAATGAATTTAAAAAATAAATATTTAGGAATTACGATATTCATGTTAAACTATGTATAAGTTTAATATTAGTTGATATCTCAACTTCTTATACCTGTTAGATCTTTCGAAAACTTTAAGAAAGCTGAATCTACTTAAGAAGTCAGTAATATGAAACTTCAATCTATAAGCTGTGATGAGCTAATAGATACTCCAAATTATCATGTCTAAGAATAAAGCGATATCCATATAAACTTTATAATGATAAAAAAAAATAACTAGTTTACAAGCTTGTTTAACCATCATTCATGTTCGAACTTTGAATATCTACTGAAACATATTGTCTTCCGGCACAATCTGTTTTTTCTCCCTCATACAATTTTCGCAATGGCCAAGCAACCGAAAGCTCGCATTTCACTTAATGAATCCCAAAACGTCCGCAAAATCGATTTTCAATTAACTGCACTCGTGGTTGCTCTTTGTTTTACGCTGGCGTAAATTAATGCATCGTTTACCAAACAAAAAAAGAAAAAAAGAAAGGAGAAAAACAGAGCGAGCGAACTACCGAGCGCCAAGCTGAAAAGTGAAAGTAGGAAGCGGTCGGCATATAAAGAGAGCCGGCCGCACTTGATTTTCAAGTACGCTCGTTTTGTCGGATTCACATACACGCAAGGCGTTATCAGATATTTATTTTTTACTTGTCAGCAATCATGTTGTAGACTGTCTATACGATTATAATTCATGTTTTTATGCACAAAATGAAGTAACTCTTTGTGACTTTTGGTACTTTTATCTTGCGTATTGAAAAACATTCACTGTTGTGTAAGGCGTATTCATTTGTATTTTTAACAAAAAGCCTACAAAAGAAATATAGCGTTAGTTGCAACCTTCAATAACGACATTTATTTATGATTTATTTTTGCAAATCTGAATAAAATCGATCGTGTTTTGTTAAAATTCATGTAACGTTTCCCACTCCCGGCCACTTTTAAATATCATTAAGTAACACTTGTAAGGGAATCATCAATTTTTTGTCTCATGTAACAAAAACAGGTTTGGTCACTTTGAAAGCATTATCCGGTCGAAGCATCATGAAGCCTCAATAAATGAAATTGTGTATAAGTATTCACGCTAAAATATTTTTTTTTAATGTTTAATTACATATATTGAAATCAATTTAATACAATATGATTTTTATTAACAAGAGAACCTTTACGGAAATTTACATCTAAAAGATCATTAGTTTTGTATATTTCGTGTCAACGTCATTAATTTGTTATTATAAAAACAACAAATTAAGTTTTTACAATCATTTTATACAATTGTAATCAAGGATACTTCATTTCCAAATTAACATCTTCTGTATTGTCATGAAAAGAAAGGAGATCGTCCTTCTAACAAAAAACCCTTGTCTTTGCAAATTCGTACTTTAAACCCAGCAAAAACCTAAACCAATTTTCCCGAGAGGAAAAGGAAGAAAAGAGCCTTGCAGTATAATGAAGGTGTCAACTGAAACTGCATCCGCCTACGCTCGGACGGACGTTTCGTTTATTCTTTCAAGCAATTCAAATTTCCTTTTTGGCTTTTTCAATTAAGTCATTACCGTTTCATTGTTTTCTCTCATTAAAGAAAAGATTTAACAGATCTTGTACAGATTCTTTTGAATTCAAATAATCTTATAGTGAAAGGTGAATTAGGTTGAAATTAAACGAGTAATTAGAAAGAAGAATATGTTGTTTTATAAAGAATATGCCATTTAATATCAATTTTTTCAGTATACTATGAAAAAAAATTGATATAGTCACAAATTCAAAAGTCCATTTTTGGGCGTGAACCCCGGTCGCAAAATACAAAATTTAAATATCATATCGACATCTTGTATTTCGTGATATACCGTTATCCATTTACTGCTTGAATAAAGAACGTTTCCAATAATCTCCTGTTTTCGAATTCCTCAATATTCACTACAGAAAGCGTAAGAATCTTCCAAACAAAAAAAGATACAAGCCTGTTTTTCGTTCTCCATTATTGCCTTATATACACTCGCGCGCGCGCGCACGCGCCTATATTCAGCCTTATCGTTCTCGCCCGTGCATTCATATTAAATTCACGCGAATACGGCAGCGATACTCCCATTTGTTTCTGGAATCTGTTTTTTTTTTCTCTTTTTCGTCGATTAAACCCATTTTGCACCATGAACATTGAAGTCACACATTGCGGCGTCAATTTACCGACTGACTGAACTGCTGCTCTTTTTTTTGTAACTCGGTAATGAAAAATTCTCGACTTTGTAAACTTGACTCGTGGAGATGTCAATCGGGTTAACCGCTCGGTTAATTGCATGCGGAGTATTATGTAATTTGACATTATGGTGATATGAAATATTATACGGTTTGTTCGGATAAGTCTGAGTAGCGTGAGAAAAGTCTGGTATTGATTAACAATGTGATAAGCAAAAGAGATAAGAGAAAAGTTCAGGTAATAAAATTAATTACCATGTGCATATCTGACCGCATGTGCGGGTAAAGTATAAATCGTTTACCAACCTTTTAATCCTGGTCAATGAAACCACTAAAGCATATACATGCAAAATCTAAATCTTCAATGTTTTCTTTGAGCAATTTTTTTGTGCTAATTGTATTGATATACTCACTATTTATTCACTTATAATTATAAATTATCCTCTAATTTAAAAAATTATTCACCACAAACTCGGAGGTTAGTAAAAATCAAAATAATCACAACAATATTTAGTTTACAGATAATACAAAAATTGCTAAAATCGACAATTATGTATAAACAGACCAAGACAAAAACGGAGGCAAATAAAACGATACTTTTACACGAATTCACCTTCTAATGAAAACGTTAAGTTATAGCCTTAACCAAGAAGTGCGAAGTTAAACAGATCATAAAGCTGCAATTCACAACTATACAATTTCACGCACATTCAAACTACACACAACTTGCAGTAGGATATCATATTGTTTCTATGTTATTTTGAAACTTGGCATTCTCCACAAAGTTTCGAAGCCGCGCGGCATGCACATGTAAATTCTTCGGTCGTCCCATTGTGCTCTGTATATTCATTATGAGCCCTAAACTTCGAAGCATCCTTTCATTCACAAACAATAAAAAATAATCGGTAGCACGTATGCGCAATCGCTCAAGCGAAGATTTTCCGGGGGACTGGTGAAATTCAATCATCGTGACTTATCCGTGCACGAAGAAATCCAAAGACCGCGTATTCTCAATAAAATACGTCAACGGCGATGACGAAAGCGGCTAATTTGATTTTGCCTGTAGAGTCGAAGGCAGAAATCCAGAAGACGTTCTAATGAGCCCACTAAGAACTTTACGTGCGTGCAAATGGGAGTTGAGATTACGTGGAAGTTTAAGAGAATTTCATCAAAATGTTATTGCTAATTTGTTCGCTGTTTTTCATTTGTAGCAAAGAGATTATAAATTTAAAAAAAAACTTTATATGTTTTTATAAAGTGACATTAATTTGGTTCCTAAGACGATTTTATTTTATAATTTATTTTCGTATTAAATATTTACGAATTCAACTGAACATATATTTTATAATCAAAGTCAACCTAATATCTTTTATATTAATACAAACAAAAGAAAATTAGGAAACCATCCAAAAACTTCATAATTTGAAAAAGCAGCAATATGATCTTTTTCTCGTGCTCATCATCTTGTTCATCTCTCAAGTACACGAACGTCTAATGAGACTCTACGGAATTATATGCAAAAGTAATGAAACTCTCAATTAAAAAAAAAAAATAGAAAATTCGGAAGTTTCGTAAAGCCCGCAAGAAATATTATTAAGCTCACATTTTCAAGTTCGTTTTTTTGGATATTTTTGATTATCAAAAATGTATAAGATGTGTAGAAAATAGATCAACAACTAAGAAAGAATAATTTTTATTCACTGGCGTCTCTCGAAAAAAAATGTTCATGCGAGCGAAGATGAAAAACAGTCGTTGAAATAAAGCACGGCCTAATTAAGATTGATGGGAATAAAGAGCCACTTAAAAATTTTGTGGCAAATGTCAGGATGCCATCAAAGTATCGAGTAATTAAGAGCACTCGTCGATAGGGGTATCAACAGCATTGCAAGTTTTCCAACTTGGAACTCGAGTCAAATTGTCTGCCCGTTGGCCTCGCTAGGAAAAATTCATGCCGTACCCGCTTCACTATTCCGCATACATAATATAATTAGAGGCTTTGTGAAAACGCGCGTTTTCTTTTTTTTTGCAGCCGATTTTCAGGAAATCTTACGGCGACGAAGAAGAGCAGCTTAGCGCAATAAAACTCGACGAAATCGTGGCTATAAAATTTATCAGCGATCATCCTCGGGAAAGCACCTGTCTTTTTACGACTACTTCCGTAATGCCCCATTAATTTGAGATCACTACATTTATTCCCTTGTAAACTGTTTGAATAAGTGATTCCGAGATCCCCTCGATGGGACTTTCAAATTCAGTCGAGAGATTTCTTCGCTCCCAATGCTTCGCCCTCTCGTTCAAGAGTTATCATTTGTATAAAAGTTTATCCGTATAATATTTACTTATTACAAGACATTGTATTTCAATTAATACTAATGATCAATTCATTATTTATTATTTCTTATGTTGATTGATAAAACGAACTTACACATCGATTTTTAATTACAATAATATTTTTTAATGATAAATTTGAATAATTTTCATATAATTTTTATTCGAGTAACCGAAAAAATCTTACTTCTTGTACAATAGTCTATGCAAGATTATCATCTTCCTCACTATAATATCATCTCAAAAAATGTCAAGCACAGGATTTAAAGGTAAATATCCGCACTCAAACAATTTTTTATAAATCACAATATATAAAAAAAACATTCGTTTATTTTATTATTTCTCTTCGTACACACCAACGAGCGAAAACCATATATAAAGTTATATTCCCCCTACGATCGTGGTAAAAGAAGACGAACGGGGTGTTTGTTGGCAGCGTTTAAATCGCGGCGCAGCGTTGTCGGAGGCTGACGACGCACTGACTCTACTCTCACGCGGCAGTGGCGCCTAGTCGAGTCCCAGCTCTTTAGAAGCGGGGGTGGCGAGTCGCACGCGCAAGCAAGCGCGTCCTGTATGTGCAACCCTCCTCTCAAGTCAAGTGTCTCAACTCGAATATATTGCCAATTCCATTTGTATTATTTTTTTGTTTTGTTTTTTTTTTTGCCAAAACTATAAATTTTCGACGCAAAAAAAAGTAAAAACAAGATTCATTGCAAATTCGTATGGATTAGATATTGAGTTTCGCAGAAAGTGGAAATACTCTCGTGGGAGACATTCCTCCAAACGTGTGGGTGGAAAGATAGCTGAAGATCCTTTAAGCTGTGCATCTTATATTATCGTGATGCAGTTCCGACGTGCAATCTTGATCTTCTGCTCAACTCCCCTTCACAGTTATTTTCATTTGAATTCATATCTTTGCTTAATTCAGATTTACGGGTAACTGAAATACATCATTTGTTAAATACAGCGTAATTTTTACCACTGATCTGATTCTCTGTTAGTTTTTCGAAGTTATATAAGTATAATTATTTATTTATTATTTATAATGATAAAACAATAAACATTTGCTAAATAATTTTAATGTATTTTCTCCCCCCCCCCCTGGAAATTCCCTTTATTTCTTTATAAAAACATCACCAACAGTTTCATGAGTTCCTGCGTTTTAATATAAATCAAAAAACGTACGTATATAAAACTCGCAAGCTGAAGAGATTCATTTTGGTGTGCGGGCACGACGAGAATCGTAAGCGGCTTTTTAGTGAACCTTTCGTGAACATTTTTCAACAACATTATATGAGTACTTTTATATAACTTTTGATTTTACCATTCACAGTCATAATTATTGATTATAAATTATCTTTTCTTTATACAATATAATGTTTTTGTCAACTTATATAGCCATAATTTTTTGTTCTAATATTTAAAATTATGCTAGTAAAATTGAATGATTATTTATTACTTAATAAATTTTTTCTTTTTTATTATAATGAAAATTGTGATTCAATTTTATTTTCAATTTTTAATTACAGGCTATTTTTTATCGGAAATTTAATTATATTAATAGTAAAGTAGCTACAATATATCGCGATAAATTGTTATTATATGGATTATATTGGTTATATGAATATACATACAGATTCTTTTGTTAATTACAAAAGATGTTATTATGATCCATGTTTATTTTGTTTATTGAACTGTAAAAAAATTATATTTCAAAATATTAGGTAACTACGATGGTTTCCTTTTTCTCATTGACTGTAAAGATGAAAAAACGAAGTTATTTAAGTATGCTTTAAAATTAAAAAAAAATTTATATTAGGGCGATAAATAAAAGGTTCTAGAAAATTACTCGTATATATGCACGATCGACTTTTCGGAGATTGACTTTGAAAAAAATGATGCTCGTGAATCGCTTTCTTTTTTTATATCTGGAATCAATTGAATCTAAGCTTGGAAAAATCCGTTCGGATAGGTTTTCGATAGATATGTAAATTTTTTAAAAGTCAAAATTAAATTTTTCTTCTCTGTAGATTAATTTTATTGCCGTTTTTATACACAATTTTACTTATTTTCAATCGTTGAAATTCAAATAAAAGTTTATCACCAAAAAAGAATGATTATTAAAATGATAAAATTCAGAGTAACAAAAATCATAGATTAAGCGCGTTAAACGGCTTAAGCCAATTATTCAGTCCGATTTGTGGAGCCATAAGTTTGCCGTCAACAATAAACCATCTAACCGCATAATTATCGGTAATAAACTTGGTGCGTATTTACACGATTAAATCGCTTATGTATTGTTTAACGAGACAACGATATCTTTCACGAGAGTGTGTGCATCGATTCATCAGAAAATATGTTGATCACCATGCAACGTTACAATTAATCATTAACGCAAATTAGTGATATGTACCTAACAAGATCAGCCATACGAATTGAGCAAATAATGTTAATTTATAATAAATTATTCAGATATATTGTTCAGTTTTTTTTCGCGAGACCTTGTAAAAGTTTTTAAGTGTTTTATTGCGTGATTATAAAAGTAAACATTATTAAAGTTGATTGTTTACCTCGAGGACAGAATCTAATAACTCGAAATGAATAATTTAATTTAATCAAAAACATACGAGTTCAAAAAATAATCTAGGATAAAAACTTTGTTTACATTACCATCTACTTACATTAAATTTTCTCTGTACTAACGTTACAAGGGGAAAAAAAATTATGCATTTGTGCAGCAGTATACGCTGCGGTAAAACTTGGAGAGTTGACAATTTTTTTCGGAATGGACGAAAGGAGCTCTAAATTCATAAAAAGAATAGTGAACATTTGTGTTTATCCATGTTGACAATATCGATATAAAATTTTCGTTCGAAGGATTTTCACTGATAAAAAGACGCTTTATTTGAAAAAAGCGAAACGATCTCAGTCGGGCGTTTGCACATAATATGGGCACGGCAAGAGCGAGCGCATAATAGGCTCGCTCGTCTGTAGCAAAGCTAATCGTCGCCTTAAGCTCGCGAGTTGGTGTGTGTATGTGCAAGTTATATACCCCCCTTGCGAGCTCTCTCCCGATAAAGCCGTGCGCTGATTTCGAATAAGCCCAAAGCCAGTCGCCTCGTTTGCATCTATAATACCACTCGCACTCGCTGCTCCAGAGATAGTTGATTGCGTCGAGATACTTTTGCGCTCAAAATATTTTTCGATAGTTTGCCGAAATAAGCCTTTCGCTCGAGTTAGAGTTACGCAATATAAAACTACTCTCCAGTCAGTGACGAAGTGTTGACAAATCGCACGGAAAATTCAAAATGCCGTTGATATTGATCCCAAATTCTATTGCTTCCGTTAGATTTGATCTGACTCAACGTAGTTATCGCGCGGTTAATCCCATCGCGAGTAGAAATCTGCCAACGCGCGCGGAAAACAAAAATATTGCCTTGCCGCCAGCCAAAACCGACAAAGCAACAAAAGTAGCGGGCACGCAGGCTTGCCTCAGTCGTGTCGCAAACAAAGGCCTTGCTGATGTACGTACACGTGTGTACCAAGACTAAAATGCAGACTCCGCAAGGCTATCGATCGACTCAAACTAATACTTGACTCTCTAGTGCCGCTCTGTGCGGCTTTTAAAGTGTCTCCCTATCGGTTCACTCCTGTAATTATTTTCATGCTGCTTGTTCTGCCGCACATCCGTCATTAACTATCGTAATTGACGAGGACGCGCGGGAGAGATGTTTTACGGCCGTATGTATTTCTGTCGCGTGACGTCGAGCGTTTTCCAAAACCTCTTTGCATACGGGAATGAGATTTTCCTTGCTCGTGATGTGCTTTTTGACAAGGCACGGAATTTCGGTAGTTTAACGAATCAGCATTTTAATGACGGTCAGAGTGCCAGTTTATTAATAACTAATTGTTGGCGTGTGTAGATTCTTTTGTAAATTAATGAATTGTAAATGAAGAATTATTTTTAGTTAATAAAGTATTCGTTCGTTATTTGCATAATTTTTCATTTGCTTTTGTCATTCTGGCGAATTATTTCTTATAATTTTTTGCACTGAAATTGTCAATATATAAAGTTTAATGCAAAGTTTATTATATAAGTATATTAAGCTTGCTCGTCATAGGCTTAGGATGAGAAAGGATAAAGTTGTACCCACGAATTAGACTTTACTAATCCTAATCCAAATCGATAAAACCTTTTTATATCTTTGATTAGGTAACCAGTTGGAACGCTTCATACAGACGGTCGATTCATGCGCAAAAGTAGTTCTATTCTTTCGTCGAACATTCCTACTCTATAGCTGAATGCTTATCGAGACGCTCGAAATAAATGTCCCATAATTCTCATCCTACGCAAAGCAATTCGCGGAGCCGCTCAGCTTTATACAATTAAAATAACTTGTATTAGTGTAAGTGATTCGCGACTCATAGTAACCTCAATCATCAAATTGGAATTCGACGAAATCGCACGCAGCTGCTCCCCCAAGCAACATTACAACGTCGTTTTAACCCAGATAGCGTTAGAAAAGTGAGGAGGCGGGTAGTGGGTGGAGGGGGTTGAGGGAGTTCGACAACACGACGGTGTGAGCTTGCAAGGTTTCGTGCGGAAGCCTTCTCGAAGCGAAACGACGAGTTGGGAGATAACTTGTAGTGTGCGGCTGCTGCTCCGCTACATCGCACCCGCGACAATTCCGCGGTCAATCGTTTGCGTGGCACTGCTCCTCTTCTTCGTGCTGTTTTGGCTGCTTAGCGGCCTCATCGTTAGCTGGTGAGGCATGAGGCTCATTCGCTTACTACATCTTGCTGGTAATTAGTCATTTTGAATATCACTGTTTCATTTAAAATTTGAATGGTGATGCAGTTTTTTTAGTGGGAGTCGGTAATTACAATTACCAATTGTTTTATAAAGCAAGCTTGTAAGTTTCAATAATTTTTCTATGACTCACTGGAACTTTTTACAATATGCATGCATTTCATAAATTCTGGAATCGATACTTGGCCGTTCAATACTAAAATAACTTTGCGATAACAAAAATAAATATTAACCTAATATGTGAATTTATCTTGAAACCTTAAAACTTATGACTTTAGCAGACTTTTTATAGTAAAGAGTTGAAGAATATACTTTTTATACACTTTTTCCAGAACTACTTTTTTCGATTTAAAAATAATCAATGTATATTATAAATAATATAAAAAATGGTATGCGATGCTTCGTAACTCAATATTGTTTTGAATTTATCGGATTCCATTTTAAGAACATCCGACGGATCAATAAATCGTGAAAACATGCGAAAGGAAACTGAAATCTGTATAGCTCAACAGAGCCTACATTTTCATTCCAGGCAGGGATTATGGAATACATATATAGTATTGTAAATATTGCACTGTGCAGTGACTATACCGTTAAACCTGACCGGTAATATGCGATGTTGAACTAGATCGCGTACAAACTGCTTCTTCGACCTGAATGATGATTTTCTGAGGCTTCACATCGTCTCGGCGATACTTGAACAATAAATCAATAATAAACATTTAAAATGTCTTTTATTAACAGGTCTCGCTGTGTTGGTGTCATCATTGAGTCCAGCATCATCGGAGGATGCCGTAACCTCTACGTTGAACTGCACGACAACCGATGGTTTCGTCAGTTTTCATCCAACAAATGCCAGCCGTGTCGATGAAGCAGCCAATAACAAGCCGAAAGAGGAGCAGCAGAGATTTAATAGATTTTCAAGTGATCGTCGTTATGATAGTTATTCTGGGGGTAGTAAAATAAATCGACGATATGAGCTTCCCAAAGTAGCGAGTCAAAATGATAATGTAGATAACAATCAGAATAAAGATTCTCAAGGTCATGCGTCAAGTCGACATCTAGATCATGATCGAAGGTTTCTTACAGGAGCCAGTGGTGATTATTTCAGGCGAGAGCAAACTAAAAATAATCAGCGTCATTCAGCGAATAGCTACCCAAATGACGATTATAGCTCAAAGGGAGATGATAGACTTGATTACGTGAATGGTAATAATGACAGAGTAAAGTTTGATCCATCAAGCCATTACTTAAATGAAAACCGAAGATATGATCTTAGTACTGAACATAATGACCAAGGGAAAGATATACGTGATCATCCATTAAACCCTTATGATGATCATGTTTCGATTTCAAAAACGGATTTCGAAAACGTTCGTGAAAACTATAACCTAGAAAAATATGAACGGACTCGTCCACGGAATCGTTTTGATGAAGATCATACTCTGAAAGCGAATTTTGATCACGATAACATAAATATTGATCGAAAGAATGAATGGGATTATTTAAAAACTCATTTCAATGATGATAAAAAGATTGATTATCAACGATCGAATATTAATCGAGAAAAAAATGAACAAAATCATCTATTGAATCGTTTCAATACTGATCGCGGTTTAGGAATGGACAATGACAATCAAAACAAAAATATACAAAGCCGGCCTCAAAGTCGTCATTTGGATAATAATAAAACAAAAAATGATCACGACCAAATTACTGGTCTTGACCTTGAAACAAGTAATTCAGATGAAAATTTGAATGTCTATCCTTTAAATACAAACTCAAATAGAAACCCTGATGATAAAATAATGGAAGTCATTGATAAAAGTTTGGAAGTTCAACCTTTGGAACAACATGGAACTGAAAATTACGCCAACAATTTTAATGAAAACAAAAATGTTGGTCATGATGAAACTAGAGGAAGTATTGATAAACGTGTCGAGGATTTACATCCAGTAAAAAGCTTAGTAGACCATAAATTAAATGATCCAATAGACTATCATCACATGCATGACACACGTTCTGAACAAAATCCAATTGATCAAAATTCTAAAAGACATTTTAAAGATCTTCATGATGATGAACATTCACATCCAAACTACTATAAAGATCCTTATTATTCATCGTTTGATAGAGACTATAAAGACCAAAATTCTGATAGACGTACGAACAATGATAAATATACTAACTATCGGGACAGGATTTTACCTGATGAACATAATGATGACTTAAATTTCGACCAGCATCCTCTAAAAGAACATTCAGATGATATATATTCGGAAAAACATACAAGTGACGCAAGTGCAAGTAAATTACCTCCAAGAGATCATCATGAGAAATTACATTCTAATCAACCAGCAAGTAATCGAGATTTTGGACCACACAGTGATCCTTTACCTGAACGACGACTTGGAAGTAATCTCCATCCCGATGAACGTCTGAGCGACAGGAATTATGACAGGAAAATTAGTAGCCATATACCAAATCGGTACAGAGATGATGATCTACATGTCGTGCCCAAAGTCAAGGATCTAAACTATGATAAATATCCAGATGAAAAGGTATATTACCTAGACTATAATTTAAAATAGATCTAACAACTGTTTTCGAGCCTTTTATTATTCAATACTAGTGAGTTTAAAAAATATTAGAGTATTTATTTTGTATCGAGCCTGCTTAAAGAAAACTAGCTAGAAAGTTTAGCGGTTATGTGTGTAAAATGACAATTGATAGAGAAATACGAAGATTTTTATTTTATGAAAAAAAAAGTAAAAAAAATGATACTTCACGTAGTATTTAAGAATATTGAACTTACATCAAACAAATTTCTTTTGGTAGATAACGGATGATTACACAACCATAGAACCTCGAAAAGAATCAAATATATCACATTTGATGACTTTCACGGTTTTAAGAGACTGGGAAGAAAACAGACCTAAACTAATCTTTCCGAATAAAACAGGTATTGAAAGATACAGAATGGCCACACTTCATCTTGACAAAGGAATATTTGTCTTTGATTTTCTACGTTATTTTCTATCTTTCATTCAACCAAAAGATGTTCCAATAGGTAGTTGATAGAATTTCAATTAACACTTTATTAATTTATAATTTTCTTTGATTAACACTTCTTTTTAATTATTATATGGGAATCCAAACATCTTCATTTATATGAATCAAAGATATTCTGAAAGACTCTATAGAGGGTAAAATAAGGGTATCAACGTTAATTGGACAGGTGATTATAAAAATTCCTTTTTACTTTTCCATTATTCTGTAATTTTCTTTATAACTCAGTCTTTGACTGAATATAAAACTAACTTCAGTCGGATTTTTAAAACATTATAAAAATGTAATGGTTGCAATAATTTTTTACAGATGATATATCTGGAAATCCTTTTCATCGCTGTTATAGTTATGATGATCATTTTAATGCTCATTGTGCCCAGCACTGAATTCTGGTTATGCTGTCGGTCAAGCCGTTACAATTATAGGCGTAAACGCCGTAGATCAATGACATTCTTCCTCTGTTTATACACTTTAACGATTCTGTAAGCGATTGCTTTTCCTTATTCCATCGTTCACATCTATAAAGTTTTCGCTTTACCTATCTCATAATTTTGAGCATCATGTGAAAAATATGAAGATTGCATAACCGATTGCAGAGTGTGCGCGGTAACAATGCTAGTCTGTAACGAGGAGGTGAGCATAGGTATAAAGACGATTCCCAAGACAGTGGAAGCAGTGATACAGGATCTCAGAGACTATCACGCAGGCACTGCTGGCCAACTGAGAAAGTGTCTTACGCGTAGCCTTGATGTCGCCAGCGAAGCCATACTTGCTGATCTCGATAGTGAGTTTTTCTACTTTTTTCAGTTCTCGGTTCTATTCTAATCCATCGGGTTTCGTGATTTTTGAATTGATATTTGATTGGCATGCATTTTATTTTCATCGGTGACATAAATAAATTTTTATATCTTTGACATTTCAAAGTAGTTTCATTAGAAAGTAAATAGTCAGTCACCAAAAAGCTTTGGTTATGTTAATTTTTAATAGACATAAAACAATGTTTGAGTAGAAAAAACGTAATAGTACATGTGAAAAATCATAGAAATTTCGTCCATTTCAACAACTATATTTGGCAAAAATGCTCGTTTACGCAACTCATTTGAGATTCTTTTGAAATGCAAGCGTTCGTGAGCAAAAAGTATTCCAACTGTCGGAACTTCCATGGCCGCGTAAAAGGACTTTTCCGGTTACTTTTACTACTCGTGCTGTAGTAGCTAAGCCGCGCAAAAGTTGCGCCAGAGAAAAGTGCAACCGAGCGTCGAACTATACAAAGTTGCGGCTACAAACTGTCCAATTTATGCGACGCGTAAATAATTCGAAACACGACTACAAAAGTGAGGCGTTGGAATGAGATCTTTGTTTGATTCTTCCATCGCAATGGCAAGAAAGAATTCGCGTGTTTTGTTGAATCTTTTAATCGGTCAGAAAATTTTTTGATACAACTGACATAACGTACATAACCTTGCGACGAAAGCAGAAAGATTTTAATTTAAAAACAAGAGTTGCAAACGCAGTTTTTAAAATATAGTAAATTACGTACTTAGGGCAGGAGAGTATTGGTAAGTCCATTGCATGTAAGCATTGAAAACTGAGTCGAAATGTTTCACATACTATTTTTTTATCTACGGCCCGAAAATAGCGTTTCCCGGCTGCGGCTCGGTTGGTAACGTGTTAGTTTCGGTCTCACTGGACAAATAAATAGTAGATTATAACCCATAGCCACGAAGGTATTTGGCAATTCCATAGCGTGTGTAAATTAGCACCCGAGGCAAAACCGAGCTATGAGCTCACTAATATCGTGGCCATGGGTCGTATACTATTTTTTGCTTAGCGAAGCTGAAATTAACATGTTACTGACCGCCTATTGAAAATAAGGAAAAAATTTAATTTATTTAATTTATAAATCTGTTGAATTATGGTTTCGCTAGCACGGAAAAGACAGTGATTACAAAGGTTTTTAGTTCCATTAAAATAAAGTTAGTAAAGTTGTTCTTCATACTTGTTCAAAAGTATGTAAAATCATCAAGATTTAAAATCTTCTGCTCAACATTCAAAACTCTTGACGAATAAATAAATAATTTACGAAGGTCAGAAAATTCGAATTAAAATAGATTATTAATTTAATTTATTATCTATTCATACAGTAGATCTTAAAATGTATCTTCTGCTTGTCATCATTCTAATCCAAACTGCAATGACGGTAAAAAAAAAAAGAAAACTAACAAAACACCGCACTCGATCACTCTCGGCACTTTAATTGCAAGCCAACTAAGCCAAAATCACGTAGCACAAAAGAGAAAGAGAAGCCATTCTCTCTCCCTTTCTTTGTTTCGTTTTTTTCTTTTCCCTTTACAACTGGTGCGCCGTGGAGAGCAAGAAAAGAAGTTGAAACTCGTAAGAAAAGGCGGCGGAAGCCAATTGCACGTGTAGCGCTTGCTTGCTCGCACTTTTCACTTGTTTGTTAACTTGGTCACGATGGAAAATGCAAGGACCCTCTCTATCTCTCTTTCCCTCGGTCTCAGCTGTTTATGGAATGTTAAATTCGTACGACCGTGAACAGGTGTTCTGTTGCCGAAAACATTTTGACTTTTTTTGTTATTGTTTGATAGTTTGTTTTATAAATTATTATTCAAATGCCTCATCAAACTTGTTTAGCTAAAAAAAAATATTCAAGATACAAGTCGATTAAATGTATAGCGTCGAGACTTTTGTATCATGTTACCCTCGTACATTTCGAACATCTTAATATTTATCCAATATGTCACGTTAGCAATCCAAAATGATTGTGCAATAAAATAAATCCTGATGCGTCTCCACACCCCCATGAAATTCAACTTTTATACGTGATGTCCGAGCTAACACACTAAGCAGTCCGAGTTGATTTGGAAAGCTTGCGAGAGAGAGGAGAGAGAGACAGAAGTGGCCCGTAGGCTACTACCTTACGGGCAAATCGGATTACACGACGCTAGACTCCTACCCTTCGTGTGCTCGCGCGAGATATTTCGAGTCTTACATTCCCCGACCTTTAGGTTATTGATCTTTCGCGCGCGCGCGCTGAGTACTCTCGAAATTGAGACAGCTTCCGCTTTCAGGTGGAGGGAGGGATATTATGTTTCTATCTGCAGTTCGCTCGGAGAATTAATCTACGGAGGCAAATTCAAATAGCTCGCGATTACTTTTGGTAGAGGGTGGGTGACATTGTTTGTTTTGCTTCATTCCTGAAAAATCAAAGGTGATGTCCGTCAAGCAAACTGATGTTTCCGAAAATTCTAAAAATCTTCTGGCTATGAAAAATAAGAAATAATTCAAAGAACTTTGTTTTACTTCGAAAGATTGAAAATTATAAAAAGAATGTTTCATTCTTAAAATAAAAATTTGTATTTCTCATTTATCATTACGTTTTTTGTTCAATAAAACTGTCCACAATTTGCAGTTTGTTTTTCTTCGAAAATTATCACACATTTTTTAATTGGTTTTAATTGTTTCTGAAAATTTCTATTTCTATAGATTTTTTTACACAATTATTTATCGGTATTATTAATTGAAAATTCACGTTTGCATTTAACGCTTTTATTAGCATTCCTTGTCAATTTCGAATGATGAATACTCTATACGTAGAGTGTATTGAACCATAGATTTGGTAAATAAAATAAGAAAATTTGACATGTATGTGACAGGAACTGTCAATGGACGAGACGAAAAATTGACTGTCGAACAAATGTTTATATTGATATACAATTTGATGATCAATCAATCATTCTAAGTAAACAGCGTGAAGCCGATAAAAAATTTTCCTGTGTGTACACATAGACTTCGCATTTTCGCATGATATCATATCGAAAAAATGTATTAAATAGCCGGAAATGATCTACTTTGATAAATTATTTTTTTTTTATTGAACAAAAAATTAATTTAACAAACCAATTTCTTAGTATTAATAACTTCAACTAGAAGCGTAAAAATAAAATAAAAAATAATAGAAGCACTTGACCCAGCCGATCAAAGTTTAAGAGAGTTTGAATTAACCTTCGGTTCTAAAACGAAACCTTCGATGAACAACAAGCTATGTAATCTGGGCGTTGCGCATGCATCATCAACTTGAACTAGCGTCTTTCGTTAGTGGTTCAAGGCTACGGAGATTAGAGAGCATTTTCTCTTTCTCTCCCCCCCCCCCCTCTCTGGCTTGGTATCTCGCTGATTTATGCAATCGCCCTTGCATTTCCAACCGATAGTTTATTAGGTTAATTGGCCACGATACGCGAGACCCCATATCATGAAAACTTTACTTTTAGTTTGGCCTCGAATCTCATTAGCAATAATTTAATTGCGGTCTTTTTAATTACTTCATTTTGTATGCAAACAAACTCATTGACTTTTTATATTTTAACGGGAATCGAGTTTTGGTCGTATCGACAAAAACAAAATAATAAAAATACTTAAAAGTACATATTCAATAATGCGAACAAACATTCCAAAATTCGGCTATTACCTTGAAAATCTTGTAGCCACGCAGCAGCAGTAATCCACGTAAGTGAAAAGAAAATCATTCATAAATCATCGCAAAACCACGCGTTGGATAGTTAGCGAACGCTTTGGAAACACAACATGCATCGAATCCATTAGGATGCGAACCGCGAGAAATTCCGGCGAGTGAGGAACGCGTAATCGAAATTGTTCAGGCAATTCGATCGATCGATCGCTGAGAGAGCGAAGAGAGGAGAGGGAATCCGACACCTCAATTGCCTACCTCGCTTAATGCCACTCGTTGTTCCTCGGTTTACGCCTCTTGCTCTCTCTCTCTCTCTCTGTCTCTCTCTGTCTCTCTGTCTCTCTCTCTCTCTCTCTCTCTCTCTCTCTCTCTCTCTCTGTCTCTCTGTCTGGCTCTCTCTTTCGTCATTCATTGGGGATAAAGAGTAGAATATCATGATAAGAGTCGATCGATTTATTTTTAACTTGTCGGTCTTTCAACAATTTATCAATGTAAAGATGTATATTACTTACATTAATAATGAGATTGGAAAAGTACTTTGAAACATAATCGGCGTACATCAACTTCATTTCACATAACTGATTAATGGGAACTTGAACCAAAATGAAACTGATCCAAACTACAAAAAAAAATAGTAATCGCAAATCAAACTTATCTATAACAAGTCTTTCTCGATAATCCATCACTTTTGGTAAAACTATCGAATCTCCAAGTTTTAATGACCAAAAATTCGATCAGCTCTCTTGACCTCGCTTAATTTCGATAATTGGAAATCCGAGCTTGCAGGCTGAAAAAGTGGACTACCCTCCATCAACTCGCACGTCGAAACTAATCCATATATATATATATATATATATATACCCACATGTGAGCGTCTAATGAACGTCCGGTTAAATACGAGCATACCATGCTTGTAGGCTTGCGTCTAATGTAGGTCACGATTGGCAAGACTACGGTGACGCTATTGCGTGGCACGATGGAAAGTTTTTATTCTTTTTCTTTTTTCTATTTTACTGTGATAGACAATGAAGCTGACTCAGCTACTGGATAACTTTAACTAAATAATTTATATACGCGTAAGAAAAATTGAGAATTTTTGGACTATCAAATATCAATGTTGATAATGACTTGAATTTTCGCTCGTAAATATGATCTATGCAAATACCGTGTAGCGAAAGATGGTACAACAGAGTAAAAGTTGCTAGTCACGTTTCTAACGCAAAAGTAATAAGCGTGACATAGCAAATTTCTTCCTATTGCCCTTCGTTTTGTTAAGCTTTTCAAAAGAGAAATTAAATCTTCAATGTACCATGGTTTAAAAATTATCGTCTGAATATTGTTTATTTACAGACGTTGAGGAATTGCTGGGTAAGCCAGTGCAAGTGCAACTGTCACAGGAGACTGGAGTGGACATCGCGCTCGAGGCGCTAATGGACGTTGCTAACAGTAAGCCTTTTCCGCATTATAAAGTCGCCTATTAAGCGCCTTTTTATTCACGTGCCCGCCTTTTAAAATCTAATTTACTGTTATTTTCCACGGCGAGTTATTATTGCCACTCAATTTGTGCAGAGATTTCTTTTATTTTTGAATGGAATGTGATGCAAGAGAAAAATACTCGAAGGAAAGCTTTGAGAGATCAAGATATAAATACGTTTCTAATTAATTTACGTGGATTGCATTCAACGAAATTTCAATCATTGATACTGATATTCGATGAAAAATTTAGCAGCTAATTGTATTATAATTGATCTTGCATCTTTCGCATCAACGATTTTCACAAATGCGTGTCTTTATCACCCCTTCTGAATTATTTTATAAGCGAATATACGCTTCTGCCATCAACTTTAAATCCGAATTGAATATTCCGACCAGAAGTTGTCTAAATGTTAAATATTCATGCAAACCCTACTATTCAATCATTCAAAGCAGAAAGCTCAAGAGAGAGAGAGAGAGAGAGAGAATCCTGTATATAAAATAAAACGATTTACTTGCGCGTATCGAAAAATCAAATAGCCAGATGACAGTACTTGTGACATATTCCTGCGAGTATGAAAAGTTCGGCGGCGTTTGCGTTTTCGAGCTGTCGAGCCACTGAGAAACTTCCAACTAGTCGAATATTCCCTCGCGCGTGATTTATTTCCTCGACGCCACTGCTGCTACTGCACCACTGCTTTTATACATTTGACGGAATTTTTCCAAGTTCCGTAATATTCTCCATTCTCTTTCTTAAAGTCGTGCGACGTAATTTTCTTCGAGCCGTTGGCTTCAGCTGAAACTGGAACTAATTTGTTACGATTTCTGAAGAATTCATTTAGACACAGTTGCGTTAGATTTCTTTAGCATCACCTCTTACTGTATATCGCAATGCACAAAGGCTACAAAATTAGTTTGATTAAAAAGAAAGCCGTTATTTACCGCGTAAGAAGATATATCTTTAGTTTAACTGGCGCCTTTGAACGTTCGTTTGACAATCCGTCATTAGAGGTCAAAACAACTATTTTGCATCAGTGGATGTCGAAGCAAGTTTCTGTAAATTACGTTTATGGCAGTTCAATTAATTAGGTTACATCAATAATTATAATTAGTTACATCAATGTATAATTTAGTTAAATACAGTAAAATATTTTCTGTGAGATCACTCGTTGTATGCTTTTTGTAAATTATTATTAAATTAGTCTATTCTTAGATGATTTGCGAGTTTACGCTTACGCATTTCGAGTGAGGTTCTTAAATTATCATTCCAATTGAATAACCTTTTTTTCAATTGCAATTCAAGACAAAAATTTATCATTTGAGCAATGTTTATAACTCATGATAAGTCCATTTTTTCATTTGCAGTAAAGAGATCTTTGCCTTGGAAAAAATTTCATCCTTTAATTAAAACGAAATTTTTACTCTATAAAAAAATTTTAAAAATATCAGCTTAAATTTCTATCACAATAAAAATCCTCTAGTCAACTTGACTATGCATGGGTGCTATACGGCCAGTGGTCTGCTCGATCGTCAGCTCACTTAGTTCCGGAGCCCCGCTGAGTTACTAACTGAATATTAAGTGAATTAGCGCTGAACGCCGTGATAGAGCCAGAGCTTTCCGCTTCGGTGTGCACTAGACTCAAAATTTCTTTCTTTTCCTTTTCATCTGTGCGCCCCAGGGCTTTGCCGCTGTTTATTTCTTTTCGCTAACTTTACTTACCCATTTCACATTGATTTGAATTTCACATCAATGTGTTGCGTTTTGCATGGATTGTTGTTTTATTGTTTTGGAGCGAATGAAATTTGAGCTTTTCCGTTTGTTCGATAATTATGAGTGAGAGCTGAGAATTCGGTGCTTATTAAATTTCTTTCTGAAAAGTTTCGAGACGTACTGGAATTGTTAATTTAGCGATACAACAGTTTTCAAATATTTCAAGCTCCTACGGTCAACGAATTCCCTCCTTGTAGCATTTTGACATTATGAATAATAATATCAATTCAAGACGTTTTGAATGTTGATGATTAAATAAGCCCAGTATGTTTTACTATGAAACGACTTCCGTGACTAGTCATTAAACTTTATCAAACTGCGTGTAACATTTGTAATTAAAAAAAAAACGCCGTCCAAGATATAACTAACGATTGATTAATGCTCGCAAACGCGAGCGAAACTCGATTGAGCACCCCGCGGCAATTTCGTTGACCCTCGACGCAATATCAAGGCTGCCCACCTCTTTTACGTTGTATAGCCGATGTTAAGTTTAACATTTTTCACGTCTTTTCATTTATATACACAGGCGATTATTAAGTACAGAAAAGTTTCTTGGCAAGTTCAAATTTACTTTAACAAACGTTGCTTCGGGCTTGTCCAATGGAATTTTCTTTGCTTTCTTTTGCTTGACGGGTAAACTTTCCACGGCTTTGTCCATAATTTTGCTGTTCATTTTGAATAAATTAACGTCGTGGATTATTTTAGGTTCGCAAGAATTAGCATACAAGACGGACGGTTTGCTGAAGCGAGCGGATCGTGCACGTGAATTTGCAGCTGAGTTGGGCCGTGAGACCGATGATATACGTCGTGATCTCGAACGAGCACAACGTGACTGTGGCCATGAAGATCGTTCACTATGTGCTGTACTCGATCCTACGGGACTTCATCTGGCACTCAGACTCGATAGGGTAAGTATATAGTCTTTAAAAAATCATATGATTAGGCTTTTATTCATTGCGTTTTTGAGAAATTTCATATTTTGAATATCACTTGACGTGACTTTGAACGGAAAGACCACGCGTGTTTCATATTAAAACGCCTGGTAGTGTTTTCCAATCTGAATTGATAACAGATAGTAGAACAAATCAAAAAAGTTACAAACTCAAATACGCAATATGTGAGCGCGATAAATGCTGAGTTGATTTTTCGATGTCATGTGCCTTGTTTACACATAGACTTCAAGATAGTCTCGTTTTCACTTTCATTTATTTGATTGATCAATGTAAACAAAACATGCTTAACTATTAAAAAGCAGAAAATTGTCGTATAGAAAAAAAGAAAATAATATATCTCTTTAAAATGCTAATGTCTATTGACACAAGTATGGCAAACGTTCTAAAAAAAATTGACAATTGATTCGTTATATCTAATACAGAAAGCACCTTTTCAGATCTAGTTCACGCGCCAATCATCTGCTAATAGAATCGTTTTTTTTCATATTTTTTCATAAATTTTCAGATAATAAAAATAACTCAATAATATTCGAAGTAATGAGAATCACGTAAAATAGAAAATAATCATGCCAAGAAAACTTCTTAAGATAATCATGCTACGCAGTAAGAAGTAAATTTATTCAAGTGTATCTGGAAAGCGTATTATCCGAGTAATCGTATAACGTATGATGAAATACTATACAATCTACCATTGACTTATAGCAGGTTAATGTTTTCGCAGAAATAGATAATCTTTTCTCTGACGATGATCTGGCTATTTCTAACTTTGGTTTCATTAGTTGACATTCTATGCTCAGATTTATTATATAACATTCAAACTATTTCTTTTCGTCAAAAATATCAACTGGAAAACTTATAGTTTTTCCTAGACAAAACTCAAATGTGCAAAATCAATATTCATTATATATTCCCTCGTCTTATCGCGTCGGAGCGTGAAATATATCATTCGCGCGTTATTTCTTGGGACAGAATCAAATAATTTTTCATACTACAAGACAAATACAAGTGAAGCATAATGTAGCCTATTTTTATCTTGTGCAAATAACCGAAATACGTGTAACGAGTGATTCTTGGGGTATATAATACGGATCATACTATGTGATTGTCAGTTGACAAACGAAATTTCTTCAAGATGTTAGGTAAAATTTTCATCTTTGCTCTCTTCGGTAGCTCCTGCCTGTTGGTAAGCATTTCACAATTAGAACTTATGCGTATTTATTGCATTTATTATTTTATATGTAGTAATTTTCATTCGTTATTCAAATTTTGTTAGGCTAGTTCAAAAGCTGAGGAAAATGATGAAAATTCGAGAGATCTCAACGTCGAAGTAAACAGCGTAAGATTACTCTTTCGATATAGAAAAAAAAACAATCATAAATTTAGTTGAATATAATAATGAAATCTAATATATTTTCAGCCAAAACTTGATGCTCAACTTGATTGGTTTAATAAAGTTGGCCAAACTGTAAAGAATGCCAGTGAAGATTTGGAAAAGCCATTCAAAACGGCTCACAATGATATTTGCAATTTTACAGACCAAGGCCAGAAATTATGCGGACAAAGCAAAGATAAATTTGAGGAATTCAATGTAAAGCTTGCCGATACGATCACCGAATATCAAGTAACAGCTCTCAAAAAATCCATCAAGGACTTGACCAAAGTTCATGAGTATTTGAACAATCAACTCGACGCTGTACAAAAACGGTCGAGTCGATCGATTGGCTCTAATGTGCAGAATAATATAAACGGTCAGACTGGAGATGTTATTCCCGATAGCTCACACAGTGCATCTCAAGACAATAAATTATTGATTGCCGTAAGAGACATCGATAGTAGTGGAACCAATAATGGTAACCATCAAGTCCAAAGTGTCAGTCCAAAAGGAATTAATAAGTTAGAAGATATAGTTGATAACCTTACTCCTAAAGTGCAGGGTGCCATTAAAAACGGAATTAACACTGCTAATCAGATAGGAAACGTTCTTCCCGATGGATCTCTCGTCATATCTGGAGGCAGTAACTTATTGAACGACGCAAGATACGCCGCTAATAGTGGAATCAATAATGTTGGTTATCAAGTCCAAGCTGGGATTCAAAAAGGAATTAATGATTTAGGATACGTAGTTAATACTATTCGCCCTACAGTTCAGGCTGGCATTAATAATGGATTTAACACTGCCAGTCAGATTGGAAATGTTCTTCCCGATGGATCAATCATCTTATCTGGAAACAGCAACTTACGGAATGTGGCGGAAGACACGGCTAATAGTGGAATCAATAATGTTGGTCATCAAGTCCAAACTGGGATTCAAAAAGGAATTAATGAGTTAGGAAACGTAGTTGGTAATGTTGGCCATACGGTTCAGGATGGCATTAAGAACGGAATTAACACTGCCGGTCAGATTGGAAATGTTCTTCCTGATGGATCAATCATCTTATCTGGAAACAGCAACTTACCGAATGTGGCAGAAGACACAGCTAATAGGGGAATCAATAATGTTGGCCATCAAGTCCAACCTTGGATTCAAAAAGGAATTAATGATTTAGGATACGTAGTTGGTACTATTCGCCCTACAGTTCAGGCTGGCATTAATAATGGATTTAACACTGCCAGTCAGATTGGAAATGTTCTTCCCGATGGATCAATCATCTTATCTGGAAATAACAATTCACCGAATAATATGCAACACACCGATAGTCATGAAAACGATAATGTTGGTCATAATGTCCATGATAACATTCATAAACGAATTCATGAAGTCGGTAACGCAGTTCATAATGTTGGCCATCAAATCCACGATGGCATTCATGAAAGAATTCATAAAGTTGGTGACGCAGTTCATAATGTTGCCCATGAAGTCCATGATGGCATTCATGACAGAGTTCATGATTTAAAAAATGTAATCGGTAATGTTGGCCATAATATCCATGAGCAAATTCATGACAGGCTTCATGCATTGAAAAACGTAGTTGATAATGTTGGCCATAATGTCCATGATGGCATTCATCAAACACTTAATGGTTTTAGAAATATAGTTGGTAATGTTGGCCATGGAGTCCGTAATGGCATTCATAATACTCTTCACGGTGCGTCATCCCAAGTGAATGGTAACAGTGAATTGGTATATTCAAACACAAATCAAGAGCCTCTTACACAGAACGGATTCAATCCATTAAATATTGTCAGCCGTAGAAGTCAAAATAATGAAAATGTTGAACAAGGTCATACCTTTGAAAATGCAGGCAAGCAGGTTGGCGGAACAGTTGGAGGTGTATTTGACAGTTTTGGAAACTTGTTTAGATATTAAGCAAGTATTGATAATATTTACTACTTGTAAATTCTATGTGTATTAAATCGAATAAGTTTTCCTTTTTTCAACCAATAAAACAAATATTGATGTATTGACACATATTAGCAGGTATTATGTATTACTTTATGATGATTTCCTTTACTTTATTTTCTTTTGATTTTTAATGAATCAATAATTTTTCTATTAAAAATCGGATATAAAAGCTACGAAGTCAAGCGTCTAATTTTAGTGTGTATGTTTGTAATGCCACTCGTCAAATATATTAAATATCCATAAGAATTAATAATCCCTTTTACTCATACTTTATTTCATCAATGGAAAAATCGCCTCATAAAGTTATATACGACAAAAATTAATTAAATGAGAAGCATAAAATTTAGAATAAAATTATTAGATTTTTTTACAAATTATATGTGGTACACGGAACATTATCCAAAATCAAAATTACTAATTTAACGAACAGAATTTGAATAATAATTAAATAATGAATTCGCAAAATTATTTCTTTTGCTATTATAAAATCAACAATCGGATAACAATCGTTTTCACTAATTTTACAAGTATGCACAATTGGTTGACTATCTCGCAACGTAATTTTAAATGTTTAAATAAATTATCAATTTTTCATTTATTGATAACTCTTTTAAAAAATCAGTTATCCAAGTGTCAAATTCTTGCTTCTCTTTCTTAAGGTGCTAGTTTTGGTATATCATTTTCAAATTCGCATTATATTTGTTTATTGCATAATTGTTCGTGATATTTACTCGCAAATTGAATTACGCTAAGTATTATCTAATAAATGATCATAATAACATGTAACAATAAGTAATAGATTTCTTGTTGAAAGAGTTACCCCTTTCAACAAGAAATCTTATTATTAATATTATTCTATAATTGTCTACACACAACAAAATATAGATCTTCAAATATCATTTTTTTTTAAATCGAATCTTTTTAAATAGAAAAATAATTCTTATAATGGATGTTTCAAATATCCGTAATATCAATTGATATCTGTATCAATATAATATTTTACGAGAATGTATATAGAACGAAATAAATTATTACTCATAACCCTTTTTTGCTAAAATATCTTGAAGAAGATGTCAACAATTTTTATTTATAACAATCGGTAATTGTACTTTTATATATATATATATATATATATATATATATATATATATATATATACGAACTACGATAACTTATAATATTAAACAAATCTATAAGATATATTTTCTTACGTGTGTCCCATTTTTCGCGTAGTTTATGATATATAAATTATACAGTATTATACCTTGTAAAATTCAAGACATCAAAAAGGTAACGAATTTGCGCTGTAAAGAAGATCATATACCTACTCGAGTCTAGTGGTCATCTATTTTGAACAATCCCATTTTCACATGCGAGCTTTTCAATCAAATATAGCTACTGTCTATCGGATTGATGCGAGCACTATTTTTATGTCAAGGTTTTTTAGAATTCATTTCTTTGATTGCTAATATTAGAAAATTCGATTAGTTGGAGGTTAAAGTATTCTATAAAAATAGACACTACTGGTTTTAAAACTAGCATGAATTATTAAATAAAAAAACTCACTAAACAAGCTGAAAAAAATCTAAAAGAACTGAAAAAATAAATGTGAAAAGGCACCTGGTAACTCAATCAATTCAAACAACGAACGAAGTGCCCATCGAGAGTAACTACAGGACTTTGGCCGTCGTCGCATCGAAAGTAGATTTTTCCATTCTTCCTCTCTTGGCTACTGCTGCTGCTGGTGCACTGCCACTACGCACTTACTACTACTCTGTGAGCGGTAATATCCCATTAAGCGTCGTTGCAAGTCAAGCTCTTCTAGCGTATAAAAATCGCTGGCGAAATCCGGCAAAATGGTCAGGATGGACTAAGAATTTTAAGGGTCTGTGAGACGTGTAAGAGAACTTGAAGTATGCTTTTAGATGCCGAAAAATTTCTACAAAAATTTATTTTTCGAGAAAATTAGTTTTTTATATAATTCTGTGTAACAATATTCTTGTTTGAGTTTCATTCTTAATCCCTCGTTTTCTAATATTAAGAATTAAACAAACTAACACTTCTTCTTTTAAGATAACTCTCATTCAAAGAAGTAATGTTTCTTATAAGTAGTATCTGTTTTATTTTTTTGAGAAACAAAATGTGTTAGTTCAATAGAATTAAGGATATCTAGATATTTTCTACTTCTTCTCTACAAAGAAATACAATTTTTATTATTTTAAGAAAATGTAATTCTTATTTTAAGAATTGTTTAGCATTTTTGTAATCTTTAAAAAGTTTAACTAAAAGAAACCGATACATCGAAATTAGTTTCAATTGAAATTTATTAATTATTTTGCTCTTTTACATTAACTTGCATCATTTACTAAAATTAAAATAATCTTCTCCAAAAATCTTTACTGGACAAACAACGTTCATATACAACATTTGCATTACGATTACAGGTGGCTCGGGACGACCGTCTATTGAGGCTACGAACGGCTAGCCGAGATAACTTGACTGAACTAGGAAGACAAGCGCGAGGAGAGTACCTTTACGTGCCTCACCATATCGGTAGGAACAGCCTCGAGGCGCGCAATCGTAAGTTTGAAATATAATCGTCAAAAAATCGTTCTTTGAAATATAATCGTCAAAAAAATTTTTCCAAGATGAGTTTTAGTAACTTGTAGGATAAGAATACATTTATATTAATTTTAAAAAAGAAAATTATGAACAAAACAAAATTATTTCAAACTAACAAAATACATAAAAAGAAGCAAAGCTAAAGTACATAGTCTGGAATTCTAACATAAGGCATTGACTTCACGATAACAAAAATCTAAAAAGAAATAGTATGCCAATCGATCAGAATATCAAAAACAGGAAGAAAATCACCAACTCGCGTATGAAAACACGAATGACGAATTCATCTCCTTTCGAGTCGCGCATGTAAATCGATTTACCGGATATAACTCTCTAGCTACTCTCTTCAGGTATATATTATTTTTTGCATCTTTTTCTCTCGACATAAACATCGTACGAGAGAAAAGAGGCGGCTGTGGAAGATGAGATTGTGCCATGTGAGTGAGTTCATCGTAAAGCGCAGACACTGACGATGAATGAGTTACTCAGTGACACTTTTTTTTTGCTTTATGGAGACCGATTGTCGCGCGGTATATAGTAGCATGGAGAAGTTCGCCGAGTATATTAGACTTCTTTTTATGTTTCAAAAAGTTTTCAGTTGTTCGAATTGATGCATCACGAGAGAGAGAGAGAGAGAGAGAGAGAGAGAGAGAGAGAGAGAGAGAGAGACAATAATGAGTTATTCATACGAGAGATATACTCGTATTACCAACGTTCTCCTTTTGTTGGCTTTTTCAGGAGATAATTTCTAAAACGATTTGATTTTATGTGGAGCTATTGAAATATTTCAGATCATTTTGTCAAAAAATGTATTCTCTTTCTATTTTTTCAAATTTCAGAAATCAGCAAAAAAAACTTGTTCTCCTAACATTACTGATCGTTTTCATGGAAAAAATATCATGAAATATACAAGATATTCACACTTTCCAGCGATTTTTCAACGGACAAGAATAGGACGCTATTGCAATTCAAGTGAAGACCTTAAAGCGTCGAGAACACGCGAACGGACAAAAGCAAAATGACGCTAACAAGAGAAAAGAAGCGCCGAAACGCGAGAAGAACGCGACAAAGCGAAAATTTTCGGGGAATATAGTTTTTGCGACAGTGTAAAAATATCCTCGTAACCTCTTTTCAACTTACACGCTTGCAGAATTAAAATTAAATGGAATAGAAAACTCGAGAAGTACGTTTGAATGAACTTGTTTTTTCAAAAAAATATTATTATTACGATAATCGAATGAGCAAACAGATCGATGATGTATAATTTGTGAGAAATATGAGTTGATGATATTGTTGACATTCTGTCGCGGCTGGTATTTCTCTTTAGAGTTTTTCCTATATGGGGATTTCCTTAGCTTTTTGTTGACTTCGTATAGTAAGTACATTTGCGACAAATATAGACTTTGGATATATCATCAATTTCATTTGGCTTTGAGTGACATTATTTGAATTGTAATTAATTCCTTCCTTGTGAGAAATTTCTTTCAAATAATAATATAAAATTCAAATATGTATAAAACAAAAATAATTTTGATTGAGATTGTTAACTGCAACATAACTCTTAGAAAAGAATGCAATTAATTTTATTCATATTCGACGTTCTTTGCAAAAAAGGCATTAAATGAATTTTCACAATACCATTTCACCATTGACGATACGACTGAAAAGAATGTTTTTTTCTTGCTTTCCTTTTATTATCACGAGTGTAAAATCTATATCACTTTCGCTTACACACACACACACACACACACACACACACACATACATGCATTTATATATATCTCGCGATATGCACGTCGTAGAAAAAGAGAGCTAATGCGAAATCCATATCGGCCGCGTTTTAGAGAAATACGAAACTCCGGCAGAAGATGCTTCACCGGGATCGTATCTTTTGCCTGTCATATATCGGCTGGATTCTTTTATTCTTGACTTTTATCGATATGGAGTGCTCGTATTGATTCGATCATATATTTGTGGCATATCGAGATTTTGTACACTCACATCAATTAGATTACTGAGCAATCATATAATTTCTTACCTGATTGAGTGGGCATTTCGATCACAGAAAGTCAATTAGCATTTGTATATCGTGTAATTTGAGATATAAAAAGTCGCGAATACAAAATGTTTAAAAATATATGTCACATCGAATTTTTAGCCATATGCATCCAAGTAAAAATTCATGCACGAGTATATAAGAAACTTGAGAGACACGTGAATTTTATTTTTTTGCGCGTAACTTACCATATTCACGAAAGTATACTTTTGTTACCGCAACGAAATTGTGAATAATATCGTAAACAAGAGAAGAAGAGAAACAGCACGTGAAAACTTTCGGCGGCGAGAAAGTTTGGAGTGTTATAGTGAGAAAGTTTGTAGATGAGGATCGAGCGAGAGATTTTTCTTTCTTCTTTGTTTTTTATGCATCGTTGCAATGAAAAGTGGTTTCTAATTGATTACTTTGCTGGTACAGTGTTGATCGACTGTCGTTGTGAATTGGATTGTTTTTCACTTTGTAGTCGAAGATTGATTAGCAATTTATTACTTGGTCTTTTAGTGTCTGAATAACGAAGGAGAAATGTTTATTTAAATGATAATGAAGAAGTCTGTAAATTATTTGATTATCCATACAATATCTCAAGTTATTTCATTTAGAATAACAATTGTATTTAGCTATTTGAAAAACAAAATCATGAAATAATCCATTTTCCATCTGAAGATGTGATTTAACGCTACTAAGTAGCAATGATTCTAAACATGAGAAATCAAAAAGTATAATTATTATTAAGAAGTGGTTCTATTACTTCAGTGTATTTTGAATAATTTTGTCATTTCCTTTGTCAAATGAAAAAAATAGTTCCCTTATTTAATGAAATCAAGAAATTGATTTTCTAATAATTAATGCTTTTTATTTAATTTAAAAAAATATTTATATTCAAAATAAGAAATATTCTAAAATAAAACAATTTTCCTAGTTATTGACTTGAAACAAAAATATTGAAATTTTAAAATCCAAATATGAGAGAGTTTTGCTTTTAGGTAAACCAAAAACTATTAATTACTAAAATTTTTGGTAAATGGTTTTTACGAACAGAAAATAAATCTCTTGTGAATAACGAACATTTTGATAAATAAAAAATTTCATTTTATCTTTTTATATACTCAAATCTCAGTTAAAGATAATTGGAAATCGCTCAATAAATTTTTAAATAACAATTACTTACAGTAATAAGACGAGAAGTGAACACTGCTCGTGCAAAGGTATCGGACGAAGCAAGGAGCATCGAAGCAGGTAGTTCGGACATGACTAATCAGCTAGACTCGATACGCGAGCTTAGCGACAAAGCCCTGCCATATATTAAGAAATTCGAGCAGAAACGATGGTTATTTGGATTTTGTGAGTGTATATTTTTGATTATACATGAATTATAATTGCTTTTATTGTTTTTACATAGTTTCTGAGTACATTATCAACTATATGCATAAGTATTATGCATTATATTTAATAACTAATAAAAACACATCGGCTCAAACTTTTTAGCCAGGCATTTTAACGAATTTACTAAAATGTTTATCGCCAAGCTTTCGAATAGTCCAGAAATAATAGAATTAAATTATATCTTTGAATAGTGTTGCGAAAAAATCAACGCTCGCATTCTTAGCAGGGCAAAATTGTCCTATCCTAAATCTAATAATTTATTCGATTCTCCGACATTCACGCCGATTGTTTGCGGGTACAACGACCTACAGCCACGGCAATGTGCGTACTGTTCATCTGGCTATTGCTTTTCGGCGCAGTCTGCTGTCGTTGCGGCTGTTCCGAAGGCCGAGTTCGTCCCACTCTTTTGTGGTGAGTGATCAATGTACGCAAACAATATTGACTGGCACGTTGAACGTTGATTTGTTCTACTTGAAAGAAAATCCTTTTTTTTCAGGTTCATCTTTTTCAGTACATTCGTGTCGATTGGCTTATGGTTAGTGGTTATGATGGTACTCACAATTGCTTCACATACGGAAATGTTACTTTGTCGGCCACTCGATGATCCTGAATTTAGGACGGTTGAGGCGATTCTTCAGACGCGGCCTTTTCTGGGCAAAAGGTTGAGCGTGCCACTCAAAGATCTTTTTGAGTAAGTCAAAATAGTTAGATATTTTAACTTATTTTTAGATACGTAATTTATTCCTTTTTTGGTGTATAAGTCATAGAGTTATAACTTTGTCGTCCAAGCGCCTTGATATTTCGCAATCACACTACCTAGTTCCACATTATTATGAAAAAAACTCAAGCAAAAGCAATCAACTAATATACATAAACAATTCAAATTCCTGTGAAATGACAAAGTTTACCTAATCTAACATTTAACTTTTCTCATTCAATAAACTCAGTCAAGCGTATTATGCAAAACGTTCCTTTAGAAAGTGCGAGGAGAATGACGCAGCTTATCCAGCCTATCAGTTACACAACAGTGGGCATTTGGAACAATTAACATCGCACTGGACGTGGAACGGCTTGACACGTGCTTTTTCAAGGCTCAGAGTCGACCTCACTGGGTTACGAATATTATCACCGAATCTACGCGAACGACTGCAAAATTTACTCTACGCCAGCGGACCTAATCTCACCGAGCACCGAATTATGGTAAGCTCTGCGTAAATATACCAAACTACAGAAGACTACGAGTGGGAGGTTGTTCAAGAGATCATCAATCTATAAGCTTTCGTGAAATTCTATTACTTTTTTGTTGACAAAAACAGATTCAAGGATCAATACTCAACAAAGACTTGAACGCACTGTCGGATCAAGTGGAAAATGTAGCTCGCCAACTGACGGATCGCCGTACGGCACGTACTTTTCAAACGATAGCCGCGCAAATGCGCGACTTACTGTCGAGACGGGTTAAGCCGCTGATGAAGATGCAAGACGAGCTGGTTTATCATTTGGCGACGCTCGAACTTCATTTGCAACCGCTTCAAGAGAAAGTAAACCAGACAATGTTGCAACTACGCAACGTACAGTACTTTATCGATAATCAGGGCGACAAAATTGCTCAGCTTGTGAGTAAACACTTTAATTTCTCGCTTTTCGTTGTATTAAGCTGTTGGTTGTTTGGAATTTTATAACATAAACATGATGCTTTATGTCACTTACATTAAAATCTATGGTAATTACAGAAAACAAAAGCATTCGTGGATAGACTGAGTAGCTATCTAGACGAGTGGCGAGCGCACGTGCTAACCGAGATGAGCACCAAGGTATCCAAGTGTCGACCTCTCTGGGATATTCTTCAAGGCATCAAGCTGCTTATTTGTAGTCACATTTTGGGTCCACTGGTACATTGCATTATTACGCTTTGTAGACTAATACTTTTTACTAAAATTTTATTTTCTGCAAATTGTTAAAAAAACATTAAATTTTAAGTATTTACACTGTTTAAGCTACTCTTATTAAGTGAAAAAGTCAGATTTCTAACTATTTACTAAATATTTTTTTCAGAATGGGTTCTGGTTTGCAACATTCATATGTGCAATGACGTTAGTATTATGTACTCCCTCGGCTCATAGCGTCGCATCGGGATACCATCGAGTAGCTTCCAGCAAAGGATCAGTGCTTTTACCGTCGCGACAGTATGCTTATTATTTTTTTAAATCTTTTATTGAAAATTCATAAATTGTTACTCCAATAATTTTTCTTTTCGCTACAGGGGCAGTCCAGATACTGTTGTCATGGAACGCGAAACTTGGCAAACTCCGTGAGTAAATTAGAAAATTGTATTTTATTGAATGTTGATTGAAAATAGTAAAATTTAAGTCCTATTTCTTCCTTATTTTATAATATGTTTAATTTCAGACCACCGCCATCGATCGACAGTTGGTGAACCGAAAATTTGTTAAAAAATACTCATCAATCTACTAAATCAAGAATAAATCAATGTTTGCTAGTTTTCAACGCTGCAATAATTTTTCTTCAATCATTATTATACATCGAAAAAGAAAAGTTGCTTTTAAAGATAATCATTATTATTAAATATTAAATAGTTACATTAGTTTGTTTTTGTATAACTACTTTTTATCATTATAAAACATTTAAGCGAACACTGTCATTTTTGTTATTTATGAATGATTTGTAAGTAAAATAAAACACGATTGTCTATTTTTTAAAAATTACAAGTTATACCCTCATTCCAGTCTTCGTTAAAAGATTATTTTCTCATAAAGTATCAAAAGTTTAGTTGAAGTGGAATTGCAAAAAATAAAACGTTATAATTGGTCTGAATTGTTAGCAACGATAATAGTGATTTCCACTACAACATAATATAAGCCACTTCCTTGAATTCAGCTCAAGCTAAGTAATTAGTCTAATTGGCAAAAGGTTATTTCAAAAGTTGATATATTTGAATATTTTCCTATATTTATATATTAACTATTAATATATTTATATAACAATATTTTCCAATCGTAAGTTTTTACTGTGCAAACATTAACGACAGCGATTTGACAAAAATGAAATTTTTACGTGCAGCCCTACTTTTCATAGTAGCAACTTTTGCGACGATGAATCTAGCTGAAGCTAGTCCGAAATCTAAACCAAAGCGTAAGTTAAGTGTTTTTTCAAAGCTTTGAAAGTATTGAAATTTCGAATAGAAAATAAATTAAGGTTTGGTTGCCAATGTATTTTGACTCGTACACCAGAATTTGAAGTTAAATGAACATATCAATTTACATTTTTTGTTATATTCAAAAACTATAAAAACATTATAAAGAATTATATTTTTGTTTTAATTGATATTTAGCGCCGCCATTAGCGATGTCACAAGCATTCGCGGTGATGAACTCAGTGATTTTTTAGAAAACTAGAAGTTTATTAAGCGCGCGTGAATTTTGTAGCTTGGTCAATTAACGTAATATTTAACCTATATCATAATGTATAAAATATTAAAAATGCATTTTTTAACAGTGATTTTTTTATATTTTACGATATATGTATCGGTATATAACATAATATATCATATAATACTATTAAGAACAAATTTTATATCGTAAAAATTTTAATATAAATGAAAAAAATTATAAATATAAGTCTTTATATACATAACTTTTTATGCTGTTTTTATTAGAACAGTTAATATATAATTTTAAAGAATCCTAAGACCTAAATCCTAAGACGATAAAGCAACATACAAATGTTCGTGACTAAAAAAATTATTTCTTAATAAATCTATTCCAATTTTATCAAAAGTTTATTAATTGTTATTGAAAATGCTAATTTAATAGGGAATTCTCGTCTTCTAAGAAGAAACGGATAATCAGTTTCCGATGAATATAAAGTTATACGATTAATAAATACTATGTCACTTTTTATCACCAGTTAATATTTCACATTTTAGCATATTATTAACGAGTTCTTAAACCAATAAACGTGTACCATTACATAAACATTCAATAATACTTAGATTTCGAATAATCATTACAATGGAATATTTTCTTAGTTTCAATTCATACGGTGGAAGAGATTAAGGAGTGAAAGTATTTTAATATTCTGATAATAAAATATCATTAAATCCTTCGTTATCGCAATTCTCAGTACTATCAATACTTTTATAAATTTTATCCATCGTTTCATCCAACAAATGTTACAACAGTTTTATTAATTTCATTTACGTCCACATTTCGTGCAGATAATATTGCATAATTAATTGCTCGTTTATATTGTTTACTATGGAATATATCTCCATAAATATCAGAAACTATATCATCAACTTTCTTAGTTATTGTAATACATTTTTCAGGAATATTATCTAAATTTAAATTATCATCAATATCATTCGATATTCTATCGCCAACATTTAATAAAAATTTTGTAAATTCTATCTCTTAAGGTAAAATTCACATATTTTGAGTTAATGAATATTTAACAATATTTTGACAATAAGAAAAACGATTAATAGACAAATCAACTATTTCACTGCGTGTACTATTTACTTTAACACGAAGTGATTGCCTAAAATCTTCTCCTAAAATAATTGTTTTTCCACCGAATAAATAATCATAATCCATAATATCACGCAAAATTCGATCCGTAACATCTATTGCACATCTTGAAGCCATAGGAGCTTCGGCCCATATAAATACATCTATTTCTTTTAAATACGCAGCTTCACGTAATTCTAACTTTATATTTGATGACGAATCCGAAAATAAAGGTACTGATAATTTAAATATTTTATGTAGTATTTTGCCTCGAGGTAACAATGTAGCAGCTATCCCAGTAAAAGCCATAGTGCATAATTTTTTATCATTTCCTTTTAAAAGATACCAAAGTGTTTCATTCTAGAATGTTTTACCTGATCCGACAGGACCATCTATAAAGCTAACATTTATTATAATTATTTATTTCATCGTTACTTTAATTAAAAACATTATTCAAAATATCAACTATTTCTTTTTGCTTTTCATTCAATTTTCTCTATCTATTGATAGTTAACTAACATTTTGCATTAAATTTTATATTTGTGGAATATTATCGAGACTTCTTCCTTCATTTTTAAATAAGTTATACACACACACACGCGCGCGCGCGCCACGCACGCACTCACACACATATATATATATTCGTAATAGCTTTATAATAACTTTCATTTCTGCTGTATTCATGAATAACATCTTCAGTTAGTTGATCTTTAAAATCAACTAAAATGGCGGCGCTCACTCGAAACCGTGGAACTCCAGAACGCGAAATCTAAAATGTTAGCGGCCACTCGAACACTATCGGTCATCCAATATGTCAGTACTCTAAGGCGTTGCTCCCTTTTATGTTTGGATAATAATAATAAATAATAAATAATAAATAATAAATAATAAATAATAAATAATAAATAAAATAAATAAATAAATAAATAAATAAATAAAATAATAAATATTAATAAAAAACAACAAATAAAATAAATAAATAATAAAAAATAATAATAATAAAATAATAGTAATGAAATCGTAAAGATAGAATGAATGGCATCAAAATTCAATGTAATGATGACTAAAGATTGTACACTTTTATAGAATTCTTAATATATTTATAAATCAATGTATAGTTTGCCTCAGTTGAAATACGAGTATATTATGACGATTGTCATTATAATAGTAGCTTTATAACTTTTCAAATAATAATATAATTATAGCCAGTTCATAAAATTAATAGTTCTTACAAATATAATATTTTGAACTACGAATAATAATTAAATTATTGTTTATTTTTATTTCTATTTAACACTAAACCTACTGATATATTATATATACCTATTTCTACCGAATGGCGGTTAAATGACCGCTTTTTAAATAAACAATTATAGTCTTTTCCAGTTGATTGTAATTAATACAGAATTTAACATAAACAATAAACACAAAATAATTATCATATAATAATTAAAAAACATTTATTTTTCAGGTTTTATGAGCGGTCATTTGACCGCTCTGGTAGGTTTAGTGTTAATGTCACTTCACTAAGAGAAGAATAACTACAATTTGCTTAGTAGATTTTATTCTAAGCTCATTCAGGAATTTTGATCAATTCCCTGATCATTAAATAAAGTATCGCTTGCTTATAACAATCATAAAAAATCGAAAGGTGATCGAAAAACTATATTGCTAATATTATTATAAATCAAATAAATATTCAAACTTCAAAGCTACAATAACGTGTATTTCATTTTTATATATAACTTTTCATTAACTTGTAATAAGTAATTTATGTGAAATTTCAGTATTTGACTGAAATCAACAAAAGTCAATTTCTATGTACAAATGAAATTCCATTGTATTCTTTATTTATACAACTAACGTGCGGCTCTCATTATAAATAAAGTATAACTAGAAAATTTAATAGTGAAAGGCAAAAGATTTTTCTAATTACCTAAATTAAGTTAGACAAGTTAAGTAAAATTATTTAATTACTTTTTCCGTTGGTGCTCTACGAAAAATTAAACATAAAGTTCAAAATAGTTTATTATTTATGTGTTATATGCCTACTTCAGATTAAAAACATGACAATTGTCAGTGTATTTAACCGTTAATTCTAACGTTTACTTGAGAAAATAATTATTTAAATTATTTTATACGAAAAATTGAAATGTAAATATTATTATCAATATTTTGTTGTAATTTCTAGCTATTTTCAGCTTGGAAATTATCAAGAAAAATATATATATAGATTATGATAATTAGATCGCTGAATCAAATCTTCAAATTCAGATAAATATCTGATTGTTTGTAATATATATCGAAAGAAATTGAAATACCTATATTCTAAGTATATCTACTTATAATCATTTATTTTTAAATAAATTATTTTACATCATTTCTAATATGTTACGAAAAAGAGAAATCAATATACAACTGTATCGTCAACCATTGAACCCTATTACCATACAGCGTTCAAAGTTACGTTTGAATTGAGAAATGGATTTCATAAAATAAAAGAAAGCATGTCGGAGATTATTCTACGTCATTTTTCTGACGGTATAAACAATAGGATGAAGCACTCTTGTATCAAGCTTAAAAGACGCCTTATAAATGGAAAAAAAGCCAAGTATTTTACAGAACATGAACATTTATGAATATTGTATGAGTAATTGTATCCTTTTGTTGTCTCAAATTGCTAAAATTTTGTTCGAATTCCTACAAGTACTTTGAATAGGCTTTTCCAAGATGAAAATTAAAAAAGGTGCGTATATATATTTATTAATTACGCGCATGCGCGCGCACACACACAGCGGGTCTGTTTTACGCATTGAGGACTTTATATTTCGAAACTAAAAAGAGCTATCTTACGGAGAAATTCTACCATTAAATATTCGTTTCAATATTTATGACAATATCTTATAAGTAAACTTCGATTTAATTTATTGCACTAACTACATATATGGTTATACAAAAATACAATTAAAATAAAATAAAACACAAACGATTGTGGATTGCAAATAAAAATAATTCAATTATTAAATAAACTCGTGTTCTTGTTTCATTTTATTTCTATAGAATTTGGATGGTTCAGTACGTCCACAGAAAACCCAAATATACCTTGATAAATCATCACGCCAGTTTGGGAACAATTCGTCTTGCTCATTAAGAAATCATACCGGCTCGAGATGCATTATTCTCTGCAGAGCCCGAGAGTGACCGAGCAATTAGCCGGGTGACCTTGAGGACTCGCTGTCACCCCGCCCTTTCAAACCACTTATTGGACCCTCGTTAATAGTCCCAAGTAGTGAGGGTATTTCCTCGAATTTTCTTGGCCCGAAAACGAGAAAACTTTGGTTAGTTGTTTTTCTCTCCTCGAGGAAGCATTACTGTATGATATTCTCTCCGCAATTCTTCGCTATTTTCCGTGTGACTACTTTTCGGCGTATCGTGCAAGTGTGCCGTGTATATGCAAATTGTGTTCAACGGGATCGTTCACGTCTCTCGTATTATAATTTAAGTAAAATTGTAACAGCAATTTGTGCCTTGTTGAGTGATCCAAGTCTTGTAAAAGCCAACAACACCAGCGTTGAGGCCTCTCTGTGTGGCTTTGGAAGAGAATACACCGGTACTTCAAAGTCCAACCGGTGGATACGATATCAGACAAAAGATATCAATTTTATAGATTGAGAAATTATTCTTAAAAGGTAAAACGTTTTCTTTAATTAAAAAAAATATTCATTTCATTAAAAAAATGTATTATTCTATCTATACTGTTCTGTCTGTGAAAGTGTGAGTATGAACTCATACTTTCTCATGTAAGTTAAAAAATAATAAATTCAAGAACCGATTATTGTTATTCAACGAAGATTGTAAAGCAGATTTAAGTGAGAAATACACCCCATTAATTAACGGCTCATTGATATCACCAATGAAATAAATTTATTAACTTAAATAAAACTTGAAAATATTTATTGAAATTTTTAATTTACATAATAGTTTTGGATAACGTGACAACGAACAACAATTTATCAAAAATTGTAAGATAATACTATATATTTTCGTACAGTGTAAAATTTAAACTGCTGCAAAAATAAATAAAACTATCATCCTACTTTTATAATTGATTGTAACAACCAAAAGTACGAATGAAAGTAATCTAACCAATCGAAACAGTCGAAAAAGCACTGGCCTCGCCAATTGAATTGTTCGCTATACAGTGATAAGTCCCAGCATGACGTTTATCAAGACGTTCAAGTTGTAACCAAGAAGAACGTATCGTGGATTCTGGATCCTCGCTCGTATTTACAGCGCCGTCTTCCCATTCGTCATCTGCGAATTCGATAGAGCTTATATTTGAAGGTTTTTCAATTTACACGATCAAGTGTAATAGTATCAATTTATTGCATATCTTTCTAAGAAAATGCTTTAAATAACTTAATTTTATAGTATTTTCAATTATTTCGTCTGAGTTTTACAGAAATTTTGGAAAATTAACTTAATGTATCTAGAGATTCAGTAATTTTATCATTTTGTTTTTTTAATAGCTTACTGTTATTTTAATTTTATGACTGAAATTATCGTTCCGTTTCAAGATGTACTCAAACAAACAAACGACATTTTTCCGAGCACCTGCGCGTGCTTTGTAATAGCTTTTGTTGCAATAAATTTAGCTGAAGCGGTAGTTTAGAGTATAAGTTATGTTTTATATTGCATGATCATTATATTTCATACATTTATGAAACTAGAAAATTTTATAATTTTCAGTCAAACTATTCATGAAAAGACAGATACGACTTACAAATCTCTTCAATGTTTTTACTAAAGTTTTTCTTTCATTTTTACATCCTATACATTTGTAAATTAGTATTTAGCCTGCTTTGTTAATTGGGATCGGACCATCTGGCTTATTTAATAAATGTTAGCATGAAAATTGAATGATTGGATTACTTTTAAAAAACCAAATAAATTTTAATAAATTATTACTAAATATTATAAACTATAAATATTCTCATTAATCTTATTTATATTCTATTTCAGGGTGTAAACAAACTACAGATCTATATTGGGTACTTCCATCGGTAAGTAAATTTATGTATTAAATTGTTAAATTGAGATAATATCTGCTATATTAAAGTATAATTTAAAAAATATGAATGATGTTATTTTACATGAATTTGTCTATATTAGTTTATTTGTAAAAGAGAAACATGATTTCCAACTCACTTGGTAGTCGTAAAACCCTATTGTTATCGGCAGCATGAAACTCCCAGAATACATCAGGTAGAGGAAAACCTTTAACTTCACAATTCAAAGCAATGAGTTGTCCTTCCCCTGCAATAAAATCTTCTGGTGCTGAATAAATACTCGGCCGGCTAGGACATGGTCCCAAATGCTGTAGCCGTAGATTTGAATCTTTATTACGCATCGCTTCTTCGTGTAAAGCGCATGGCGTTGGATAAGTGCGATTATTACTAGCACAGGCAAGTGATTGCTCCATACACACGCAAATCGCTTCCGGTTGATCCTGAAAATTAATTTTTTTTTCTTGAAAATTTCATCACCCATGTGAAATGATAAAACAGCCAAATAGATAATACTACATAACGATGTAAAAGTATCATTGGTGCAATTTTATGAATTTGCCGGGAATTCACTTCGTAAACCGACATTCTGAAAAATCATGTCAAAAGCCTAATTGCCACCATAAACTTGCGAAAATGCACTAGTAGCTCCATCAGCTTGTCAAGCGTCCATCGTGTACTAGATTAAGTTGAAACCACGAGCGTAATCAGCTCTCTATCTCTGTCGGCACGCGGGTACCCGACAATTATCGCGCTGATTGCACGATTGCGAAGGCGCTAAAAGATGAAGCCTGCCGTCGTAGCCGGTCAGCGACACCATATATGGGTAATTCTAGGCTATTTCGATTGACTTGTAACCCTTAGGTTACGGATTTTTTTTTAATTTCGCACAATTGTTGTACACATAAAACTGAGATTTTTCCCAAATTTTGGAGACGATACATTAATTATATCAAAAGTTATTAACAATTAAAGAAAAATGATAAAAAATTTTCAAACAGCTATATTTTAAAAACTAATAAAGATATCGAAGTCGGATTTTTTTCAAAATACTTATAATGCCTTAAAATTTCGAAATAATTACAACAATAAACAATAAAAATTTTTTTTCGAAAGTTATTAACTTTTTGTTTAAACAATTGCTAATATCTCAAAAAGTATATTTTTTTTTTTGAAAAATTCTTGCTCCTACGTATTCCTGAGGATTTTTGCTATCGAAATCAATCATAAAATTCAAGGGCCCGACATATCGGAAAGCGTAGCCCTAATCAAAAGAAGACGCCTCGGCGTAAGGCTGCGGTAGCGCTCCAGCGGACTCACGGTCGAAAGGTACTTTAGCTTTAATCTAAAAAACTAATAAAGATACCGAATCGGAGTTTTCCCAAATTACTTATAATACCTTGAACTTTCGAAATAATTACAACAATAAACAATAAAAATTTTTTTTCGAAAGTTATTAACTTTTTGTTTAAACAATTGCTAATATCTCGAAAAGTATTTTTTTTTTTTGAAAAATTCAGCGACCGGACACCGAGGCATCTTCTTTTAATTAGGGCTACGCTTTCCGATATGTCGGGCCCTTGAATTTTATGATTGATTTTGATAGCAAAAATCCTCAGGAATACGTAGGAGCAAGAATTTTTCAAAAAAAAAAATACTTTTCGAGATATTAGCAATTGTTTAAACAAAAAGTTAATAACTTTCGAAAAAAAATTTTTATTGTTTATTGTTGTAATTATTTCGAAAGTTCAAGGTATTATAAGTAATTTGGAAAAAATCCGATTCGGTATCTTTATTAGTTTTTTAGATTAAAGCTAAAGTACCTTTCGACCGTGAGTCCGCTGGAGCGTTACCGCAGCCTTACGCCGAGGCGTCTTCTTTTGATTAGGGCTACGCTTTCCGATATGTCGGGCCCTTGAATTTTATGATTGATTTCAATAGCAAAAATCCTCAGGAATACGTAGGAGCAAGAATTTTAAAAAAAAAAATATACTTTTTGAGATATTAGCAATTCTTTAAACAAAAAGTTAATAACTTTCGAAAAAAAAATTTTATTGTTTATTGTTGTAATTATTTCGAAATTTTAAGGCATTATTAGTATTTTGAAAAAAATCCGACTTCGATATCTTCATTAGTTTTTAAAATATAGCTGTTTGAAAATTTTTTATCATTTTTCTTTCATTGTTAATAACTTTTGATATAATTAATGTATCGTCTACAAAATTTGGGAAAAATCTCAGTTTTATGTGTACAATAATTGTGCCCAATTAAAAAAAAATCGGTAACCTAAGGGTTACAAGTCAATCGAAATAGCCTAGAATTACCTATATGCGTATTCGTCGCAATTGCAACAATTGTCAAAACGATGATATATCGCTGATCTTTCGCATTTCGTGGCATGTCGTTCTCGTAAAAGCGAGCTTTTGTAGTTTATGGCATGCTTGTTTTATAATACTCTCGAATCAAAAACAATTACACGCTCATTTTTTCTCATTTCATTCGCAAATTAATAGGTCACACTTGTGTTTAGCGCTCTGTAACCTTGTCGATTCTCGACAATTAGAAAAAAAAGGAAATGCATAAAATCTGACCTCGGATTCCAGATCATCCCTTAATTTACACACATAATTCCTAGCGCATAGACCTTCTGTCCGTCGTCCTTTCGGCAGTTCCGATATGCTCGCGTTCCAGCACGATTCGCCGTCGAGTCTTGCACATACGCCATTACTACAACAGCCGCAAGTGTCAGGCACCGAGCCTAGCAAGCATTCCTTTGGATCAGAAGGACACCTGAAATTGTGTATATTTTATTATTCGTCTGCATTTTAAATCAAAGGTTGTAGTGAGTGCATTGCTGCAGTGTATACAATTAATACTTGCTTGCGATATTAATATCTTAGATAAAAGTTAACAAAAAAATGTGTGCACGCACGCGTTTACATTTAGATTTGGTTTCGTTTTATCATTCTTAGGCGTGTCGGTCATGACGAATTCGAATTAAATGACATAAATAAACAGTTTAATCGTTGCCTGAATCATTTGACAATTTAGTCATTGAAAACAACCGGTTTATATATTTTTATTTAACAATTCTGACATTAAATTTTTTTCGCGAATTGTTACTTTGCTTATTTATTTTTGTTCATAAAGAGCTTTTAATAACGAAATTCGAAAAAAAACAAACCATTTGCGCATGACTTTGCTCTCAGATGAAAGCAATCTAAACTCACCTGTAATCCCCACACACGTGACAGCCCTCGGCATAGATCTGCTCAGTAGTAGCAAACGATTCATCATCATCATAAAATCTCGGTGGTGAAGTCGTGCGATGTGCGTTAGCACAGCAGCAATAACAGACGACGAGGAGTAACGCAATCGTGATCGAGCGTTGGCACGTCATTTCGCAGACTGACACTCTATCCTATCTCACATACGACTCCGACAGCTTTAACACGACTTTTATCTTGTTCGTAATGGTCAGAGGAGAGATAAATACTCGGCTCAGTTCTCTGTACAGGCTCAACGCCTGTTTTGGTGCAGTCAACCGAGAGATCTGATTTTTTTTTTTGAGGCAACAGATTCGTTGATTGATTGGCGGATTTGATTGCGTTTGGATGTGGATTTTTAACGATGTCGTTTTTGTTTGGGTTAATTGCAATAGCCAACAAAAAAATCAATTGACGTTTGGTCCAGTCCAATTTTATAATTAGTGTGATTTTTTGTTGGCTCTATGTGTATCTCTAATATTAGTTGTTTTCATAAGAATGATTGCAAGAGTCATCGGCCAATCATGCGTAGGCTCCATCAATTAAAAATTGCCGAATACTTTAATTTCGTGATACCATACAAATCGCCTATCATTCGCTGAATTTACGAAGGATATAAATAGATGCGATATTTAAAATTAAGCCCACCTGTAATAAAACAAAAAAGCGGATGAGAAAAGACCCGAAATTCTCGGGGCATAAGACATTGAAGCGACAAGAATTAGATAGCGCGTCGAAGGTTTCATATCTGTCGCCGCGTACATGTAGAAATTTCCGATAAAAAGGCGCGTCCGCAGTTTATATATGACATAGTGCATCCTATACAATTTTATTCTTTCTTTTTGTCGCGTTTTCTGTTCTTTTTGAATTTAGACAATAGACGCTGATGATCGTCGGAAGCTGCTTTCCTCGGGCCTACGTAGTATTTGCAAGTGGGCGGGCATTTGCAGTGCTTTGCCTTTTTGTTCTTGTCCGCGCTACTCGTTAAATACTTGGTGCACTGAAATTACAATTTACGCTTACTTTTTTTGTACACACTGATTGGCTCTATCTGCTGTATAGCTATAACACGGTAAACCCATATGTTTAAATTTAAACGTTTAATATGACGTCACCCATAAGAAATACATTGTCCTCAATTTTAAACACTTCTAAACGTTTAAATTCAGCGACAATATATTTCTTATGGGTGACGTCACAATTACACACTTAAAACGTTTACATTTAAAAACATAGGTTTTTAAGGTTTTGCCGTATAAGTCATTGTAAGAAACCTCATCTTCGTTCTTATGAAGTCAATAAAATTAAAACATTAAATTGGATTATAGAGAACGACAGTGACGCAATGAAATATAAATCATAGTTTATAAACATCATTTACACTGAAAAATATAGAGAGAATTTGAGCATTGATATACAATAGTTCAGTTGCGGAAACAATCGAACCGAAAAGTCTGTTCTGTGTAATCCTTTTCTAACGAAGAGAAATGGAGATTTAACGAATACAGATTTCAAGAAAATGGTCGACTCACTCGTAAATCAATCTTACTAATCCGCTCGACTGCAGCATCACTCAAATTATTCCTCGCCTTAGTTCTCTTCAATTTCTTGCTTGACTTATTCGTAACTGCATCCTCTCGTTTTCTCTCGCAACCCACGCACGCGTCGACCCCTCTTCCGCCAACTTGGGTCTCCTTACTCGAGCACTTCTTATCTATATACAATTCGCCAACTGTTCCGTAAAAAGAAAGGAAAGAGAAAGAGAGCAAGAAAAAGAAAGTCAGCTTCTTACTTTCGACCGTGTAATCGCAGGGAGTAATTTTTGCCAACGTTAGCTTCCTTCGTGAGACTTGTGTTGCGCAATTTAACGTCTTCTTCGTCGCTGTGTTGCAAATGCAACTGTGGAAATTGCACTGTTTTCTCAGGGGTGTTCGCGAACGACGTCTTGATTGTTTACTTGAAAGGACAATTTTCTTTTTTATGAACTTTCAAAGTGTTTCATTGGATGAATTTTAAATCGATATAATTTTATTAATAATAGAGGGTCCTACAACGGAAACAGGACGAAACGAAAATCCGCCAGATAAGTATTGTTCAATCGAGTAAATTATCAACTTTTTCAAAACTTAATTTCAAAAATATGGTTACGTAGAAAATGCGATAGGGCAACTTTTTTTTAAATAAACTTTTTTGATAGTTGTAATAAATACTATCAATGCACGGTTCTATTATATCTCGCAGAGCCGGCTGCCGCGGTGATATATCAGCCGAACATCAAAGTCACGCTCGACGCTAACAACGCGCAACTTAAGAGCGTACTACTACTGGGCAATTCTTGGCTATTTCAAACAGTTTAAAACATCAAATCACCAATTTTGTTCAAAGTTGATAGACTTGTTACCTATACAGAGGTCAACATTTTTGCAGAGTTTTAGATCAAAATATTGATAAGGGGCCGACTTATCAACTGTTGAAAAAATATTGGACTTTTTTTTATTAATTCGATTTCTCGGAGATTATAAGGATATGGACATGATTCTTTTTTTAAAAGACGCGGAAAGAGTTTCACTGTTTAAATATAAATAATAAAACACCAAATCATTTATTTATGTCACTGTTATATACAATTTTTCCAAAACATCGACGATATCTCAAAAAACGATATTTTTTTTTAATTTTTGCACCATCGTGTTACTTGTCATTTTTTACATAAGAAGCCGATGAGAAAATCAAGTGCCCGCTATTAGGATTAAGACAGCACTAAAATGAAACGAACATTTTCAGATTTCTTTCAATAAGTAGTATAAAATTTAAAAAAAATGAATTAATTATTTTCTTTAGATTGGGAGAAAAGTAATGTTAAAGTCGCGCCATGCGTTTCGAAGACACTTAGCGAAATTTGGAGCGATTCAAATAACGACGGTCGACTTCTCCCACTACTCCGCAGCGCTAAAAGATTAAAAAAATCATTGATTCTGTTTACGTTCGATCGCGAATTTAATGTACGTACAATTGAAGCAAAGTCTAGGTATTTCACAGTTAAAAGAACCTTGGCTTTTCGCTTCGGATCGCTTAAAAAATTGTTCGTTATCTATATTAATCTTTCAACAATAGGTCGAAAATTTTAACAACCTGTAACTTTTTTATTAATTGACGAATTTTCTTGTGTTTTTTTTCAAATTGAAGCTCTGTTGACCATATACCGATATACATTGTAGAACACCAGAAGAGTCTTATAATACACGGCTAATTTCATTTTGCAACTAAGCAATATTTTAGAAAAAATTCCCTGAGTTGCAAATTAAATTTTTTTTTTTTAAATTGCAGTTTTCGATTATAAACTCTAACAAGTACCGATAAAAAAATCGGCGTCACTTTTCTTAACGATTCGGACTGTGCACAAAAGGAAACAGTTAATTTGTTGTTAACCGTCTGTATAGATTGAAATTAACATTAGAGCTTGCGGCTTCAAAGCTCATAATCTTTACGTAATAAGAACTACATTGAGATAGATGAACAATCTCTATGATCAAATATTGAACGGTAATTATTAAATAAACAATTGGCCTTTTTGTGTTAATAACTTTTTATCTAATTAACATGTATTAATGTGCGACATATGCGATTGTAGGTCTTGCCGAGATGAACAAAAAACCATCAGACCATTTTTCGTTTCAACTGCTAATAAAAAAGATATTACGCGAAAATATGAAAATAGATCAAATTTTTTTTTTTCAAACGGCTGGTTAACAATGTTCTGCACCGATTTCAGACTTTGGGTGACCATATGTTATTACACTCACTGTCAGCTATCCACAGTAAAAATTTCATGCTTTCCGGAAAAAAGTACGCGAAAAGCTCTTTTTCGGGCTCTATTGCCTGGACTAAAGGCTACGTCTCAAGGTTCTTGGTACATGCTAAGGGAAACACCCCCCTTACCCTAGCCTGCAAACTGTAATGGACAGTGAAAAAAAATACCATTCGAAATATCTCTAAGTGATCCCTCCAAAAATGCTCAATATTTTAATTGAACTCCTTCAGTTGTCTCAAAAAAAATTAAAAACTGATAAATTATAAATGTGTAATGATGGAACGAAGGGAAATAGTGATAGATGGAAAATTACTTAATTTTAATTATATTCAGCAACGCTTCGTCAGCACTTTTGCTGACCTCTTCGGGCTTTATTAATAAAAAAAAAAACAACAAATTATTAACAATAGAGTTTTCACAAGTAATTTTAAAAGTACATAATTATAAGTATAGATGGGTTATTTGGAAAGAACATACAATAAAATTAGATTGTTGTTTTTAACATATATATTAATAATTTTGAAAAAGTAAGATGGGTACAATTAAAACGAGCAAGGGTAAATTTTTCTGCCTTATTTCTTTGCAAAAATATTAAGTATTAGTAAAGATTATATTATATTATATTATATTATATTATATTATGTTATAAGTATTACTAAATACGCAGTTACAAAAAACGAAAAAATTATCATAGTTCTTAATTTTTTGAAACTGAAGGGGTTTAATTAAAATAATGAGCATTTTTGAGGGTTGGGTTCAGTTAGAGATATTTCGAATGATATTTTTTTCACTGGCCTTTGCATTACACCATTACACTTTGCAGGCTGGGGTAAGGGAGGTAAGGGAAACTGCATTTAGAACCGAGAAAACAAATTTTATATTATTGAAGTTCACGATACTTAAAATGACTATATTTTATCAGAGAGAGAATTGATCATTTAGTTCTTCGATCTTTTCATGTTTGAAAAGTAGATGACATTTTAGAAAACTTTTGGCGATATCATGCAATCACTAACGCTGCGAATTATGTAGTTCAATATACATTGGCTAGATGGATGTGACAAGTTCATTTGACTTTCAAACAAACTTGGCATTTGCTGAAAATATTATCTAAAACATTTATCAAAATTTATTTATAAAACCACTTGCTAAATTGCATTTCAAATAGTGACATATAAGAAAACTTATTGAGAGGATGATGCTTTTTGCGTCATGTAAAAATGTCTCGGAAGCGAAAAACAATGCGTGGATAATGCTATTTTTTTCATTTTTACTGTTTCCGATTGGAAAGAGATACATTTTTCGCTATACCTTACGATCATCACAACGCGATATCTGCACGTGAAGAGGTATCAAAGCAAATGAAAATATATCTGATAATAACAATTTTGACGTTCTACGGGAAAAAGAAAGCCTGCCGATAGACGACTGTACTTGCGACTCTGATTGTAGACCGATCATGTACGAGAGAGATGAGCTGCTCATCATCGAGAACTTAGCTTCAGTGCGTGTTAACGAAAAACAGAAAAAGCAGCTTCGCAAGACTACGTCTCAAGGCTCTTGGTACATGCTGAAGAAAACTGCATTTAGAAAAGCGGAGACGAATTTTATGTCATCGAAGTTCGCGATACTTAAAATGACTATATTTTATCCGAGAGAGAATTGACTATTTAGTTCTTCAATTTTTTTACGTTCGAAAAGATGACATTTTAGAAAACTTTTGGCGATATCATGCAATCACTAACGCTGCGAATTATGTAGTTCAATATACATTGGCTAGATGGATGTGACAAGTTCATTTGACTTCCAAACAAACTTGGCATTTGCTGAAAATATTATCTAAAACATTTTTCAAAATTTATTTGTTAAATTTATTAAATCCACTATAGTTCACGCCGAGATAAGCAATGAGCTCCACTTTAGTTTCCAGAAACTAAATTGGCAAGTTGACATTTCTCGAAAGAATGATTAATGATTAACGATTAATGATTCCGCCTTGAAAAATTAATACGACATTGTTAAGAATTTTGTTAAGTATTTGAAGTAAAAAACACTACTATATACAGACAGAATTTCGAAGTTGAAAATATTTCCCTTTCAAATTAAGGGTCCTACAACAGAAAGGGGACGAAATGAAAATCCAACAAATAAGTATTGCCCAATAAAGTATATTATTAACTTATTCAAAACTTAATTTCAAAAATATGGTTACATAGAAGATGCAATTGCGCATCTTTTTTCTAAATAAACTTTTTTAATAATTTTTATAGTTTATGAATTATTTGAACGAAAAGCCATTTTCGAGCGATCAAATTTTTTCAAAATTTTTCAATTTGACTAGCCATAACTTTCGCAAATGATATTTCTTTCTGAAACTTTAGCACGATAAACTTTGATGTATTGCGCGCCTGTTAAGTCGACGTATGATCTTTAATAAAGAATACAAACAAAATGGCGATTTTATAACAAAATTTGTTTATAAATTCCTTTATAAATATTTTATTGAAAATGTTGTGCGAGAAAAGCTTCAATTTTTAGTTTTGAATTATACTAAAATGTTTTTTATGCTGTCCAGAAGTTTTGTTGAAAATTCCAGCTCATTATCTGTTATTGTTTACGAGCCATAGCATTTTGTTTATGAGCGCATAACGCGTACATATGTACGATCCATCGCGCGACTGACCGGTCGAAGGCATCTAAGACATTTCGAAAAAATATGCTAGGAATTGTGTACGTTTCGATAATTTATACCATTTAAAATCGTAATATTCGTAATTATTTCACAGTATTTGGTATAATTAAAAACTAAAAATTGAAGTTTTTCTCGCATAACATTTTCAATAAAATATTTATAAAGGAATTTATAAACAAATTTTGTTAAAAAATCGCCATTTTGTTTGTATTCTTTATTAAAGATCATACGTCAACTTAACAGGCGTGCAATACATCAAAGATTATCGTGCTAAAGTTTCAGAAAGAAATATCATTTGCGAAAGTTATGGTTAGTCAAATTGAAAAATTTTGAAAAAATTATGAAAAAATGGCTTTTTGTTCAAATAATTCATAAACTATAAAAATTATTAAAAAAGTTTATTTAGAAAAAAGATGCGCAATTGCATCTTCTATGTAACCATATTTTTGAAATTAAGTTTTGAATAAGTTAATAATATACTTTATTGGGCAATACTTATTTGTTGGATTTTCATTTCGTCTCCTTTCTGTTGTAGGACCCTTAATTTGAAAGGGAAATATTTTCAACTTCGAAATTCTGTCTGTATATAGTAGTGTTTTTAACTTGAAATACTTAACAAAATTCTTAACGATGACGTATTAATTTTTCAAGGCGGAATCATTAATCGTTAATCATTAATCGTTCTTTCGAGCAATGTCAACTTGCCAATTTAATTTCTGGAAACTGAAGTGAAGCACATTGCTTATCTCGGCGTGAACTATAGTGGATTTAATAAATTTAACAAATAAATTTTGAAAAATGTTTTAGATAATATTTTCAGCAAATGCCAAGTTTGTTTGGAAGTCAAATGAACTTGTCACATCCATCTAGCCAATGTATATTGAACTACATAATTCGCAGCGTTAGTGATTGCATGATATCGCCAAAAGTTTTCTAAAATGTCATCTTTTCGAACGTAAAAAAATTGAAGAACTAAATAGTCAATTCTCTCTCGGATAAAATATAGTCATTTTAAGTATCGCGAACTTCGATGACATAAAATTCGTCTCCGCTTTTCTAAATGCAGTTTTCTTCAGCATGTACCAAGAGCCTTGAGACGTAGTCTTGCGAAGCTGCTTTTTCTGTTTTTCGTTAACACGCACTGAAGCTAAGTTCTCGATGATGAGCAGCTCATCTCTCTCGTACATGATCGGTCTACAATCAGAGTCGCAAGTACAGTCGTCTATCGGCAGGCTTTCTTTTTCCCATAGAACGTCAAAATTGTTATTATCAGATATATTTTCATTTGCTTTGATACCTCTTCACGTGCAGATATCGCGTTGTGATGATCGTAAGGTATAGCGAAAAATTTATCTCTTTCCAATCGGAAACAGTAAAAATGAAAAAAATAGCACTGTCCACGCATTGTTTTTCGCTTCCGAGATATTTTTACATGACGCAAAAAGCATCATCCTCTCAATAAGTTTTCTTATATGTCACTATTTGAAATGCAATTTAGCAAGTGATTTTATAACAACGTAAAAAAGTCAAGGCCGAAAATACCTTGGTGGCAGTAGTAGTACGTTCTTAAGATGCGCGTTGTTGGCGTCGAGTGCGTTTTTGACGTCCGGCTGAATTATCGCCACGGCAGCCGGCTCTGCGAGATATAATAGATTCGTTCATTGATAGTAATATATAAGAGGCGAAGACGAGAGGCGCGCGCGCGCACGCGAGAGACTATAATTGGCTAAGTTGTATTTTTGGCTGTACTTTAATGATCGCGATAGGGAAACGGGGAATATTAGTCAGTTGCGCATTGAGATAAAATGTTTATTTAAACCGACCTTTGTACCATAGATGAGCGACCGTAGTTATCGTGACAGATTTCGGGATGATCTGTAAGTTTAACGTACCAAGGCGTAAGTTTTATTTTTTTTATCCTAGTCCTTCGCGCCGCAAAGTAGCTACCACAAACTCAAAAAAAGCGACACGTCCGTCTTTTACATCGGGCAGCACGCGACGGCCGCGACGGTGGCATTGATTGTAGAAGTGCGTTAATAGCCCAGGAAACGACGATGAGGATCAGCGTAGCGAAGGAAATAATACCCACAATGCCACGACCTGCCAATGCATTACTTGAATTTTTAGCTGTTAGCCGCACTTAAAATCGTAAAGAATCAAGAAGCAATTGAAAGGGAAATTTAGTCCTCGATTGTCGCGCTGGTTGCGAGTGTTCTTTACCAAACTTCGAAAAGCTCCTCTTTTTCTTGCTCTCATCACACTTTATATTCCTTTTATATATCCAACAGCCGTCGGCCATTATTGAGATTACAATACTCTCAGGCCACCCCGCCCCTGGAAAACTTGGTTTTATTTCCACCGAGTAATCGATGCAGTTCGTTTTTAATCATCGTATCCCCTGCAAATTTTGCTCTTAGCTATGTCGCTATCTCACTCTCTCTCTCTCTCGTTCTCTTTCTCCATTATAATTTCCCTTCCTCGCTCTATCTCCTCATCGCCGTTGCGTTCGAAATATAAGAGAGTTAAATTACCTAGAGATGTACAGCAGGAATTCCGCTTGCAATTTTGACTTGGCAATCTCACGCAGCTGGATTTTGATCGAACAGCCTATATTCGAATGGAAATTTCGATTCGAAAAGTAAAATAAAAAAAGTAAAAAATAAAAAATAAAAGTAAAAGAAATATAATAAAATAATAATATATAATACATAGTATAATAAAAGTAAAACGTGATGCGTAGCTCACCGACCAATTAGTCCCTTTGTCGTAGCTTCGTATACGCGATTCATCTACCATGCAGCATTTTGTTGATCTAGGAAAGCGACGCTCGCCCAGTGGACAAGGACATTCAACGCTTGTTGGACGTTCGCACGTGCAGTGCGGCCGTGAACGCGCATCTATCTGTACTGCACAACATGGTGGTTGGTACAGACAGTATCCTAAAAAAAGGATGATTACATTGGTTTAATCGCACCATCAGAACGAAACATCGAAAGTACGTTCGCATTCGCCGTCATCGTATTGTGTATAACTACGAGAGGGTTGCTTGCAACGAGGCTTGGGAAAACGATGAGTAGCACGTGAACAACCTCTATTATTTGGCAACCGATAGACTGGTTTCTCCTTCTCTTCCTCCTCCTCGTCGTCGTCGTCGTCATCGTCAAAGTGCTCCTTTTAAGTGAAATGAGCTCGTAAAAAATTTGGAAATCTCACCAGAGAATACGCGTTCAAGGTCCATTTAACGAATTAGTGGAAAGTGACGTATGAATCTGTTATACGAAACGAGGGCTGTTTTACCTCGTTGAGACAAGCTTGTCTAGGATCTCCGAGTGACCGGATGGTTGTTTGTTTGCTGTAAAAGTAGAAGAATGCGCAACAATAATACAGCTAGCATATACATACGAAAATTAGTCAACAAGAATCAGCGTCAATTTTTCAATTTCGTTTACCAATCATGGCAAGGACAATTCTGCCTCTTAGCGTGTTCGCTCCAACGTCGTCTCAGTTCGCTGAAATTGCTCACCCATTCACGTCTGGGTCTAGGCGGAGATCTTTCCCACGAGGCTTTTGCAGCGCATTGACATTTGCCAAACTTTCTTGAATGCTGCCATAGTCGTTCGTCGGTGCAAATCGATGCATCGAGACAACGTCGTTTACGTCGTGACGATGTTCCTGTTTTAGGAAAAAAAGTGAAGTTTTTAATAAACTATTGGCATCACGTGCCTAGTTTTCTTTAGAGTTATCATTTTTAATACAAATTATTTAGTTTGTTTGTTTTTGAGGTCGATCTCGAGAACACGTTCAACCTGTTATTTTCACGCTTTGTCCCGCGTGAGATTAATTTAAAAAATATAACACCATAAAAGATAGCTACTGTAACTTCAACTTATCAGCATACATTTTGTTCCCTAGGGCAGGTAGGAGTTTTCAACGAGTTAATTTATGTAAATTATGCATGCCTATCCTACTCATTTCATCATTAATTATTCAAATTGAAAAATTCAATTTAAAGTAGAAAAAATGTAAGTATAGCACGTATCATACGTTTGACCTTGCCCCACAATGACGACTTTGAAATAATACTTGACTAAGTAAATAACTGCATGCGAAGCTGGTGCGTGTTAATTAATAAATTACATCGCATCTAGAACTACGCAAAAGAAAACTGTTTTTGCATCGACAAAACAGTGTTATAACCTAATTAAACGTTGAAATACGTGCTTTGATCTGCGCAATTTGCCACAACTATCGGATATTGAGCTGCCAAAATTTCATCGGCGAATTGCCAGGTTACAAAATGTGTACGTTATTCCGAAAATGATTCTTTCCTTCTCGCTAATTCTTACCGCAGCATCGTCGTTCGTTGGTGTTATTGCAGCCGCACATTTTTCGTCAACTTGACATTTGGCAGTTTGTACTTATGCCGCTTCATGGAGACTATGATTATTTCCTTGCATAATTTCATTTGCAACGGGAAATTTTGATGGGATGTGTAGCACGTAATGGATATTTTTTTTGTACCTTCGCGGTGAAAGGTTTATATGGTTAGAACATTGTAAACAAAAACGATATAGAATGCATCGAAAATGATTAAATTCGAGTTTATAGCATTTTTTTTTATTCATTTTTGTCGGATGATAATTTATATTTTTAATTGAAGAACATAATGCGTAAGAACATAAACATAAACAAAATACAAACATAAACTCAATAACATATATTTGTTATGAAAAAATGTACCGGTCAGCATGAGTAGTTTCAATTTGAAGTGGCATCGACTTGATGAAAAGTATTTAGGCTTGAATATAAATACTCAAAACATTGGCACAATTAATTAATTCTAATTATTAAATTATATTAAAGTGGAAAATAGACTTTGCGTTCGTACAAAAAATTATGCCTAATACATTTACTTTGTTTTCACAAGTTGAGAATACACTATGCGAACAATGAAGGTGGAAAATACGTAATAAGCAGTTTGCTTCATAACTTCACGAAGCACACTTACGCGTCATATATTACAGAATGTATTGACAGTAGTTTCATAGCGTATTGTAAGGACGGGAAAGTCGTGAGTGCTTCTCTAACTAATTTCTCTTTTCCGAGAGATGGGAAAAGCAATGGGCAATTCTGTTATCAGAGACCTACTTTCATCTGAAGTGTATGTCATTAGACATTTGTTTATTGATTTAGTAGATAATTGTATGTTAATTTTCAAAAAATTAATTGAAACTCATTTGTTTAGGCAACCTCGCATCTCTGCGGTAATTTGTAACCGTTTCAAGTAAACGCTCTTTACTATGTACTGTTTGTGATGCACGTACTATCGCTTACGTAAAGATTTGAATTAATTAATGTTTAAGACGTAGAAACATTTCAAAACCAGTTTCTGACGTAACACTCGAAATAATTTACGCAATTCCGAATCCTCTATTAAATACGACGTATCTAATAATACAATCACTTTATATTTGATAAAGAAAACGCCCTCGGTAGGTTATTAATAGAAACGCTCATTTGGCAATCAACGATATATTTGAAAAATACATCCAACTCTGCCTCTAATGATATTTTTTTTCACGCGTGATTAAAAATTCAAATGTATGAGATTGCTCGTCGCGTGCCGGTGTCGCGAGAGTTCGCCACACTCGTGTCTTTCTCTTTCTCTCTCTCTCAATCTGATACAATTTTTTGACCTCTCTCCTCTCTCTCTTTCTCTCTCTCTGTCCGTGTCGTTGCGGCGCTGCGCCTCCTACGTGTTCCTGTCTTACACACGCACATCACGTACACACATACACACACAAACACACATTCACTCTCAGGCATACGGGTAGCACTTATACATTCGTAGAACACGGCGCCAGCCATTTTTAAACGTCCATCTGCTACAGACAGAGGGGGCCATCGTCGAACCTAACCTATCGACAAATCTCTCCTCAGTAGTCGTCGTCGTCGTCCTCGTTGCCGTCGTCGCTGATCGTAAGGGATGGACGAGGCCGAAAGGGAATAGTCTTGTTCATTAGTGTTTTTACATCGGTTCACTGTGTGTGTTAGTGAAGGTGATTCGACGAAGATATGAGTGAATAAGTCAGTCGACTGTAATTTAGTTTGGGATACTCTCTCTTCGTTCATCGCATACACCAATACTGCTACGTATACCTATATACACGCGTACGTCGACCGCATACATATACACACAAACACACACGTACACACACACACATACGAGCGCGCGCACGCACGCATACTGAAAGTGTCGAGAGAGACACACATGCGTGAGGAAGGACGTCGGCGCCGCGGCGGAGAGGGAGCAATTTTTCGGTGGGAGCTGCTGCTGCTGCTACTCTGATGAAATGCTACTGCTGCTGAACTGTCAACGTTGAGAAAACACGGAACACAGGCCAGCCGCAAGAGAAAGGGTGAGTCGGATCGACTTCTCTCTGCTCGATAATTAATATGTTACGGCGTTAAAATTGATGTTATTGCTCTTCCACACGTACATGCACGTACACACACTTGTCTCTGTCTGTCGTCGACCGCACGCGCTTAGTCACAGGAAAGCATCGATTTTCAAATCACGCTCGTTTTAGATGATGCACAATCTTTTTTTCTTTCTCTCTCCCTTGCGAATTTGACCACACGCAAAATCCCTATCAGTCATGTCGCTGCTAGAACTACTTTTGGCAATGTCTTTTGCTCAGGATGTTGTACCGTAAGCTCATCATGAACACTGGTTGCTCACCATCGATTGAAATTCCAGGCACATTTTTTGTCTGCTCGTCAGCTTTAATTAAGGATTATTCAGGTGTTACTCGGACAGGCACCATTCCATTTGACAGCTCTCTGTCATTTATTTGTATTTTTGTTTCAAATTGGACGATTTAAGAGAGATTGAATATTGTTGTTAAAGTTTCGTAGTGATCGATCCAAAACTATATTTGTTATATTAGATTTGTCTTGTTTCACATTTGTAGGATATTTTTGAAAGTATCTTATACTATAGGAAAGAATGATGAGTGAATTGTTAAGGCAGATTTTCATATCTGTACCGTGCTGTAAAGTTCAAAGTGTTGAGATAATATAGAGGTTATTCTGTGGTTGCTCTTGTGGTTTGGTAAATGAAACGTTATTCAGTTGTGAAGAATGATGGTTTCTTGTGGTCAGAGTTCTTGAAAAATCCAGTCTGTTCAAATAATATATAACAAGTTAATTTTCCTTTTTGCAAAGTCAATTGGTCTTTGAGTCCCATTTTGAAGATCAATTTTTTAATATTCTTTATTTATGCATATTTTATTCACGTATTGTAGCATATTAATTTTCCAAATAAATGAACAAATATTTATCATAATAGTTTCTGTTAAGTTCAATTTTATGATTTTTTAAAGTACACTGTATGACAGATTAGCTGGAGGTTATGTTTCTACTGATTAAAAGTCTTTTTATAATTTCAAAATTTGATTAAATTTTATATTCATTTTAGACATTACTTTCTTTTTTCAGTAATGGTTTTGGGATCGCTTTGAGCGTCAAATTCATGTATAACTCACATCTAAATACACTACAGCGAATAAAATCAATATAAGTAAACTTGAAATCCTAAAATTTTTAAAATTTATTTACTACATTTTTAAAGATTGATCTATTTCAATTTAAAACAGATGTTTTTGATGAGTATTATAAATAGAATCGTACATCTTTTTAATTTTCTGTTTATTATGATGTGCAAAAACATTTTAAATTCATAGAAATTAAATATTCATTTTTATCTTCACTGTATTAATAAATTAAAAATAATTCATGTTATTGCTCTCAGATGTTGACTATATTATTACTTTAATATCACAAATGCACAATACAACTAATCAAATTTACATCTCCATTTTCTTGTTTGGTAATGAGAAATTTGCACATTGAATTCAAAACCGACCATAATTGGAAGGCACAAAAATATCTTCAAGTCATGATACTAATATAAATCACATTATATTTAATTAATTATTACCCAGTTATGCAGTTATAAATGTACACCTACCAAAGAGTGTAGTGTTTATACTTTTGTTTAGTCATCATAAAATCAATTTGGATTTAATATTTTAAACAATGTGAACTTATGTTTATGAAATCATTGAGTAAAGTATAATCTTATTTGTATTGTTATGATATCTTTTAACATAGGAAACTGGCACATACCAGGTGGAAGAGGTCACCGCTTGGTGAGCGAGGAGCAGCAGCGCTGAGCTTGTCTCGGCGACAGCGACATGGTGCTATGCATAAAGTGCTCAGATTTGGAACGACGACAGGCCTGCTAAGGGCCGGCCGCCGGCGAGATGGGGGACAACGCGGTTAGAAAGCAGCAACATAACGACACGACTCCGAGTCCTCGGGTCGGGCATTTACCAACAAGGAAAATATCCGCTCCTGTGCAACGGACCACCACCGAATCTATTAGACTCGACAGCAACGATACTTCGGGTTTGTATTGGTTACCAAAATTTCGGGAATATGCCTTTGCAATTGATTCGGTATGCAAACCGCAAAAAAGTCACTAAATAGGTCGCTATTACAGACTCCGAAAACTTGATTTTTGATTGTACTGGATATTTGATTAACGGAAGTTTGTATTAAAATAATTTATTATCAGGAAAAAAGAAAAGAAAACTTCCTTTAGACTAATCAAAGACAATATTTTTATCTGATTGAGGCTATGATAGGGTAGTCATGCGTTCTCCAATGAAAAAAGTTACAGTATTTAGATAAATTAAACTTGAAACCAAAATATACACTATACCCTGTGTAGAAGTAAGCTAGATAAGTATATATAGTATCCACTTGTACGTGATTATGTAGGCATTTTCAATCACGTTTCATCCTGTTATTGTTAAAATCTGCCTGTGTCGGCGACGCAGTGTGTGCCATCGGAGTCGACACCTCGTTACATTCGCGTCTGCGTGACGTATTTTATTGCTTTATTGAAGGGGGGACACTTCTCTGTTATTTTTCTTTTTTATTGTCCCTCTTTATCATTGCGACGTGCGACATCATCAAAAAAAAGTTCGGTTGCGATTGTATTGATTGTAACGAGATTACGAAATTTATCGTTACGAGACTTATTACGTTTACAGGCAGAGATCTTTGAAGATTATTAAATTGATTTATTTGGATGATTAATCGTGTTGGCAGTCCGAAAAAAATCTATAATCACGAGTTTTTAGTCAAGTAATTCCCGCGAAAATTGCAATGTAATAGAGGTTATTAGTTGTATAAAGTGAAAAATTCGGGTGCAATATAGAAATGTATTACGTTGGTTGTGCTTGGTGCTTTCACTATTACTCGACGCTTTTTCTTGATGCAAGTATGTATTTGTTAAATCAAATGTTATATGTTATTTTTAACGATACTTATCACGAGAAACTTTCAATTTGTTAATCAATATCTGTATATTTTTTGTGTATATTGCGTAATTTTAAATTATTAGATGCCATGCAAACTGAACTTAATGATTTCTGTTAACTTTATATTTCAGAGTATGCTTTGATTGTTACTTAAAAAAATTCAATTCTTCACGCTTCAATTATCCATACGTTTGTATTTTTAATTTATAAAACAATTGCGACTCAACAGGTAAACTTCAGGCGCAGCATCACCATCACCACCATGGCCAGTCGTTGGGTGCAGTGTCAATCCCATTGGTGGCGACGACGAATTCAGTCACGGGAGGAGCCACGAGTTCGCTTGGCGCTGGACGCCAAAAGAAAACCTCGTCGTTCCAGATAACGAGCGTGACTGTCGGTTGTCGCATGAGCAACGACACAGGCGAAGACTCGAATGACGATCTCGATGAGTCGCATACCGAGGACAACAGCGTTGAGCATTCACGTATCACTGACATCGAGACACCAAGCTACTCCGAGGATACATTTTCTAAAGACGATGTATTTTTTAATACGAGCAATGCCGCGCTAAGTACTGCACCTGTGATACCTACAAGCTCGCAGTATGGTTTGGCTATTGTGCCATCGTCCGAAGCTAATAACACCAACAATTCCAACAATGAGAATAATATCAATGCCTTGGATATTGCCTCGGTTACGGATAATAATATTATCAATCTGTTATCGAGTAATGCTAAGCAGGATGCCGATCTCAGGGAGGTTCATTCGCATGGTAAACATCTTATTGAATCATACTCCCTAACAAATATCTCTTTCGGCATATTAAAGTACCACCCACGCTAACAAAAAATGAACTTACAGGTAGAAACGAGAGGTTTAAAGTGGTCAAAATCGAAAGCACAGAACCGTTCAAGCGTGGTCGTTGGACGTGTATGGATTATCTGGATCACACGTCAGTCAATCAACCAGTAGCGATGAATGCTTCAAAAGTTAACGATCCGAATGAAGTGTGCGTGTCGTATGGGGTTAGCGATACTGGTGTTCTCATGCAAAATGACAAACAAGTCGACGATAAGCAACAACATGTCGATGCGAATGGTATGATGCATCCAGCTGAAGTGCAACAGCATCCAACAGGTTACGTTGTGCCACCACAATACTTTCAGTCATCTCAGACACCACAACAACAGCAACAGCAAACTAATCCACAAGGTGCCACTCTGCCGACTAATCTGCAGGGTACTCATGCTGGCAATATTGGACAAACGCAGAGTATGCCTCAAGGGACTATTTCTATGCTTACGCAGCCAGGATGGTAGGTTTTTTAATGAAATAAAATAAAATACAAGGGTATTACGATGAGACTGAGAATTCAAGAGAGACTGTTGATTATTCTAACAATCTTTGAATTCATTTGTTTTATATTTAATTGTTATTTTCTCATGTTAATGAACCAGATATAAAGATTAATATTTCACGTGTGCAACAATGCATTGCATTTTAAGCAAGGTCAATGCGTACATTGATGACAAAGATAACGCCGTCACAGATGTCATTCACTATTCAAACTTTTAGTTATCCAAAACTTTTGAATATTAATCAAATATTATTTCATTTCATTTAAAAAAAGTTGATCATTATAAAAAACTTTCAGTGCTGTTACCCAAGGGAACAACGTAGCACAACAACCACAACAGCAACATCCAACGGATGACTCGACGACGTACGTGTCACAGGCACAAGCACCAAACTCGCAGCCACCTTTGTTGCAACAAACTCAGCAACAGCAGCAACAACCACCACCAGCAACGCCGCAACCTACGACACAGGATCCAATGCAAGCTGCTACGATGCAGGCAATGCCCGGCATGCAGAACATTCATACAGTTCCCCAAGCTAATGCGGCACCACAACAACAGCAACCTCAACAGATGCAGTCGCAGAGTCAGGTAATGCTTCGGTTATGAATCGTTTTTATAATCATAATGCGTTTTTTGTGTATTTATTGAACTATTATTATCGAAAAAAGTTCAATACTTTTGGTGAATGTTATTTGTAAGGTTATTTTTAAATCTTGAAAATGCAAGCCAATAAATTATTCTTGATATAGTAATTTTACGTTAAATATATTTTTAATTACGTTGCAAGCTGCGTTTTTAGCTGAACGAAACTGAAAGCTGTGAAACCTCTTCGAAGTAACTTTTGACTGTCTTTCAAAATTGCAATTGTATAGTCTGTTGAATGAAAATTATATAGTTGATTGAATTTGATGAAGTGGTCGCAATCCAATCATTCATTCTTCATTATAAAATCGGTAGGAAAATGATCAGCAAACATCTTTTTCCGTAGGTGATGGCTCCACAAGGACAAATGCAACCAGGTCCACCGCCGCAACAGCAACAAAAGTCAACCGGTGCAAATAACGCCCCCGTACAAATAGTAGGCAATATGCCATTTCAGCATCAACAACAGCAACCAGCTGACCAAGAGCAGGACTCTAAGTCAAGTATTCCAATGGCGACCGTAACGCCTGGACAAACTTTAGCCGCAGATGCTGCTCTGCTCGAGTCACTCGCTGAGGTCACGCAGAATGCTGAAGATCAGCAAACCCACGAGGATAACGAGAGGTACGACAAACCATGATAGATGAAATTTATATTTTATTTACGTTTTATTTAGAAATTCATGAATTATTGAAAACGATCTAGGGTAAATTATGAACAAATCGAATATGGTTTGATCATATAATTTATCTTAGTTGAAGCTATACTCAATCGGAGGATGCAATATGGAAAGAAAGCAACTTTTGACGTTTTACTAAAAAATTCGTTAACCTTTTTAGAAACTTTATTGTAAAAAACATAATGAAAGAGAATTAAAAAACGGTATAAAAAATAACTAGAACATCACAACATAAATCAACAAAACAACTGTACTGTGGTTAGAACAAATGTATGTAGTCGACAGGTCTTACCATTATTATTCGGTCTTATATGTTCTGCGACCAATCTTTAATCCTTAATAAATATAAGATCAAATAATAATGGTAAGATTAGTTTACTAAATGCATTTGTTTTGACCATCACACTTTCGGGCTATTATTTTCTAAATTTTTTTGTTAATTTGTATTGATGTGTTCTCGTTTTACTTCCAAATTGTTTATTTTTTTAATTCTGTTTAATTTTCTTTTTTTACAATAAAGTTTCTGAAGAGATTAACTAATCTGTTAACGAAACATCAAAAATTGTTTTCTTTTCGTATTGATTCTACTGATCAAGCATAGCTTCAGTTAAAATAAAACTTTGGCAGGCGAGAACAGTGATCAATGATCACACAATTATTGTCAAATCTTAATTTGTTAATTATTTATTTACTAATAGTATTTTGCATGAATTATTCTAAACTATTTAATGTTTTGATTTCCAGTATGTCGGGTACCAGTGCTGTTGCTATTGATAACAAAATCGAACAAGCTATGGTAAGTATTTACATTAATTATAGAATTTCTAACGTTAATAATATAAATAATTTTCATCGCGATAATTTTTTTAGTACTGTTTGAATTTTAAATTGTTAATTATAATTAATGTTTTTCAAAAATTGAAATTTAAAACTAAAACGACTATTCAGTGTGTTTAAAAATGAATGGATAAAATTTATTAATAACTTTTTATTTACACACTATAAAAAACGCAAATGTACAATAATAGCTACAAATATCATTTTGCTATTTCTTACAAAAAATAATAGTACTAAAAATTCAAATATCCAAAGTGTGTAATGACTTATTAAAGCGATGATTAATTATTCAATTCAGATTATTAAATAAAAACATCCTCATTTTTGTTTCACAAAATTCCTTTATTCATAGATTTGTGAATCAAAAATACGAATCTATTTTCTACAACGTTTAATGATCTGAATAAAAACAATTGTTTATCTGAAACTTCCATTTAGAATATTATATTGAACTTACATTAAATTATCACATTTAACATTGTTCCATCAAAAATATTTTAAGATTCAAGTCGACTATACGTCTTTCTTACAGATATAAATAATTTTGAATAAAAATGAAATCTGGTTCCTAGTTTTGAATGATTTCAATCGTTAATGTTAACTTTTTCAAGCGTTTATTCTTAAATATCCAAATTAGAAACCTAACGACTTCGACGTACTCGACTATCATCCCTTACATATTTCAAATAGTAATTTCAGATACATTAAAAACCTTACAAACCAATCTTTACCACTATTCCAAATGAGAAATAGTTTACTAATTGTTTATGTGTGTGTGCGTGTACATTACAGGACCTGGTAAAAAGCCACCTTATGTTCGCGGTACGCGAAGAGGTGGAGGTGCTGAAGGAAAAGATAGCTGAGTTGATGGATCGTATAAATCAGCTCGAAGCTGAGAACTCGATCCTCAAAGCTCATGCTACCCTAGAGACACTGGCTCAGCTAAATCAGTCGACGGCTGCTAAAATGCCGCCTAACACAGGCCCAACTGGCCAGTAGGTAACCGCTTGTACATAAGGATACCCTTTCATACACAGACCACACACACACACACACACACACACACACACACACACACACACACACACACGCGCGCGCGCCCACACACCCACATACACACACAAAACACATACGTCGTATGATTATTGTATATAACTTTACGATTTTTAGAAATTTATAAATAATGAGATTTATTATATATTGTACACGATCTAGCGCGTTAGTGAGTTTTCCTTTGTTTCTTTTTCTCTCCTACCCCTCCTTCCATGTCATTTCTCTTATAAAAAGAATTTTTTTTCTTTGTAAAGATGAGTAATGAAGTGAAAACTGTACGAGTGATCGTAAATATTTTTTACTGTATACGTTGGAAATACACGATTCGAAGCATGTAAAAATGGTTCTTTTTAACAAACAAAAAAATAAGAGCTGCGAGACAGCGCGACGATGAACAAGTGAAAGTGCTTTGCTTTTTTTACTGTAAAATATCACACGACAGAGCGATGGAATTTTTGATAAAAAAAGGCAGCTAGAAGCCAAATTTTCCTTTTTCCCGCGTCTCCCTCACGTCCACCGTCTGTTCTTATATTGGATTATATCTTTTCGACGAAAGAAAAAATACCAAAGCCTCTGTGAAATTTGTAGACACGAAACCACGTCGGCGAATTTTTTCCAAAGAATCTAGAGGATTGCTTAATGGTTTTTTTATTAATACGTATTCAAAATTGGTTCTTCCTTTTTTTTAGTTTCGTCGTGCATTTATTTGGAATTCCAGTTTAACGATTTTCTACACCTCGCTTGTGTAGTACGATTCCGTATTTTTTTGTTTTTTTGTCTAAGGTGGTGCGTAACATAAGAAAAAAAATTATCGATGCGTGAGCAAACGCTTATCTGCCCCTTTAATATGTATATGCGCGAAACATTTTTCGACGAAGAAAAACAAAATTTCGCATTCTTGTCAACGACTTATGTTACAATTATTACACGCCTAATAAAAAGAAATTTTTAATTGTAAAAATCAAGTTTCTCTTTATTTCCATTGATTTTTATAAATTTTTCTCACCCCTAGCTTAACATAAATTTGGGATTTACGTCTATGAAGAAAGTTTATATGCACCTAGTTAATTACAATTAATTTAACAAATATGCTGTCATACTCTTTAATCTCGTACGGTTAAATAAATGAGATGACGATGAGTAAAATGTTTCTGGATAAAAAAAAAAAACAAAAATAATTTCTTTTTTTTTCATAGTCATTGTAAAATAGCATATTATGTTGCAGCATATGTAGTTCTAAAAAAAACACTACGTATGTTTTTTAAAATCAAATATTTTTATAACAATTTTATCATTTATTGCAGGCTTGTTGATATCTCAGAAACATTTGATAGTAATAACAAAAGAAAACAATTTTTTTCCCAACTTCTGCAATGAGCAATATTCCATCAATTACTCAAAGCGGATTAAATATAATAGGGAAAAAAACAAAAAGAAAACGTGAGAGAAAAACAACTGATACTCGTGTTTTGTTTGGATCTTTGTTTGCAATAAATCCGTTATTTGATTTTCAGCGAAAGTTTTATTTTAAATATCGGGGATTCACTATATAAAGGCTATATATGACACTTTTTTTCCTTGATGATAAACTTAAACCTTAATAATCAAGACGAGCGAAGCGACAACACCGTACATCGCATAACGGCTGTTTCATAGAGCATAATTACACCTTATAAATTTATAAATGTTATAAACTTTTTTCCTAGGAAGAAAGTTAGAAGAAAAAGATAGAGAGAGAGAGAGAGAGATAGGAGAAGGAAAGACAGAGGGAGAAGGGGGAAGAGAGTAGACATAGAGATAAAGAAAATAAGATATAACAACACGTAACCATTTCAATCATCTAATTCCATTCACGATATTCGTTCAAAAGGCGAAAAGAGGAAGGGAGATGAAATCGGAAAACTTGCTATATGCAGCGTTACCCTCGAGTCCTTTAATAACGCTTCGACGGCCCAATTAAAAACAAGTTAAAAAACGAAACGAGTTCTAGTCACAGCACCCTTTGCTTTATTAACCTAAAATGCTTGGAATAGCGCTAAGAAACTTTTCTTTCTTCACTATCGTCTTTTTTTCATTTTTTTACAATATTCCATTACAACATCGCGTTAAAAAATGCTTTTCTTATCGTTATTCCGGTTAATTTATTGTTAAAATGGCGCGTGACACGTTTGTACTAGCATCGAGGGTAACGTGTAAGAAAGCAAGTATCCAATTGCCGCGTGTGTGTATACTATAATTTAGGATATAGATCGTTCAAACAAAACCGAAATTCTTGGTCTTGATCGCGAGTAGCAGTTTGTGCCGTAAGACGTGACGCGAACTGTACAGCGGCACGTATAAACGGGATATACAGGTGTTGGCGGTTGGTAAATGGGCGTCGTCTGCTGGTCGAATTGTTACACTTGGCATCGGCTGAAAACCATCTTCGCTTGCTGGCAATGCTGGAGAACCCGTCCAAAAGTATACCTGAAAGGAAACGAACGTTTGATTATAACTTAATACTAACTTAATTATAATACATTTTCTCATATCTAAAAAAATTGAATAAAAAAAGCCAAATTTAAGCTTTAATCGATTTTTATATAAAATATCCAAGAAATAAATAAAAATGCCACCATAATATTATTAACATTCTCGAAAGTCAACCAAATGAAATATTACTCACCAAATCCTGTCTCTCAACATGTGACATTTTTTCGACGATGGACCAAAGCCAGCGTTTGAATTTTACAAGGCGGTCGGTCGATTCACCAGATTCGTCATTAAACGACGTATACGAGATGAGTACCGTAACATTGATGTCACCAACTCCATTGAGAAGTAAACGCAAATCTTCAGAAGTAAGTCCATCGAGTGCACCTTCAGGTAGTACATCGAAGACACCTTCTCGGATGGCCTCAAGTGCTTTTTCTTGAACTTTAATCATACGCACTTCGGCGTATTTACGCACGTAGTCGTATACGTTGTTTGATGTCACTTCTATGTCACGACCTGTTGGTACCAGTTCAATTGAACCACCGCCTTCTTCAGGACACAGATCAATGCTATAAAACAAATTAAAATCGAATTAGAAGGACTTTATTACAAATTTTAATTTTAAAATTATTTTCTCGATAGATTTTTTTTTGAAGATTCAGAGCTTTTACAATCAATTAAACATACAAATCGATGCGCTCGATAACACGAAACATAAATTATTTGATTGTCGTCCACTGATCTTTATTGGGCTTGTAAATCGATTGTGATAAATAGATTATCGTCATCGATTGATTGATCAATAAAACATGTAGATATTAATATTATCTCACCTAAAAGTAAGATCTAATTGGAACAAATTACTAGAATCCTTAGTTTCCGCATCAATAACCAACTGTCGTAAACTCTCGTAGATGACGGGATCGAAGAATGCAAGGTCGTGGAACCTTACCGGCCTGGCTAGTATGTATTTCAATACGTGCCGATTCAAAAATATAGGGCACAACTCGTTTTGAAGTAGGCACAGACCAATAAGACGTCCAACGTTTCTAAAGGCATTGAGTCTCTCATAACTACCTCTACCCTGTCTTGGAGTGTAGAAGCCGCGTTTTCCTGGTGAATAGAATAATGGTGCGTTGTCTTCTGTGTCGTCGATTATTGCATTTTCTGTGAACAATTTAAATAAAAAAATTCATAATTTTGAGTTAAAACATCGATATATTTTGTTTGAAAAAATTATAGATAACGTACCAAGTTGATTCTTTTTCTTAGCACCACATCGTTCAGTAAGACTAAATACATCGAGATCGAGAAGTGCTTCGCTAGCAAGGTCCTGATTGTGACTATGAATTAATTCAAAGGCCTCCTCGACCTTTTGCCTTAGAGACTCCTCCGACGCGAGCAACATTAACAGCTGCGCTGGGTTCATCTCGAGTAACATGCCTGTTATTTTCTCGGCATGTGTCGGTCGCAAAGCATAGACTTTTGGATACAATCTATCACCAAGTTGTTGCTGATGCATCGTCAAATGATCGTTGTTTGCATGCCCGAATGATGATGGATGCGATGATGATGCATTGCCAGATGATGATGATGAACCTTCGAGTGATGTTGACGGATGGAATGAACGCGCTTCGAAAGATAAGGCGCGACGGGATTCTCGGCATTTTCCGGATGAACGGGAATTCTGAAATTTATGAGAAACATCATTTAGTAAAAATATAACGAACATTTTATCATAAAATATTATCACAAAATGTTTTTCAGAAGTACTGTGTTGTTTACTTCGTTAATGGTATTAGATTGAACAGGTTTTATGCAGAACATGGTGTGATCTTCACTTTTAAGATTACTGTTGACCCACGTAGCGCAGAATCTCTACATAGATACAACATAATCATTCCAGTCGCTTAGTAATCTAATACACCTTCTTTCAACCACAACTGACATTCATTATATGCTCATACTAAATTACCTATCTACCATTTATAAATTCAATTTCATATTTCTATTAAAATTAAATCAGTTAAATTATACATTCTTTATAAAATTTTAAAAAGATAATGTTGCTTGAACAAATTCATTATGATATAGACCTATTGCGGAAAAACGCTCTTACGTATATATTGAAGAATTTATACGCATTCAAATTGTCTACTTGTCTTTCAGTTGTTTTTTTGTTAACTTTCAAGAACTTGTATACACATTTGTTAGATCATATGATTTTGGAACCATTGAAATAAACCTAATAAGTTTAATTCACTTGATTAAGAATACTTACTTGTCTTCGAAGATCACGATCACGATCCTTAATCTTAAGTTTCTGCAGAACGTTGTACTGTGTGTATTTAGAACCTACTTGTGCTGCTTCTAAATTCGGTAGTTTCTCATTAGCTAAGAGCGCCTATAAAAATAGCCCCAAAAAATAGCATGAATAATGATTCTAAACTAAGAGATTTTTTGGATGGTACTTACTTCTGCTACCGCTGTATAAAAACTTCTTGCTACACCTGAACCCTCACCAGGTTCGTCTTTGAATGTGACTTTAACACGATTTACCGCTAACGGTGGTGTGTTTGATGCTCGTCTGTTGTATAAGTTATACTGCGTATTCAATTCCTTCATCGTTTGAACGAGGAGTTGAGTTCTATCCCGTTCAACCTACAAAAGATGATATTTATAAGTTTATTATTGCTGCTTATCTTGAAAGTACGTAAAGTAGGTTATGAAATTACCTTTGACAATGTGATGTCTTTCTGCTGTGAATTCCTTAATTTCTCCATATCCCTCCTAAATTTAGCTTCTTTCACTGGAAATCCTCCCAATTCTGAGACGATACTTCCTTGCTCTAAGCCAACATCTTCCATGAACACGCGACCAAATAAATCAAGAGAAAGTCGCCATCTACCCAGCAAAATATTATGCGAAATTTTAGCACCGATTGTTGAGATTGGTACCCTCACTGGTGCTGTTGATACTATAGACTGCTGTTGCTGTGGTTGACTCGCCTCAACTGAATCTTGTACGTCTTGTGAAATTGCCAAATCAACAATTTCCTCGTTTGCTGTGACCACTGAAGATTCGGTTGTTACGGCGGTTACCAGCACCTCCGTAGCTACAACAGTCGGCTGTGAACCGATAAAAATCGATATTTTTATTCTACTCAAAATCGTCTATTAAAATAAAAATATCGAAATCTTGTCTTACTTGTTTATTTACATTATTCTGTGAGTCTTGGGCACAGGCGCTACTGCTTCCGGCGCGAACGATCACACTACGCTCGACCTTGTTTGATTTTTGTACAGTACTGATAGTTTCTGTGTCCATTAATTGATTGTTTGGCGAAACGATGATCGGAGCTCTATCAGTTTGTTGCTCTACAACTGCAGCTACTGGTTGTGGCTCAGCTGTTTGTTGTGTCAAAGCTTTTTGTTTGTCCTGCAAATATTTGACCATTCGTTAATATAGAGAATGCCGATAAATTTAATAAATAAATAATAAAACTTACTTGATATTTACTCGGTTCTACACTAGTTCCAGCACCATTACCTCTCCTTTCATTACTTTTAGCCTGATCGGCAGTATAACCGAACATAAGGCTAGAATTCAACTGTCCCTCGACATTTCTCGTAGACAAACCCAATCGTGTGGGTAAACCATCAATACTAGATCCACCAGGTGAATGTCGAGGTACACCAAATAAATCTTCTCGTCGTGAGTGTGGTTGCAGTAAATGAGGTTGGTCCGCAAGTGGTAGAGCTTCAGACATTGCTGTGTCGAATGGATCGAGTGCTGGACAACCTAAGCATAACGTAGAATCCGAACGTTGGAGAAATGGATGCTTGCGGCCTTTCCCTGATGAATTAGATGACATAGTGTTGTTAGGTGCAGGTGTTGACGTGGCGTTACTCGATATGCCTGGGATGTTTAGAAGGTCAGGGTAATCGACTGAATCTGTTTCCATAGTATTGCTCGTGTGTATATTATCTTCTTCACCTTCCTCATTATCATTTTCATCCTAGAAAAATATAAATAAGAAATGTCGGTGTTACTATTGTGATTCTTGAATTTTTCCAGGCGTTGATTGAATTGAAAAAGAATTTTACTTTTACCTGATCATTCCAAGTGGGATCAGCAGGTTCTTTATGTGAAGTCTCTCCCCTTGATGAAATTGGTTCTGAAAGTGACCTCATATAATAAACCAAAGCATCGAACACATAAGCCACGTGTCTCAACGCTGAAACATCTAGTACTGGCAAGCTATCTCTGTGCTCAGCATTGTGCGCTCTCATCAAGGATAAGCAATATGACAAAAATTCTCTCCTTGCCGAGTGTCCATCACCACCTATATTCCGCAAAACAAAAAAAAATTGATTATCAGCAAACGTTTGTCCGATCGAACGGTCGTCCTGCATTCCCGAAAATACAATGGCAACGCAACAGGACAGTAGTCTTAAAAAACAATACCCTCACGTTCTCTACCGCTGCGCGATGCCTCGCTGATACCGGAAAATCCAACGGTGACCCGTGATGGATTCTGAGTTGTTGATATATTACTACCAGTGCCACTACCACTAGATATTCCAGTGCGTGCGCTACGTCCTGTATTGCCTTGAAGCGATAAAGATAGTGCTGCAGAATTGAGAAGACCAGTGAAGTTACCACCTGAGAGTGATGGTGCACTATTTAATGGATGTTCTGGGTGTGTAGGATCTGCGCTACGGGTCAAGGATACGCCGAAACGTAATTGAGCTTCAGTTGCATCCATCACGGTTATCAACCAATCCCAAGTTGGTTTTAAATGTGCTTCCAAGTACATCTGCAATGCAAGTTTATTATTATATATTTCATTCTGATTGTTGCACAGTTTACTTGATAGAAATTTCAAATGTACCTGTAAGTTGAAGGCATCCAAGAAACCAATTTCCAAAGTCCTCGGTAATGGGGGTGCGACCATCTTGTAATCTTGCATCATGGTGAGTAAATCGGCGATCTGTCGAATAACAATACCAAAAGCCCGAGCAAGACAACTAGCAGTGGTACCCATTGTAATCGGTTCTTGACCAGCAGCCACGGCTGATGTTGTTGTCGATCGTCGTAGTGATGATGGATCGATGAATACGAGATTACTACTACCGGTGACACGAAGACCGGTTGCACGTGTAACTGACTCGCGATTACGGATTGCCCATTGCATTGACATTGGTGCCAGATTGTTGCGGTTTGAATGTCCCGTCGAGCCACTGGAACGTGAGTTTAACATGGTTGAGGTCGACGAGCTGGTGAGAGTTCGAGAGAAATTTTATTACATGGCCAAATTATGATTAAAGTATTGTATTTTTTAATTTGCAGATAAAATTTTTTGGGGTTGATGAGAGTTGTTGAATGTTATTTCGCTGTGACCATGGGTAAGATTTACTAATTTTCCGGGTGATATTCAGAGATGACGATGATGACTTTTTACGTCGAATAAATATTATGATAACATATTGTCACGCAATAATAACATTTGTTAATAAAAGCGAAACAAACTATATCCAGAAGATTGACTTTCTGAATATTGAAAAAAATAAAGAAAAAAATATATATATATTTCAATTTGGGAATGCTTATAATAGATGCCATTAAAATCTTCTCAACAAATAGCAATCCTTGTTCAATCTCATGATAAAAGTATGACTACACTGACACATCATACGAATTAAAAGAATATCAAATTTCGCCGCATCTAGTATACAACAAACAAAACAAACCCAAAGAAAAAGCAACAAAAACAATAAAATAAATGTTTCATCCACTAACCTTCGTCGTTCAAGTTGTTCATCCCCAATTTGGAATTCCTCAGTATCTTGTTCATCAGTCTCGCCGGCTTCACTTTCATCGTCTTCTTGTTGGCTAGATTCTCCAGACTCATCTTCAGGATACAACAAAATCGAATTCATACCACCATCGGAACCAGCAGTAGCACCTGTTTGAACACTACGTTGAGCTGATGCAGCATCTTGATTGCTGTGGTTGTCATCTGAATCAGATTCTGTTTCTGCTTCAACTAATAAATCTAATTCAGTGTCAGACTCGCCATCGCCAGCTGGTTCTTCTCCAACAACTGCACTAGCGTCGACTTCACCTAATGGTTGAGCATTTACTGGTGCTGATGACTCTTCGTGTTCGCTTATGTCACCATCCAAATCCATTGGTACTTCTTCAATCAAATATTATAATATAATTTCTTTCATCGATTATTCCTTTTTAAAAATACTTTTTTTCAATGATACCTTCGCCTGGCTCAGTTTCATCCATAGCAGACACATCTCTAGCAATAGATATGTTATTATTTCCTTGTTCAGCTTGAAGAGTTGACTCGAGATTTTGTGGATTTAAGTCACTATGAGGAATAAGAGGCTCGATAGAAAATAACTCTTCCGAGCCGTTAATGACTTCGATAGCAGAGCTAGTTAAAGTGAATGGAGCTGTTGGTCTAGCAACTCCTAAGCGGACTGGCGCAATTAAGGAATCGGCAGTTTCGCAAAGTTCTTCTACTGCTAGTTTGATCAGAGCTTGGAATATTCTGCGGCATTTCATCAACGGTTGTGATGCTTGGCTAGCGCTGTAATGTTTATGAGTAATGATTATTTAATTATCATTGCCAATGATTTTCAATAACACGAATGATGTAGTAAACATCGAATACTTACCTTCTTCTCTTCGTGGTATTAGGCGCCATTTCAATAGTGAAAATAACAAAAATCCTTGCAACAGATCTAACGAACCTCCTAGCAACTGTGATAGCCTCTTCTTGTCTACCAGGCACATTCTCATTCTGTAGCTCTCTAATCAAAGTAGTCAACAGAGTATCCAACATTTCAGCGCTACATTTAACCAACAGCGAATGCGTGAATTTATCCAACAAAGCAGTGCCACTTTGCTTGCAAGCTTGACCTTCATCTCCGAATAATTGGTCATTTGAATTCTCATGTACTCCAGACATGATGGTACATTGTACTGCCGGCCAATCGTTCAACAATCTCTCCAAAGCACGACGACTGAATCTCGGTGGCTCAAGATCATGATCAGGCATGTCGGAATCAGCTCCTATACCATCTGACGATGGATTTTTGCGATTAGCCGAAGTTGAACGTTGCCTTGGTGCCGAACGGAATTGTCTCTGTTCAATTGATTGCCTGCCGACTGTTTGTACGAGAAATAATAAAATTGATTCTCCTCTAGAGTTAATTTTTGTCGCTAAATCTGTGCTAGTAATTAATCGACATAAAAGATCGTATCTCGCGGTTTGTCGGCCTGAGATAAGAGCTTTACATTTACATTTCTCCCAACAATCGCAATAAGCTGTTGGCGACGTAATTTTTAACTTGCAATCGTGACCACGATGACAAACTCGTGCGCATTCTGTGCAGCAACATAAAGAGCCGGTTAATCCGCACGTGCGACATTCAAAAATATCTTGATTTATGTGGTCTGCGCCTGTCCAAGTAAAACTGCAAGTGTCGTTACAACATGTGACAAAAAGCGGTGATAAGTCGGGACTTGCGTCTGTTGGAAGAATCATTGACGAACAATCTTTAGCATCTCGGCCTACACGCTGAATAGTGTCCAGAATTATTAGGGCCGCGTGATAAGCGCGTACTGATACTGACAGCATCAATGGGGTTTGGCTTTGTGCGTCTCTGCCAGAAACATCATTTTAAAAATAGTTGTTAATTGTTGGAGAAAGTTGAGTATATAACTCTTACTTACCTCGCAGACAGTAATTCTTTGAGATGAGGAGCTAAGACTGTACTCTCACACATATATTTCAATATTAGTAAGGCATTATTACGTCTCTCAACTAAGTCTATAATATAGGTGTTATTTGCAGCTGAACCTACGAAACACATACGTATTACAAAAGTCTCTATCACATTTTAAACAATCGTGGTACTTATCTTTATCTTTACAAAATTGATCAAATAATATACCACTTTTATTCATCATCGAGATGCTACTAGCTCCAATGCCAAGCAAGGAATCTTCTTCTCCAGACGTATTGTCGAAAGCTTCAGGAGGCCAGCTTAGAGTTGGAATCGGCTCTTCAATCGGAGCAGAACTGGCATCTACAGTATTCGTCACTAATTCATGTTCTATACCTGCTGATTTATAATGCACAAGTTAAAAAAAATGATTATTTCGATCGCGAATAAAACCATGACTAGTTCAAGTACCTTGTTCATTCTCTTTATTGGATGTTGGTGCGCACATACTGATACATGCATGAAGAATATTACGATTACCATCACAACGCTCGTTGAGGATTGATTGCATTTGTAATGTATTTGTTTCTACAAACAGAATTTCTTATAATTAAAAATTTATCAGGAAATAACAATCTAAGTCATTCATTATATTCTTCATTAGGACTTACTTAAATCTTGTTCCAAATTAGCAAAGATCTGTTTAACGCCATCATAATCGCATCTCAAAATTCTAGGCATAAGCAGTAGATTATCGAAGGCAAAAGCAATGACAGCTACTTGGCTCTTAAGGTTCATAGCAGGAATACTTGGTATTGGAATGGTGGAGGCACCAATGCATAATACGGGCACAAGGTCAAGCCAATTGGGATCACGTATCGCATCAGCGCAGTCTTTTGCTAGTGGATATATTGTATTGTTGCCGTCGCGCAGTAACATTGAACATTCATTACTCTACAAATATGTGAAAAGACGTTAGATAAGAGTTTTTCAAACTAATTAAAGTCAATAAAGACAAATAAAAATTTCTCTTACCTCTCCAGCACTAGTGAGGCTAACGTTTTGCGGTTGTAGGCCTAGGAACGATGAGATATCGGATGGAATGTAACAGTCCTGAACATACCGTCCAGTGCTGATATTGTAAATCACGTAGCTTAATTTACTTCCACTGCGCAGGATCGCATGGATACCTTGGCCGTCAGTAGATATCGTTAAAAGATTTTCGTTTGTACCCTCGACGATGTTCACGCGACGCGGAGTGCGCTGGAAACAGTCTGGTGCTCGAGAACTCATTGAAGACTTTATTACCTACAGAAACAAGTACTTAGTAGCCGTTTATTAGAAAAATTCACTGAGTGAATAAATGGCTTACAACTAATTCGTCTTTTCTAAGAAGTCTACAATCAGCCAGGAGTTTCGTCGGTTCTTCGGCCACGGTATCTGAATCTTTGTCTTTCTCCTTTTCTTTCACATCTTTTGAGAAGAATTTTACTGCTACGTAACAGCCGTCAACCTTGATTACTTTTCCTATTGGAAGTGTCTTCACGTCTTCGACAAATACCACGTCTTTTAAGTGCCAATCTTCTTCGTCCTTGCGATCTGGCTCGTTTTCGCTTTTTGGTGCCATACGTTTTTGACGTTCTATATAAAACAAACACGAAATTATAACATGATAAACTTTCAGGGTATTTCATAGAAATAGTTGAAACCAAACTTACTGTGGCTAGTAGTTATACTACCCGTATCACTGCAAGTACTAGACGCAGGTGACGGTGGTGGTGGCATGTCAATTCTGTCGGCAGTTTCTTTGTGACTGGTCTTACTGCTGGTACTAGATGATCCATTACTGTTTGTCTCTCTTTTGTCCGTTGTTATATTGGGTGGTAAAGCTCCTGCCGGAAGGATTTTAAATCGACACACTGCGTCAAGATTCCACACTGCTGATAGCAGCTGGCCTACCTTTGGTACGCCATTTGCTATTGTAAAACCTAAGAATAATAAAGACATTGTTGATGAAATATTGTTTTCATTAACAATAGACAACACTAAGAAACTGATTGATGTACCTATTGCTCCAGATTGATAAATTGGACTATTTTTCATGCATACATGGCTACCATAAGCTATATCAGATGTAACTACTGTGGATGGTCGATGCTTCCTAGATTTTGCTTTGTACTTTTCCCACAGTTTTATTCTTTGTGCAAAAGGCAAAACACCCCTATAAAAAAGTATAAATTTAATACCTCGTATTGACTAGTGATTATGCAAATAACAAAACTATACATACCACCAGTACAATGCACCAGTTTCAAGTCGAGCGACAGTATAAAGTGAGCATGTATGCAATGAAACAATTTTATCTAGTTGAAATTCAGTGAATGCTTGTGCTGAGTGCTCTAGTCTTGAGGCAACGTTACCCAACTGTTCATCCAGCCAAGTTGCTACTTTGCCAGTCTCAGTACTCACTGTACAACGAATCGCAGTGGCAGATATGTTTAATATCTTCTCGCCAACTAAGTTCAATGGAATTGCTTTTGGGTGATGAATACTTGCATTCTGAAATTCAACGATAAAGTTAAAATATTTATTCAAGCTTTGTGCAATTTAAACATGAGAAAAATGCATACGTCAGGATGTTTGTAAGGCTCCGAATCAGACCATCGCCATTGATACAATTGACCCGTTGATGATATTGCTATTAATTCACTGTAAAGGGCTGCCATTTGAACAAATCGAGGTGCTTGTTCTATGCGTTCATTCCACCATTCGAGTTCTTCCGAAATCCACAAGGGACTTTGTGATGCTAATTCTTTCTTTTTGATATCTAAATAAAAAAATAATAATATTAAATTTATATTAATCGAATACTGCATTAATTATTATCAATAAATTATACCTGGATCTTTTTCCCAAGAATCTTTCAAAGCAGTTTCAAGCCAACGTCTGGGCCCATAATATTGACGATCGCGCCAACGACTGAAACTATCGCGATCTCGATCGCGCTCCGATGATCTTTCGCTGTCTCGGTCGTTGGTCAATCGTCGTGACGAACTGCTGCGACTGAGGTACATGCAAAAGGGGTAAGGAACAAGCATACATTATTTACAAGTTCTAAAAGTCAGAAATTCCTTGCTGATGAGCGAAATGGATGCCCATGAAATAAAACTTAAAGCTAAATAATTTTAATTATAATGCTAAAATTTATAAAAAGATTAAAATTTAAAGTTTGATATCAAGAAAAAATTTCTGAATTACAGCAGATTATCTTAACAGTATTTTGATATTATGATTGCAATGATCATTAGAAAAGACGTATGAAAGAGATCGACTTACCTCCTTATACCCGGATAGCCAAAAACATCCTCAGAGAACATAGAATCGGCAGCATCGATAATCACCGAGTGCTCGTTGTTAAATCCTCCGTCTAGTAGTGATATGAGATCTTCCGGTACGTAATTGTCAGCGGCATCTTCAGCATCATCACCTTCTTCATCATCTCTTGACAGCAGATTGTTTACTGCAAGATTCACGTCAAGGTTTGTGCGTTGCAGCTCGCGCATTATTAAATTGCGGCTTTTGCCTTGTAGTACAACTTGTGCCTGAAAAGAGAAATTATTTTACAGTTATTAGGTTAACGTAAAACAAAGTAACAACCTCCTCGTCCTCCGTACCTGTGAGATAAGGTCTTCGGGTACAAATGGTGCAGGTACTGAGACAATAGGTCTTGAACTACCACTACTTCCACCCATAATAACACCAGGTGGTCCAATTCGTCCACTACCACTGCTGGCGTTTCCGCTTGCACTCGCACTACCACGAATGGCATTGTTACGCATGAGACGAGCACGCGAGCGTGTGATGCCGGCACGACTACTACCGCCTCCGCCGCCGCTGTTACTACCACCTCCACCACCGCTGGCACCACCACCACTACCACTACCACTTGTACCACTGGTACCGGTGCCTCCTGCAGATGCTGCTGATGAGCTGCCAACGTGACTTTTACTGGTACTGAAAATTGCGAATTAGATTTATATGTTAGGAAACGAATTACGTTAAAACTTCATTTAGGTGAAAAAAGAAGATTTAAATGGAATATATAGGCAATGAAATATTATCAAAAGAAAATTATTTTTCTCAAAATTGGATATAGTATTCATTACCTATCTGCAATCTATGCAGTATATAAATTAATGGGTATAGTCTTCACACTTAAAATTAAATCCCTTTTAATTCATGATTTTACAGAAAGCTTGAAATTTTTTCAGTAATGTAGTCAATATAGTCATACCATTCAAACATGAGATAAAATTTATGCATTGTTTTCTGAAACAAGTGATTAGTAATTACTTTGTATATATCTGTCAGATATGTTAAAATACTATTATATTAATAATCCCAATTTCACTAAATACTTTTAAAAATTTTTTAAATCTCTTTAGAATAAACTTTTGAATTTTATTGACATAAATAAGAGTATAGAATATCAATACTCACTTTCTATTTGGTTCATTTTTTCGTAAATCTAATCTATCATAAAGAACTGTGAAAGCAACACGGCAAATTCTGTTGTCATCAAGGAGTAGTCCAATGTGTGATGGTCCAACAACAATTTTTTTAATCGATGTTTTGAGTCCACTGAGGGCTGGTGGAGTGATAAAACCATATCTATTGATTTTTTCTGCTACCTCTTTTAACCTGAAAGGATATGCGATATATTACTATAATAAATTATATAGTAAATTGTTATATCCATATATTTAAAAATTATTTATCGATAATATTATTGATTTACATAATTGAACATTAGCATAGTTCTCATTGATTTCATATCGTTGAATTTCATAGACAATTATCAATATATCAATTTAACATGTGCTATAATGCTTTTTAGTAATCTTTTATAGACACTTTTTTCATGAAAACATTCCTAATCATGCGTATCTTAAAATTTCATTAGGTTAGGTTAAACTTAAAAATTCCTATGTTTTATGTAAGAAAATATATATTTTCAATAATAGAATTTTTCATAAATTTGAATTAACATCATTAATAAGATGACAAACTAAAAAATTTGACAATAACTTTACTAATAGATTGGATACTTTTATAAAGTAATATCCAGAAAAAACAATTTGAACATAATTACTTCATATATTAGTATAATCATATTGTTATGAATAACAATATATTTTAAATTAATGAGAATGATTACATACACTAATTATTCTGTCTTAATACACAAATTTAAGTATTTACAAATATAAATATTACTTAACCTAGTTTCTATAAAAAAAGATAAATGAACTCATAAAAGCATGTTCAAAAATAAATTGCTATAGCTGATATTTTCAATAATATTATTTTTAATGCTACCACAATCCAAATGAGTCAATTCAAAAGTAACTTTACTCTTCTCTTTCCAGCACAATTAAATTAATAATCATTGTATTTTGTCGCAAGTTTTTAAAATAATGCTACAATATCAATGTATCAAATAAGGTAACATAAAATATTACGAAAATTGAGCAATGTTATGTACAAAGCAATGAATGCAAAATAATTATGTGTTCACAATTATGCAAATATTGACATGAACTTCAAAAAAGAGTACACGGGCTGATATACATATTTCAAATGATCTATTATGCATGAGCCAGTCTAATCCACAACACTACTAACAGATTCATTACATTTCCATAGTCAAGACAATCATCTGGCAAAGGCACTACCTAAATCTTGTATACAAATAGTCAACCAGAGTACCTAAAAAATGTTATTGAAAACTTATCAAAACACAATCCATTATGATAAGCTCATATACCTTCTGCATACAGATTACGTGAAATTACGTTATGATTGAGCTAGAAAAAAAGCATTGTAGCTGCTAACGACGATGAACACTCACCTGTCGTTGAGTTGGTCGTCCGTCCCTGGTAGGGGATGGACGACAAAGTGTATCGAGCTCATTGTTGGTGGTGAGCCTCACCTAGAAAGTCGGCTAGTTGCTCGATTCGTGATAATTATCTACGTATCAATTTTGTACTCACTTAACAAGAAAAAAAATTAACGCACAACACTCAACGCCAAATTTTTCGCTGCTGCTGTTGCTTGAGCCCAACACGACGTTCGGCCATGTTTTGAACGTGCAGTGCAATCGCTTTACTTTCATAAACTCATCCGTGTGATGTCATTGGTGTTCAAAAAGACATCAGGTTAAGCAACTTTATTGATAATAGTATTGAAGGTAATGTTTGATCAATTGGATAATCGATTTTTTTCGTTTAATCTCTCACATTTAATTTACTGTCCAAATTTATCAAATTTTCTACAAATAAAAACCATCTAGAAGATTATTTATTTGCTTCGTGTATTGTAAACTGCCACCTCTACTGAAAAACGACCCGTTGCAATGACGAGCAATTAAGAATGGTGGCGCCTACGGATTAGTGTTAAGTGTTGACTGTAAGGTCACTAGACAGTATTACCGCAAGAAAAAGGTCTCTAGAAATCAGCGCTACTAGAAATATTATGAACGATTGGTAGATCTAAAATGTTGGAGCTTCAGTCGAATCTTAAAGTTCAGTAGTAAAAGTTCAGTAGTAAAAGACAGTGTTTGCAGAACGATTCTGCAGCTTCCAATAAATTGAAATGAATTCTAATACATGACTAGACTACTGCGCAGTCATCCGTGCATAGGCTAATTCTATAGAAATTTATAAAAAACGCGTATTTTGGAAACGAAAATAAACAATTATGAGAAACATGTAAATTAATGAATACATATAGATTCAAAGTTGAGTAATCTTGAAATATAATCAATAGTACTCAACATTACTCATTTTTAATTTACATTTATTAGTTAATTTACGTGTTTCTCATAATTGTTCAATTGTGTTTCTAAAATACGCGCCTCTTATAAATCCCTATAGAACTAACGTGCGTACGGATTACTGCAAAGTAACTAGTCATGTGTCAGAATTCATGTCATTATTTGGAAGTGTCAAAATCATTCTGTAAACACCCTAAGACGGTAAGACACGTTCAGGACAGCAGCAGGACAGCAGAGTAGTGCGTTTCTCGGTGTATCTCACTTTCTCTCGTACCAGCCACAATTTAGCATACTAGATTTATTTTACGCGCCTCAGTAGAAAAGAATTATGCACTAGTCACCATCCTTTTTGACGAATTGAATTTTGTGAAAAAGAAAAAGTTTGATTTTTGTTAACAGCTGTGGCTCTTGTATAAAATTAAGGAATCAAGTCTACAGAAGAAGGAAAAGTCGGGTGAGTGTTCTAGAAGAAAAATTAGATGAAGCATGCTTCGATATTTATTCTCATCCGCTTCCGCTTCTCTCTCTCTTCCTCTTATACGCTATAAATGTAAGTATACGAACGGTCGATTTACTCTCTCGACGCCGCTTTCATAAGTTTTTATTTTCATTATTTCATTGACTTATACATATGTGAATGACTCGTATGAGACTGTAGGTTGTTCATTATTTGGATCTTATAACAGTTGCTAATTTCGTAGTTTCTCAGAAAAGATTCTTTAGTTTGCATACCAACTACCGGTTTGGATTGTATAAAAGTGGTATTTTATGTGATGTTCATTTATGAATAAATTATAATTGAATAAATAAAAATTTAGGGTAAATATTTTCAAACAAATGTGTTTTACAAATATTGATTTTATGATATAAAAATTATTTACTATATTACTGTTTCTTTTTAAATCAATAATTCATGTACCATTATTCCACACTTTGTTGCTATAAAAAAGTTCTTAATTTTTTATCGAAAAGAACAGCAAAGGATAAAATACTATAATACACTATTCGCCCATTTCATCTATTTTTATATTAATTAATACCTTAATATTAATGCTTTATTCTAATAATATTAATGCTTTATTCTTCATAACAGAATGGCTCGTGGACAGCAGAAACTTCAATCACAAGCTAAAGCTCAAGAAAAGCTTGCTAAACAAAAAAAACAACAAGGCCATAGTGCAAATGATCAAAAGAAAGCTGCACAGAAAGCTTTAGTTCATGTCTGTGCTGTCTGCAAGGTTTGTATCAACATTAAAATCCAATCAAATATGGATTGCAGTTGTATACTTGAACTATTGTTGTTTTATCTTGTAACTGAGTTTTAATTTGAAGTTGGTATAAATTATAATATATATTTTTAGGCACAAATGCCAGACCCAAAGACTTACAAGCAACATTTTGAGAACAAACACCCCAAGAATGATTTACCAGAAGATCTAAAAAATATATGAGAGGTTAGTGCCTCCAAAATCTACAGAATGTGGGAGGCAGCTAACAAATGCCCAGTTATCGAATTTAAACGAGAGAGTGATTTAGATTTAAGATAATAACAGTTGATTGACTTCAAATCGATAAAATAAACTGAGTCCTGTTATCGCATGAAGAGAAAATTTTTGTGAACGGAATTATAATCTAAGTCATGCGATTTGATTTCTAATTTTCTCTTCTATCTTTCTCCTATAATGTTCTAGTTCTATTTCTGAATACAATATTACTGTTAAACATATAGTTTCCAGCACCTCTTATTATTTTTGTATTCTATTAATTGATAAAATGCGATCACTGAATGTAAGAAAAGTTTCTATGTATGATCAATCAACTGCTTATAAATGTATTTTTTTTATCATTCATCCATGAATTACTTAATAATAATAATCATCATTAGGTTTTTTTCTTTTGCATCTTCTGATTCTTATTAAGTTTTATACAGATGAAACTTTTGACGTGTATAAATGAAATATATATTAGCCACAAGTACGTAACATATTATTATTTCACTTACCTTTGTAAATATTAAAAAAAAGTGGAATTTCAAGTATAGTAAAAATATGTTATTATATTAATAGCATGAAATTAAAAGATAAAAGCATCGTTATACGATTTATAAGTTTTGTATATTTCTACTTTTGTTTTTGTCAATTATTGGTAGTATAATTTAGAGTGACTCTTCTATATTTCGTTTTGCAAAATGACAGCGTCTAGAAGTTATTCTCTGAAAAGATATTTAAAGGATTGATATAAAAAAAATTATTTGATTAAAATAATAAAAGGTGCTTGGAAAATGAGTGATCAAGTTATAGTTGATAAAAAGAAAAAATTAAACTCTGATGTAATAATAATAATGTTTATAGTATTGTCGTAGCCTCTTTCTACTATTTCACTCGCATGCACAAAATACTGTCAATACCTAGTGGATACATTGAGAATTGTAGAAAAAAACTTAATAAAATGAAATTGTGATAACGTGTAGTAAGAAAATGAATACTGTTACTGCCGCATTACCGTTCTTTTTTAATCTTAATCTGTGATCGCTCTTCACCTTCCGAAAAATCAAAGATCACTTAGAATCATATAAAGCGTTCAAGAGATACAAGGTATTTAAAATGCTCTTGAAAATCTTTATTTTTGCTGTTTGAAAGCAGAGAAAAAGAACGAATTTTATTAATGTTTGAGTTGTGATGGTTATTCGAAAGGTTTAATGAGACTCTTTCTGAAAAGATTTAGCTACGATTCGTTGTCGATATTGACGATTAATATATATAGCGATATACATTTGCATAATTTATCCTTAAAAATTATGTAATTTGAATTGTGTATCTTGTACTATTATAATTACAGTATTTTACACCGAATTTTTTAATGTGTGATTATTTATATTTACAATTCCATAACTATAATCCGTCCTGTACCTTATAATACATATTCTAAATTATCATCACTGTTATTCATTTGTTATATATAAAATTTTCCAAAAAATTTGTTTTATAAAGTTTGTCGATAATTCATGACCACATTATTAAATACATTAGAAAAGCTAACACAATTATCAAAAATTTGAAATCAAAAAATTGTGGAATTGTGAAATATGTTATTTAAGAATTTCAAATGCTATTTTCATTTTACGAATAAGCTAGAAGCTATCTATATTGTTTATTTAATAAAATTGATTCAATCCTATTCAAACGTACTGTTTAAATAAATGATTAATTTATTTTGTAGTCAGTATAACAGCCAAATTACTCTTCTTATCTTTACGAATTTTAACTACTAACTTAATTTCTTTATTACCATTATAAATCTATATATTTAATATTTGAATTTAAATCGTTTACTAATATTTAAATTTAAATCGTTTACTTTAAAATATAATTTATACATTAGATAATTTCTGCTTTCAGTATAGAAATAATTTTGTAATTAAATTTTAAATTATATTTTTTTACGCAAATATGTACTCATTTTTAATAATATTTAAGTGTTGATTTACAAAACTTTGAAATATACTTGAAATTCTATGAAAGCGTTGGGCATTCAAAATGATTATCTCCGACAATAATGTTAACAAAAGTTGTTATGTCATGCCATTCTTAACAACAGCTATCGAGTAGAACATTTTTAAGACACCGAAATTCGGTACAAAAATGTGTACTATTTTAATTTTATTGATGTTAAAAAATGGACTATAGAGTTATTTTGATATTCTAAGATCATTTCATTTTTGGATTGGTCAAGATGTGTAACATATATTCATACGCTAGAAATAAAAAATTAGTATCCATTAAAAATTGAACTTGATCTCTCAGTTAATACTTATCTTAGATTAGTAATTTATCAAAGGCAATAGCGGCTATAATATTGATGATAGAGTTGAACGTCGATTAGTTTTTGGTATTTTGTGCGTGGTACTGGATGATTTATACTGTTAGTCAATGAATATAACGAAATACTTGTTATTAATAACCATAAACATTATTAAGATAATTTTCAATCGTATTCAAGATATCGGATCTTACTTTAAAATGTACTGAAAAAGTTAGAATTATTTCATTGTTGTAGCTGTGCTCTTGTTTCATACGATTTGTAAGTGCGATAAAAATATATATATAGCGGAATGCTATCAATTATTCAAATAAATTAACTTTATATTTTTAGTACTTTATATTTAATCTTTTATGTGTTCATAAATCGAAATTGCAAAAATATAATTTTGAATGACATATAACATATTGAATGAAAATTGTTTAAAATTGTTTAAAAACCATGTATACCTTCTGCTATATTTAATCATAATTAAAAAACGTTTGTTTATTAATTGTATAAGTTATACGCTATTTTATTAAGTTCAATCAGTTGATTAAAAATTATTATTCAACCGTGAATATGTTTATTTATTATCGATAAATATCTTATTTATGAATGTCAAAAAGTCTATTTTTTCGTTGTAACTTAATTTATGGAAGTGTTTATTTATACATTATACCTTTAATCTTTTCTCCGTACATAGAATGACGTAATAGATATTCCAAGACTAGGAGCGTAGAAGTTGTAAAAAGTAAATATCGATAAATTGCGTTACATAAAGGGATCATGAGTCAAAAATGTTGTCGGCTATTATTTAAACTTGAATTAAATTTCTTTTGAAAACGAAATTTATGATTATATTTCGTAATTTCCAAAGTTTTGTATTTTTATGCCCAAGTATTTTTTAAAGGATATGGGTGTTATTAAAACGCCAATTTTTTATTTAGATAGAAAGTTTCGATATCAACCATTTCATCATTGTGTCGAGAAAAAAAACAGTACCGATATATGCATACTTATCGTGCGCAAACGCAGAGGCCCGCGCTTATAAAATTCACAGATCAACTTGATGGTCACTTAGTTTTCTGTATTTTTCGTTGGAGTATTTCGATCGTTGGCTATTAGGGTACGTAATATTTAAAAACAATGAATGTTATTTAAAGTGAAATTGAATTTTTGCATGTAATTGTATTGCTGATGGAAATTCGCTTATTCTAATTTAATTAGACACTGACATTATAACAAGTTTCAATATATTTATTCTAATTTTAATTATCAAACGAGTTAATACGATCGGATTAATAATTACTTAATTATTAATAATCGGATTAATAATAATTAATTATCATTGTAACAACAATTTTAAACAGAACTGAATAAAATTTCAGTATTTGCGAAATAATTTCTTGACATTTTCACGGATCTGATTGATCGTCGTAGATACTTACAATCGAATCGAGATGAAATTGATAAAAACTTGATTAACAAGTAGAGTATTTTAACAATAATATGATTAGATTGATTCGTAGATGCGCCGATAAAGTCAGTCGTTTTTTAATTATTGTTGATGAATCAACTTCAGTGTGCGATTAGACGCAGTCAACTGCTTACACTACTATAATAAAAGTTTCCCACTTGAAACGCTATAATTAACATCAAATTCATAATTCGTTCGTTCAGAAAAAAAATGCTGGCCACTCAGGACACTGCATTTCGAACTCGTTCATTGGGTGCAGCAGCTGAAGGAATAAAAGACCAATACGCTGATGGAATAGCCGCCAAAGTATGGGAAGTTTTTATTGGCGATCGCAAGCAACGCAAACAGAATTACAAAGATTTCCTTGTTGGACTACTTCGCCAAAAAAAATGCAAACGTGTGTTGGATGTCGCTTGTGGTACTGGAGTCGATTCGATGATGTTACTCGAGGAAGGTTTTCAAGTTGTCAGTATTGATGCGTCGGATAAAATGTTGAAATATGCTTTGAAAACCAGATGGGAGAGACGCAAAGAAAAAACATTCGATGAGTGGGGTGAGTTGATTCTCAAACTAATTCACTGTGTCTACTTATAGAATAAGATTTTAAAAGCGAGGTTAATAAAGAAGATCGATGCAGAGGAACAAGACAAGATTGATATCAGTTTATTTATCAAATATGTTCATCGACTATCTTCTTGCTCTTTTATGAAAAATTTTATTTACGTTCGAAAAGTCAATCGTCACGGTAATTATTCAAAAATAAATTCATAAAGCTCAGTAATTGTTCACAATCAAATGTGCCAAGCCGACTTTTAATAGATAAAAAATGATTGTCTTCAAACAATAACCAGAATAAACTGGTCATCGTTCACAAACAGCGATAAACTAGCATGCTATTCACATAAGCAGTAGAGAAAAAAAAACGTCGCGATAACATGTAACATTTGATCGTCCTCCAGTTCGAAATCAAATCGCAAAACAGTCAAGCACAAGAAAATACCAGTTTCATCAGCTTGATCCATTGGGGGTGATGTTATTGAAACTCATTTTAGTCAACCTAATCATATCTCAATTGCATAATAAAGTCGAACGAGCAACTGTACTTTGATAACTTTATCGTTAGTCAATTTGGAAACAGCTTTAATCTTCATTGGCTAGATAAGAACATTTGCATCCGCAATAACAATATAGATTTGAGAGATTCGATCTAATTTATATTGAACTAAATAACAAGTATTAGCCAGTACTTACTTATTGTAAGAGACATTTTTTCCTGATTTTATTACTTTTTCGTAAATTGAGTTATTTTTTAAATTAATTTACAATACTGAAAATATTAGTTTACAAGTGGATATTGATTTTTATAGCAAAAAGAGTTTATATTGATGACAATAATTTTTAGATTACGAATCATTAACGTAATACAAGATATAGAATAAAATGTAGGATAGAAACTCTTGTTGTATCAGTCGATAATTATGACTAAAAAACATACTTGTTTGAATGACAACTTTCACATTATAGTCTGTATTTACTTTGCAAATTCGATTTTATAGTTATTGAAGAAGCCAATTGGTTGACGTTGTCGGATGATATAAGTCATTTGATCGGTGACGGATTTGACGCTGTAATATGTCTTGGCAACAGTTTTGCTCACATGTTAGATTCTTACGGAGACCAGCGAGAACAGAGGTAATAAAAAAAGTCAATTACAACAACGCATTATTTCTGTGCTTTGCTTTGCAGACAAGCGCTTTCACATTTTGAACGCTGTGTCAAACCTGGTGGTCTCCTGTTGATTGACCATAGAAATTATGATTATATGATTGCGAAAGGAAAATGCCCTACGCAGTGTATATATTACAACGTAAGTGGATTTGTCGTAGCAAATTACTAAAACAATATTTGTACGAGTAATACATCCTTGCAATTTTCGATAGCCTTTCCGTAGAATAACAGTATATTTAATCGAACGCAATGATCGACCATCGTATTTTTTTATTTCGTTGTTTAATTATTAATGTCTTTTATTTAATGTTTTTAAAAGCCATATAGAGTTTTCCAGGCCTCCAAACTATAACTATATATATATGTATATATGAATCTTGCAGAGTAAGCATCTACAATCCATCGACAGTTGCGTGTTGTACACAAACGGTACTCCGTCATTGGTGACTCTCGAGTATCGGATAAAAATGAACGGTCTTGCAAATGGATTATGCAATGACGAAGAGCACGTGAGCGAATTTCGATTGTCTTACTACCCTCACAAACTCAATGATTTCACTCGTATAGTTGATGAAGCTTTCCATGGAAAAGCTAAACACACGATTTACGCTGATTTCAAACCACTCGATGAAGCTGAAGATCCAGGATTTTACATTCATGTGATGGAAAAATCGAAATGATTCTGTGCATGGTTGATTGATCAATATCTGCTATGTATCTGCAAATTTCATACGAGTTTGAATTAAGTATTTAAAGAATTTATTTAGCTTCTTCTCAACTTTGATATAACAATAACGTGTAATTTTTATGTAAATATATAGTGCTTTAAATACGAATTCTTTAAAATTGATCGAATGATTTACTATTACCACGTATTGGTAGCAGTCTACCTCTTTAGTTGTATGGTGAATGTTATGTAATTTTTAGTATTAGAATAAATAAGAATTTTCAAATCAGTTACTTTATTCATTATTTACAAATTTTTCCTCTGTTTGTTTGTAATTTGTATCGAGAGAATAAATTATTAAAAGCAGTTACTACACTTTAAGAAGAACTGATCATTAAATAATCAAAAAATGCTTTTGGTACCGTAGCCCAAACATTTTCAAAAGAAGTTTGTTTTGCTGACGTTACTTTCATTTATATTTTAATGTCTATTTTTTGATCGACTCATTTGCAGTACTTCAGCAAAATATTTGTAGCATAGCTAATCTGTCAACATTATTTGGTTCGGTAAAAGTCAATTTTTTTCTTATGCTCTTTATATAAGCTATTCTGTGAAAATAACCTTCAGAAAATTAATTTTTTTTTAACCGAACGAACTTCTGTATATATACTCTCCGCGAAAAAATTAACACAACACCTAATTCCGACTAAGAAAGAGCGCAAATTTGAAGATTGATATCTCAGGTAGAAAATGTAAGAGGATCAATTTTTTTTAAATTAAAGGTTGAAGTTTTTACTATAAGATGGTGGAACTCGATTTTCAATTTAATAGAACCCAACCTTTACTTACGTGACCTTCAAATTCAAGGTCATTTTTTAAAACACAAAAATCGTATACTTTTGCAGCAGCCCCCCCCCCCCCCCGCATGGGTGATTGTTTTCAATAATTCTGATAATTGCATCTTAAAGTACAACTCTTTATTTTTAAAAATTGACTTGATTTTTTTAACAATTTTACAGCGTTTTAAAAGTTGTATTTAATAAACACTTTTTTTTTCGTAAAAAATTTGATAATTGATAAGGACTAGGGGTTGTGATTATTTCGGCAGTATTTTTAAACTGTTCAAATCAATTTCATGGTAAAATAAAAATGCCTCTGTTGAATGAAATGCAATCCGCGTAAATTGTTGCACTGTCAGAAACTGGACTTAGTCGACATGAGATAGCAAGACGAATGGGGGTTCATATTTCGACTGTATCTCGACTTGTGTCTTGATTCAATGAAAGAAGTGCTTATCGCAAAAGGACGGAGCAAGATAGTAGACGCGTAACAAATGCTTGTGAGGATCGCAATATAATACAAGCAACCTTACGTAAACCGATAACAAATGCGCAACAAATTCATAACGATGCCTTGCTACACATGCAAATCAGTTTGCAAACAGAGAAGCGTCTTCACGAAGCAGGTTTAAGATTGCGAATTTATGTTAGAGTATTCTTTCTCACGACGTATTCGTCTGGACTATGCTAGAATTTATGGACAATGGTCGATTAGACAGTGGAGGAACGTCTTGTTCACAGACGAGTCACGATTTTGCATGTATGGTGACAAAGCTAACGAATATGAATTTGGTGTCGTAGGAGGGAGCATTTTGAACTAAACCATATTCAACCGACTAGGATTTTTCCAGTGGATCCATCATGGTATGGGCAGGAATTCCTTCAAACGATTCAAATAATCTCATGGATTTTATTGTGGTTCCACCTCCCGGGTTAACAGCTACATCGATGAAATTTTAAATCCTCATGAGCTTCAAATGAGTCGCTGCATAAGTCCAAATGTCATTTTCATGCAAGATAATGCACCACCCTATTCTGCAAGAATTATTCAGGCTTACATCCGAGAACACCACAAGGTTACTTCTCATGGATTATAGTGGTGGGCCCTTGTTAGAAAAAAGATAATAATAATAATGTGACAGTTGTTCCAAACGCTACAAAATACAACGGCTCAGAATCGACCTCAGATGTAAAGCAAGTCAATTCTCATAAAACTATTTATTACAATCGATCCGTTATATGATGAAATTTCAACATTCATCAAAATTTGCTATTGTTTCATTGCCGTAGCAATAAATTACTTAAGCAAACAAAAATGTCCAAATTATGATTTCGAACAGTCTAAGAGGCAGCCAGGGATTGATGAATAGTTTATAATAAGAATAACAGCGAATTACTGTGATTTTCTTTATAAAGTCAAGTAACTAATTAATTCACATAAATGACATTGTTACAGAATAAATATGATTTTATTTCACAATGTTATGCTTGTCGTTTAATACAGAATGTAGTTGAACATTAAAATGCGCTATTTGCATGGAATTCACCATAATGACTGATAATTTTAATATTGTTATAATTGAACAGTATTGTTTTTTTTAGTATTGCCCTACATAATATTCTAATTGTGATTCATAGAAATAAACGTCAGTAAAGCTAACTATGACATGAGTTTGGTCATTAAAACTTATTTATCTCTCTTAACAAAGATGAATGACTTTCCTTATTGGCGTATTTATGTATTTGTTATTACGACTTACTTTCAAGTTCAGTGAAATTATATGTATACATATAATACATATTATACATGTTATATATATAAACAATTGTTGTCAGTTAAGTTTATAAATTATATTTATTTAAGAGGGTAGTTATGTAGTATACGTTATGATTCCATTATTTAACGGTTGCAGATTAAAGTGGTGTTTAAAAAAGTTTAGAACATCGCCACACAAAGATACTAGAAAAAAATTATATAAAAGGCATATTTATATTAGAATATATTTTAGTTATGTGATGAGAGAAATAAATATCAACAAAACGGAATATGACGAGCAAATAATTATTAAAATATTTTTCTTCGTAAACACGAATGTCTTTCCTTATTGTCACAAATGTATCTCTTATTTTTGCAACTTATTTTTGATTATTATATATCTCGGCATACGGTAAAGTAGATGGACTGAATATGGGATAATATATCCAATATGGGATTATATTCCGATTTTTAATTCACTCCTAATGTAGTAATATGGCGCTAAATAACTATGATTGTGTAGTGAAAGTACCGCACATTCCAATCTATTTCAAAATCAAAATTCATTTTGTAGCAACAATTTCATGTTGTAATGAGCAATTTTCCCAAAAGTCCTAATTCATCTATGGTAAATACATGTCCACAAATTTCTAAAATGAAAATAATTAATTTATCCTCTTGACTTTTTCCAAAACACTCATAATAATTTTCTTAGTGCATAATTAAAACAAATGCTGCCCTGATTATCTTCTACGTTCGAGTACATCCAATGTTCAGATGTTCAAAATTAATGATACACGAAGAATTAACATTAGTATTTCAATTCTTTTATTTTGTTTCTAAAGTTATGTGCACAGTCTAAATAAAACTTGTCAATTAGTTGAAAGAAATTAAGTTTCTCGAGCTATCACAGTCAAAATAACGATTTTTGCTTCATCTTTTAAAATTAATATACCGTATTGTAATATTAAAAACTAATAACACTAAAAGAGTGATGTTGTAACACATCATGACTAAATAAATAAAAAGAGAATTTGTCTATTCTAGACCTTAATTAAGTGCATTTCTTATGGATTCGTGTCATACATAATTCAGATACTGAAAAATACCTCTTTCAAATATATTGAGTATACTTTTTTTATATACCTCCAAAAAAAAAGAATGATGTATAAAAATACAATAACTCGGGCAGACTTATGAAATTGATAAAACGATCGTTTGCGTTGACGCTGCTCTTATAAGCTTTTACACAAACTTTCCATGCAAAATAATTCATTTTTGGTGTAGTTACAGCTCATTAAAATTAATGATTTCAGTTGGTTCTACTTAGCTTCTAAGCATTAGCGATAATTTTGTTCGTAGACAGCATATATTAGCACATTTTTATTTAAAAGAATATAAAACATTATAATTTAAAATGTATTATTTCACATACTGTAAAAACCTTACGTTTTTCACGAATGTGATTAGAAAAATGAAGGCTATCCGAATGAATTAAAAAATATCCTTGTATGATAAATAAAGTTAAACTGCTTTTTTCGTTATCGAATTAATTACTCTTTTACATTTTAAGTAATTATTATGTTGATCATTGTGGGGTATAAATAGAACTACACGAAATGACGCTATTCCATTCTTTTCACGTACCGTTGAAAGTACCACGAGTCGTCACCATGAAATTCCTCTATGTATTTTTGCTTTTGGTTACAATTATCTTGAAAGGTTAGTAATACTGCATCATTTTTATAACACATTTCTATATGAATTGTATTTTACACCACGTTTACATATTTACGTACATTATGCAATAACAAAAATTTTTGTTGCGAAAGTAATGCTATTGTTCATACAGATCATTCAAAAAATATAACACGCTTGCAGCTGCGTTTCCCATAAATTGTATGAAAAAGTGCATTACTATAAACGTTTAAAAAATAATAAGATTCTTGATTCATACAGCCCACATAGATTTATAAAAATATAATGCAGATATTTGTTTCTTTCAAAAACTGAATACTATTAGGTATAGAAAACAGTATTAAAGCAAAAATTTCAATAAAATATTAATTCAATATGTTAGAAAACATATAAAATAAATATCTACGGCTCCCGTTGTATATTGAAAGAATATGAAAGCTTATAATTTTTGACGATTTTTGTAATAGAGAATTACTTCTATAAAATGTAACTAATAAAATATATTATAATTACAGTTTATGGATATATATGCGACCCCAAAGAGTGCAACGCAGGTTGTGTTTCTCGTGGCAACCAGTATGGATATTGTGATCTTCCTACACTATGCATGTGCGTCGCAAAGGGCTAAACAGCCCATGAGTTAGTAAAAGATACACACGAGTTTAAAGATTAATGTTCCATTACAAAAATGTAATAATAGTGTATCTTCAAATAAAAGTCTTGATTAACACTCAAATCACTGCCCGCATTCATTTTTCGCGAGGTAACAATTTTGTTCATTGATAAAATCTTTAAGAAAGTACCTGAAATCATTTTCTTAAGATTACATAGTAGAGATTATTATATGCTAATGATTATTCGAATAGAAAACAACTATGTCTAAATAATTATACATAAAAGTATTATAAAAATTTAGGACAATAATAAGTTTAATGCAGCAATACTTGATATAGTTATTTAGAATGATATCCTGTTTTCTGTCATAATTATACACCTGTTGAGGCTTGGCATGTGTATCATGTCGACAAACCGCGCCGATATAGATAAACTTGTATTTGTAAGCTTTCCTCATTTGAAGGAAAAAGGTGCTTTGTATTGTCTCAATATTGGAGAAATTTCCGTTTGTATTTCAAAATTCGATCGGCGTGGGAGATATTACGATAACATTTGCAGTACTATATAAAGGCAAACTAGATCCGTATCGATTATAGCGATTCAAGTTGTTGCACAGTTCACTCGGTTTGAAAGATCATCACATTTGTGAAAATGAAACTGCTTATTTCTCTTTTGCTCATCGTGGCAATCGCTACTCTTCAAGGTAAGATACGTCTAATTTCATTATTATTAGTCTTAACTATTCTCTTGTTCAAATATTCGCCCATCACGATGTTAACTATTCATTAACTATACAACGATATTACTACATCGCAATTAAAGTAAAAAATGATTTTCTTTATCGATCGCTAGTATTGTATTTATTCTACATTCCTAACAATTGATTTAGATATAATCCACTCTAGTTGTACGTCGAAAAAAATCTTTGCTGTCCATGCTCCTTTAGAAACTATTGTAAGAACTAAACAATTAATGGAATCCCTTATTATTACAGTATATGGATATACATGTGACCCCAAGGAATGCAACGCAGGATGTGTTTCTCGTGGCAACCAGTATGGATACTGCAACACCCCTAAGCAATGCATGTGCGTCGCAAAGGGTTAAATATTCCATAAATTTCAATCTTTAGATACACGCAAGTTAATAAATCAATGTTCAACTGCAAAAATGAAATAATAGTGTATCTGTGAATAAAAAATCTGCTATAAATATCAAATTGTCATTTGTCATTAAAATCCTTCTTAAATGGTTCTGATATATAAAGATAATCTACTATGTTATGCATATGCCTCTCAAGTGCTATAAATTAGTCAAAATTCTGTTGGAAATATTGTACACTTTCTGAAACTCGCTTTTCAAAAGGGCCCATATTGGGCATACTAACTCGCACAGGTAAAAAAAAGTAGTTTCCTGAAAAAAGTTATAACGTCAGCCACGTGTCATCAAATTGATAAATCGATGGCTGATTTTAAAGCGTAAGAAAGTAATTTTCAAACGAATTCTCTTGGGTGCGAAAATTTACTTCCAGTAAAAGCTATGGCGCATAGGTAGAGCAACTTAGGCAAATGTAGCTTATATATTTCAATTTTATGAAGAATTCATTAAAAGTGCTAAAAAATAATACATATCAAGTAATAAAGATCGTCAATGAAAATATTATATTTCATTTAAATGTTGAAATTTTTAATATAATTCACTAATGGTTCAAATGTTTATCCTATTTTATACATCGTTTATGTATATTCTAAATAAAAGTATTTTATGTCGCTCAAACATGAAATTGCGACTTGATCGTCTACGTTCGGTATCTTGAAGCATTAAATGATGTTGCCAACTGTTAGAGTGATTAAATATTAATCCTCCGTTTCTACTTCAAAAACTATCGTACGGTTGTATCACAACTACTGAAAAAAAATTGTAATAGTAAATGGTATTTTCTAGAAGATGTTTTATTTGCAGGTATATACTGTTTATAGTACATTTCTTATTAGTTTAACATTGACTTATTAACGTGTGTCTATCCAAATATTTAACCATTTACGTCGTACATAAATTGCTTAGGGGTATTGCAGTATTCATACTGTAAATATTACTACCGTAAATCTATGGACATTATTTTATGTACAAATCAAAAGGCTCATAGGTAAATTGGCTTATACATTTTTTTTGTAACAAATGGTATCAGCACCCAATTTGAATTTGTCATGTGGAATTCGTATCATGGCCCATAGTGATCTATTTCAGACACAACCCGATTAGTATTATTTTGAGATGTTTATAGATTATTATTTAAGAATTCAAAATGTTGCATTTACTAGATTTCTAGTGGTTACTAGCTAGTCCTTCATTGCCACTTAAAAAACTGCCATGCGGTAATATCCGAAATATTAAAGAAGGATTTTAATAATAAATGACATTTTAACATTTATAGGAGATTTTTATTGACAGATAGACTATTATTTCATTTTTACCATTGAACATTGATTTATTAACTTGCGTGTATCTAAAGATTGAAATTTATGGAATGTTTAACCCTTTGCGACGCACATGCATTGCTTAGGGGTATTGCAGTATCCATACTGGTTGCCACGAGAAACACATCCTGCGTTACATTCCTTGGGGTCACATGTATATCCATATACTGTAATAACAAGGTATTCCATTAATTGTTTAGTTCTTACAATAGTTTCTAAAGGAGCATCGACAGCAAGGATTTTTTTCAACGTACAACTAGAGTGGATTATATCTAAATCAATTGTTAGGAGTGTAGAATAAATACAATACTAGCGATCGATAAAGAAAATCATTTTTTATTCTAGTTGCGACGTATTAATTTCGTCATATAGTTAAAGAATAGTTAACATCGGGATGGGCGAATATTTGAACAAGAGAATAGTTACGACTAATAATAATGAAATTAGACGTATCTTACCTTGAAGAGTAGCGATTGCCACGATGAGCAAAAGAGAAATAAGCAGTTTCATTTTCACAAATGTGATGATCTTTCAAATCGAGTTAACTGTGCAACAACTTGAATCGCTATAATCGATACTGATCTAGTTTGCCATTATATAGTACTGCAAATGTTATCGTAACATCTCCCACGCCAATCGAATTTTGAAATTTAAACGGAAATTTCTCCAATTGAGACAGTACAAAGCACCTTTTTCCTTCGAATGAGGAAAACATACAAACACAAGATTATCTTTATCGGCGCGGTTTGTCGACATGATACACATGCCAAGCCTCAACAGGTGTATAATTATGACAGAAAACAGGACATCATTCTGAATAACAATATCAAGTAGAACTGCATCAAACTTATTATTCTCCTGAATTTTTATAATACTTTTATGTATAATTATTTAGACATAGTTGTTTTCTATTCGATTAATCATTAGCATACAATAATCTCTACCATGAAATATTGAGAAAATGATTTCAGATACTTCCTTACGTTTATATTAAAGATTTTATCAATTAACGAATTTGTTACTGCACGGTAAATGAATGTGGATGATGATTTGAGTGTTAAATTATTATTACATTTTTGTAATAGAACATCAATTTTTCAACTTGTGTGTATCTTTCACTAACTCGGGGGCTGTTTAGCCGTTTGCTATGCACTTGCATAGATTACGGCGATCGTAATAGCCATACTGGTTGCCATGAGAAATACAACCTCCGTTGCATTCTTATGAGATCGCATGTATATTGGAATGAGGAAAGTTTACTAACACAAGATTATCTTTATCAGCGCAGTTCGTCGACATAATACACATACCAAGTCGCAAAGTATTAGTGTTGCACAAAACAACAAGACTTATACACCTGTTGTATTTTATTATGAACAAAAGACTCAACGGCGGTATCAAATGTGGCTGTACTAAGCTTATTATCGTCTTGAATAATTTATAGAACTCAATCTTTTTTATAATAGTTTTCAAATATAATTATTTAGATATTGTTGTTTTTTAATATTAATCTCTTCAATGCAATTATCTCTCCCATAAAATATTGCGAAAATGATTTTCAGTATTTTCTTACGATTACATCCAAGACAACGTCAATGAATTGTTATAACAGCTATTTAAACATTTAAAATGTCTTTTTCTTTATTAAAATTATTAAAGTAAATTATTTTATATATTTCAATTTTAATATTACAAAAAAATGTTAGGCTAATTTCAAATTTCGATGTATATGTGAATACAGTGATATACAAATTCAAACGTAGCATTTCAAGTTAAAAGTGCATTAATTTTTTACCCCTTTTAGACACACATGTATATCGTAGGGAGATCACAATATCCGTACTGGTTACTACAAGCAGCATTTCCTGCATTTTACTCTTTCAGGTTGCATCTATAAACTATTATAAAAAACAATTCAAATTTCAAGAATCAACTACACAAAGTAAACTTATTTTATTAGTTAACTATTTTATAAAATAAGTATACTTAGTTTCTGGAATTAACACACTCTTAGTGCTGATTCTTATATAGACAAACCTGCTCATATTTAAATTGGATCTTTTAGAAAAATTCATGTTTTTAAATCTACAAAAAAAATTAATATTAATGTATTATGTAATTCATGATATATTAAAGACATTCTTAACTAAACTTTTTGTCCTTTCATTATTATAGTATATAGCGTACATAATAACAATTATGATCATATATAATATAAGAAAATTTGAAATGTTATATATTGTATAGCTATATTATAACTATAGTAAAACTACAATGAAATTATGATCATACGAATGAAAATTATTACGTACTATATCTTCGAATATTGGCGTTTTAAGAAATGAAAATTGAATTACTTTCCCGTGCGTGTAGCTCAATGTAAAGATTTAAGGGAAGTTTAGCTCTTTATTATTTTATTTTAAAATGATAATATGCATTAAGAAGTAGTATTCTGCTAGGTAATATTGTAAGGAAGAATATTGAAATCGAAAGAATGAATACTGTTGAAATCGTTTTTGAAAATTTTATATAAATTAATATTGTAAAAGAATATTTTAAGAAAATATATGTAGGAGTAGATGCATGCAGGAGAGATCTTATCTGCGACTTCAATAAATTTTCCACGAAGATAAAAAATGCTTACTTAATGACTAATATAGTAAGATTATTTCTTGCATGTGCGGACATAATGTGACGAAAGATCTGCTAATCTTCAAAATTATGATAAAACCATCAATAGCACAGCTGGCACTCCGTCGATCCAAAATGTACACAATTTGTGTATTATTATTTGCCGCACCCCCGCGTTGTTTCGACGAAAGAACATTTTTTTATCTCGATGTACGCACGTGAACTTGAATACAAGAAAACTTATCAAGGTTGATTAAGACAAGGAAGTACTTGAACGTTGGATTGCACATTGCGTTTCATACACAGTACAGTTATTATTCCACGAAATACTTATACGTTTGATTTACGTTCAACACTTAATTCCAATAATCATCAATTTTAAAAGCAAATAATTTGATTGTAGTCAAATGTTATTGCTCAAATACGAAATTTTGTAAACTTAAAGATAAATCATATTTTGCCAAATATAATATTAAAATATGATTTTGATAATTAGTGGAAATTAGGACATTTAATAATAAAATTAAGAGTAATGAAATAGAAGGAAATAAATTTTTCATCTCCGCATAATCAAGAGAATATTGCTTTCATTTCTTCAATATGAAACATACAAATTCCAGATCCAAAGCACTACGAGTTTAGTACAAACTGAAAATAATTAAATCTTATGATTAAGCAGTTAAATATTTTTCCGACTGATCAATTAGTCAATATTTAATAATCAAATTTAACAATCAAATTTTTTTTTAATTAGAAGAAAATGTGTACTGATTTGTAGAAGCCATTAACGTAGATTGATTTACTGCATACAGCAATTTGCTTCTGATAAAATAGTTTTAAGCCGGCTGATTTGATCGCCTTCCTAGGTTGTGATGTTGGAGATTAAAGTTATGAGATTGATATCATAGATACGATTGGAAAGAAATAGAAAACAAAAACATTGTGTAGCTATAACATGTGTTAGAAAAACTTACATTTTCGTTCCCAGAACAGAAACGTCAGAAGAAATAATTTCACATCGCCTATCGAGCTACTGAAAAATCTCACTATTTTTATTCAATAAATTTCATCCGTAACACTAAGAAATGATGTGGACATAGGAGATAGTGTGATTAGAGTTACAGTTCTATATAAAAGCTGAATCTAAAACATCCCAATCATAGCAGGTCAACTTTTTGAATGTTAGTTCGTCGTCATCCGACATCAAATTTGTAAATATGAAGTTGCTTCCTTTTCTTCTGCTCGTCATTCTTTCTACTTTATAAATAAATTAATATATTGTGTAATTAAAGCAACTTAAATCAATAATTAAATTTTGGTACCTAATTAAAATGATTAGATGACTCATTAAATTTTAATTTACTGTAAAATGCCATTTACTATTACAATTTTTTTTTCAGTAGTTATGATACAACCGTACGATAGTTTTTCAACTAGAAACGGATTAATATTTAATGACATGGAATTCAGTAATTAGAACCATTTAAATTCTTCAATAGACGTAACAGGCAGTCGTGATTCATCTACTGTGAGAGTTAACACTATTTCTTGATTCGGATACAGAAAGGATTAGATTGCGACATGATTTACCGCACTTTAACAGTTGGCAACACCATTTTATGCTCCAAGATACCAAACGTTGACGATCAAGTCGCAATTTCATGTTTGAGCGACATAAAATACTTTTATTTAGAATATACATAAACGATGTATAAAATAGGATAAACATTGGAACCATTAGTGAACTATATTAAAAATTTCAACATTTAAATGAAATATAATGTTTTCATTGACGATCTTTATTGCTTAGTTTTTAATGCATTCTTCATAGAATTGAAATATATAAGGTACATTTGTCTAAGATACCCTAACTATGCACCATAGCTTTCACTGGAAGTGAATTGTCGTACCTAAGAAAATTCGTTTGAAAATTACTTTCTTACGCTTTAAAATCAGCCATCGATTTATCAATTTGATGACACGTGGCTGACGTTATAACTTTTTTCAGGAAACTACTTTTTTTTTACCTGTGCGAGTTAGTATGCCCAATATGGGCCCTTTTGAAAAGCGAGTTTCAGAAAGTGTACAATATTTCCAACAGAATTTTGACTAATTTATAGCACTTGAGAGGCATATGCATAACATAGTAGATTATCTTTATATATCAGAACCATTTAAGAAGGATTTTAATGACAAATGACAATTTGATATTTATAGCAGATTTTTTATTCACAGATACACTATTATTTCATTTTTGTAGTTGAACATTGATTTATTAACTTGCGTGTATCTAAAGATTGAAATTTATGGAATATTTAACCCTTTGCGACGCACATGCATTGCTTAGGGGTGTTGCAGTATCCATACTGGTTGCCACGAGAAACACATCCTGCGTTGCATTCCTTGGGGTCACATGTATATCCATATACTGTAATAATAAGGGATTCCATTAATTGTTTAGTTCTTACAATAGTTTCTAAAGGAGCATGGACAGCAAAGATTTTTTTCGACGTACAACTAGAGTGGATTATATCTAAATCAATTGTTAGGAATGTAGAATAAATACAATACTAGCGATCGATAAAGAAAATCATTTTTTACTTTAATTGCGATGTAGTAATATCGTTGTATAGTTAATGAATAGTTAACATCGTGATGGGCGAATATTTGAACAAGAGAATAGTTAAGACTAATAATAATGAAATTAGACGTATCTTACCTTGAAGAGTAGCGATTGCCACGATGAGCAAAAGAGAAATAAGCAGTTTCATTTTCACAAATGTGATGATCTTTCAAACCGAGTGAACTGTGCAACAACTTGAATTGCTATAATCGATACGGATCTAGTTTGCCTTTATATAGTACTGCAAATGTTATCGTAACATCTCCCACGCCGATCGAATTTTGAAATACAAACGGAAATTTCCCCAATTGAGACAATGCAAAGCACCATTTTCCTTAAAATGAGGAAAGCTTACAAATACAAGATCATCTTTATCGGCGCGGTTTGTCGACATAATGCATATACCAAGCCTCAACAGGTGTAGAATTGTTACACAAAACAGCACATATCTTTGAATAACAGTATCAAATATTGTTGCGTTGAAATTATTTTTTCACTTCAATTAATCGCACTACTAGAGTTTCCGGTGTATGGAGCAGGACCAAACTATATAAAAATGGTTTTGATAGACCTGCTTCTTTAAATAGGAATGGGCAACATTACTCAATATAAAACAATGTCGGAACGTAGTATGTATTTATAAAAGTTCCGATGTATGCCCGGCGATAAATATCTCTGATTCTATTGAATTTTAATACTCCGATAATAATGATGATGTGTTACATTTTATGGACGAACCTTTCTCTTACGATGAATTTATATCTGTCCTCAACTTTGTTAATACGAAATCGGCCCCAGGTTCGGACAAAATTTTTTATGAACTATTCTCATACTTCTCGCATTCTGTAAAAGATTACTACTGGATCTTATTAATGATTTTGATAACCAAGGTATCTTCTCTGAAAACTGATCAAAATATCTAATTATATTTATTCTAAAAAGCAATAACAATAAGGTTCGTCCTGTTTATATGACATCATGTATTTTTCTATTCAAGAATAGCGTTTTCTCATCAAGAATCATTAGTTGCCTGAGAGAAACTTCGTCGGAATCTCAATTAATCATCGTAATCCTACTTTATCAAATATTAATTAACAGCATTAAGTATTCCTTATGTGAGTGCCCTGCAGTGATGGCTAAAAGTCAGAAGTGGATAGGCAGAAGGTTACTGGATCCCGAGATATTTAAGGAGGTCGATTGGAAGAATATTAATGTCATTATTAACTCGCACGACATAATAATTTTAAAATTATGTATTACTCTGTCTTTAAATTTGTATATTCGCGTCTTTTATAGCACTAATATGTAATAGTGCTGTGGCTCTATACTGTAAAAGTTCTTGCCAATAAAATCCTACTATACTATAGTAGGTAAATTAACCTTATATATACTAGCCAATGGCCAATACCTCCCATTCCTACGATTCTGTATGCTTATACACGAAAGAATTATAAATAAAATTTTTTTCTCTTTCAATTCGTAAACTTTCTCTCTACAATGTACGTTTGTTATAACTTGATTCAACCATTTTATCAAACTTTCGATACATTATTGTCTATGCATAAATCAAATTTAATTATCGTAATTGCTAATACGTGCCGTCGAGACGCTTTCGAGGAAGCCAATATAAGTGGCGAAAACCATGTGTATCCGCGCGTTCGCGCATTCCCGGGCTTTGGGCAATAAACTCTAATGAGGGTATCGAGGGCTCGGCTCGGCCACGGTCGGCCGTTCGGTCGTAAACGCAAAGGAAAAAATGGATTTTCCCCAGTTTTAGGAAAACGGAAATATAACGAGTATTTTTAATAATGAAAAGAAGAGTTGTGAGTAGGGCGTTTATGGCAAACAGGTGCTCGAATTCAGGAGGACGCGTCGCAATGATAATTTGCGCTTCACTCATCCTCAACAGTTTGATCTCAATCAGTAACTGAGACATATTGATTGTAAGATTCATCAACTAAGGGAGTTGATGATGCTTTAATATCGCCTATAGTCTTTTTTAACCAAATATATACATTTTTATAGAAATAAAATTATATTATTTAATATAAGTGAATGGTTGAACTAAATCATGAAAATAATTTATGGCGATTACAACAATATCATGTTTTCAACTACTTTCTTTCTTTTTCTTTTTAATGTTTCATTTAAAGAACGATTTTCATAAAATATATCGTGTGTTTTTTATGAATTTTGACGTTACCAACGCCTGCTTAAACTTGATTAAATCTTCTTTATTCAAATATTATTAAGTTGTACGAGGAACTTAGAAAGAAGTTATTCAATATTCAAGGAACTTTAATCGTTCTATTTACACAATTTCAAGTATAAGCCCATCACACACGATTTAAGAAGGATTTTAATGACAAATGACATTTTAACATTTATAGGAGATTTTTTATTGACAGATACACTATTATTTCATTTTTGCAATTCAACGTTGATTTATTAACTTGCGTGTATCTAAATATTGAGCTTTAAGGAATATTTAGCCTTTTGCGACGCACATGCATTGTTGTGGGGTATTACAATATCCATACTGGTTGCCACGAGAAACACATCCTGCGTTACATTCCTTAGGGTCGCATGTATATGCAGAAACTGTAATGACCATAAATATATTCAATGATATATGTCCATATATTTGTTTGTAACTCATCCCAATAAATAATATATCAAAAGCAAAAATCCGTTGTTATATTTTCCATGTAAGAATAGTCAAAATCAGATCTTAGTTTATACTTCTTATTTTATTTTATATTTGAGATAACAACAGATATTACATGAATTACATAAAAATATAGTTAAAATATATATATAATTTTGCAAAATATTGTATAAAGGTATATCAAAGTAATACCTACACGGTATATAAAAGAATAACATCGATTATTTCGTGAACTATATCAATTAAAAAATTGGAATGCATTAAGTTATGATTAATTTTAATAGCCAAGCAATATTCTTAGCCATTGAAAAAATTTAATAGATATTATAAAATATCATATCTGACAAACAATTTTTTTCGAATTCAATTACTAAATTTTTAGTTTAAAATTCTAATTTTTTAATAATAATCATTGATATATATGTGGTAGAAAAGTATATTACCTTGAAGAGTAGCTACAGCAATGACGAACAGAAGAAAAATTAAGAATTTCATGTTTCCAAAGGTAATGTCTGTTGTAGACGAGTTAGCTTTACAACAACCCACGGGACTATGGCTCGTTCAGTTTGAATCTGGCTCTATATAGCACTGAGATTCGATGATAACGCCGACGCGGATCGTCTTTTACAAAAACAAAAGAATATTTGCTACTTGATTAAACAACGAATACCTTTGTCTGCAAATGAGGAAAGTATGCTTAATTACATTAAAAAGCGAGACTTCCGTCATCGAATGAGTTCTTTTACATACCCAACCCATACAAAGCCTACAATATTTTACGAAAATCTTATTATTTTGTTATTTTAGCTCATTTGAACGCTGAATAAATGTAAATGTCACAAATTTTGATCACTTTTCATAAATTGGTAAACAAAAATGTACTATAAATGAGAAGGATCACTCTAAAAATAATTCTTTTTAGAGCTTTGTTCAGTACAGTGTAATATCTAGATTTTTTGTATATTTTTGAATAAAAAATCGATAGGAGATGTAAGTAAGATCATTATTAATATAATTTTCTACAGTTTCGCGATGTATTATTATAAATATACTTATAAATTAGAAAAAATCTAGGAATTTTCTCCAATCATGTAATAAAAAAAAGAAGCATCTTTCAAGAGTAATGATTTCAACGTCAAGAAAAAGCAAAGAAAAAGTAAACAAGAAAATAATTCATCAGAGATCCCGCTATGGAAACACATAAAATTAGCAAGTTTTGTCTTTTTCAAGGCGAAGCATCTGTGTAATTAATTAACTGACTATAATGGATTACACATTTTAGAGACGTCATTTATTTTACAACATAGATAAAATAGTTGTCATAAACGCCTATAAGCGTATCATATATCTTATATGGTTGGTAGATCTAGGAAAATTGATTAGACTATGTAAATATGTTTACTAATGCAATCATAGTTCTACGATTACAAGAGACAACTGTAACGACGGCAATGAGTTTATTGAGAACTTTATTCTTGGAGTATGATTGTTACTAATACGAAATTGTTGTTCTGAAACAATTATTTCAGGACAAAATATTTGAGTTTTTTTTTGCGTTGTTTTTCAAGTGAACATCTATGTATGATGCAATGTTTCCTTAACCAAATAGTTTTGGAATATGCTTTTTTATGATGTATATCAAATTATTGTTTAAATTAACTGTGGCATATAAAAAAAAATATTCAAATAAGCTATTACAAGAAGCTAAGCAATAACTTAAAGATTAGTCATATTATTACACTTTAGGCATATTGAAGGAACTGATTCTTTTTTCGTGATCGATTACTTGCAGTAATTTCCGATTACAATGAAATAAAAAACGCAAATCATCGATAAAATATATATTAATATCAATTTTTATTTAGTTATTAACAAATACAAATTCGTTTTATATAGATTATTTGTTTTTCTTTTGGGCCTTCATTAGTTCCGATTAAAGAGTGCATTCGTTATCGCATTTTATTGTGCATTGCTTAAAATAATCTTGCTGATATCGTTACTGAACAAATTTTCCTTATTTTTTGAATTCAAAATCGATATCATAAATATGATTCTTTTCCATGTCACTAAGACATGGTTTTTCTCTAACCTAATTATTTGAAATTAAAAATAAGCAATACCATCATAACTTCATAACATCATAACTCAACACAACCGATTACGAGAAAGGAAGGCCTAGTTCCATCAACAGTTTTTTTAAAACATCATTTATAATTCTTTTATCTAATTTGAATATTTTTATCATATAATTTAATGAATATCATAAGAACTATATTAGAAGACTACAAAAATCAAATAATATAGCGATGACAATCGTACAGAGTGTGCACATCCGTGCACATGAAAATACTGAAAGAAGCACGTGAAAAAATTGTATTTCTAATTACGGAATAGCCGCTTCATAAGAACTATTTTCTATTAATATGTTAAACAACAATTGAAATCAAAAAGAGTTACGTCCATGATCTCATTGCAGCAGTTAACTTATCTCTACAGAGTAAAATCGTAATTGCACCTAAGAACATACTCATCTTGATTTGTCAAAGCAGCAATTTATCCTCCATATATCGATCATAAAAGCTGTAACATTTGCATAAATTAAATTTCTTATTTTTCTTCCGTTTATCATTGCAGTAGCTACTCTTGAAGGTAATTAAGCTTACTTTCCTTATTTGCAGTAATAAGTTGCTTATTACTTGATCAACGATGCAAAAAAATTTTTGTGATTTAAAATACAATGTTCGTGAATGGTGACATGGAATGTTCATGCTATATAAAGCCATACCTGAACTGAATAGGCCAAAATCACTCAGTTTGTTACAAGCTTAACCCGTAAACTACAGACATCGATCACTTTTGTGAAAATGAAATACCTAATCTTTCTTCTGTTTATCGTGGTTGTTGCTATTCTTCAAGGTAAGATCCATTTCTTTAACATTAGTCGTGATTATCCGGTGATGTAAAATATGCATTAAATTCAAAATATTTTGAAACTACATGTTTTCATTATCAAAAACGTCAAATTGTTTAGCTAAAATACTGAAAAGCACATATATTTGAAAACAATTATTCACCAGACATTGTATTTTATAATATCTATACATGTTATCATAACGTCGAAAATATTACTAAACTTTAAGTTATTTATAACCAAATAGATTGTCATTCTTTAAATAATATTTTGCGCGAAAGTACTCAATGTTATTTCTTCATATACGAGTATTGTAAAGGTTCATGTATTGCCTTGGTCTGATTTTCTTTTATACTGACAAATCTTTATTTCTTCGTAAAACTGTACAATATAATTAGTTGTATTTCTGTTATTTATGTAAATTTCAACGAATACTTATGTATTATGAAATATCTCATTAAAAAAATTTATCATTATTACAGTTTCTGCATATACATGCGACCCAAAAGAATGCAACGCAGGCTGTGTTTCTCGTGGTAACCAGTATGGATATTGTGATCTTCCTACACTATGCATGTGCGTTGCAAAGGGCTAAACATCCAATAATTCTCAATATTTAGATACACGCAAGTTTATAAATTCCAATGCAATAATGTAATAACAATGTATCTAAAAATAAATTTAATTAATTATGAAAATGTCGTTTATCATTAACATTATTCACAAAAGGTTTCGATTATAATATGTGATGATTTTTAAAATAGGAAAGAATGTCTAATAGTTTCATACTTGAAATTATGTAAATAGAACAATATAAGTCATATAAATAATAATCGAAAATTTAGCATTTATACTTACTGTTACTACTATTATTAGAAAAACCTATCTGGGTCGCAGGACTCTGCTCAGAGTCAATTAATTTACACTATTGTATCCCTTTTCCTAAATCTAAATTAGGAATTATTTAATAGTCCTGAAGACCTGCACTGTGTATGTTCTTAAAGATAATTTCCTTAAACAACTCGGGATTTAGAATACCGTTTTCGAGCCATTTTTATCTATTAGTCAATAATATATTATTTTAATACCTTATTAATACCACCACCTACATAGATTACTGGTACTTGGAATTCCTAATTGATAATATTTAGTATTAAGAAAATAATTGCATACATACATTTTAGATTACCTATTGTAACCGAAAACCATTTAACGGAATTTTGTTTCAGACCGTTTCATTTTTCAAAATAAAATTGGTTGTTAAATTGTGTAAATTAAGTAGAGTGAATGCCTACTGCATTTGACTAACAAAAAACCATTCTGTAGACTAGGAATATGTTCAAATATATGTTGTCACAATGACAAAGCTTCTCCAACTACCTTACAAAAGTTAATAAATCGCAATAGCAACACAAGCATGGGATCAATTATAAATAAATAAATAAGCTTCCAGATCATAGCACGCGCCAATTGATGTAGAAAATAGCGTGAAAATACAAGCTTATCATACTTCTGGCTACGGTCCAGACAATATTTTCCACTATGCAAGGGTGGTAATTAAATTGAATTTTAGTTATTATACACTTCTTGCCAAAAAATGTTAGTTTAGAGCCATTGTGATGTAAACTATCTTTTTATAAGCTTTAAAAAAATGAAAGAATCAAATTACATGAAAATTTATAATACCATACTTATATTTTTATTATACAAATTATTGTGCAATTAGAGTTATATGTACATCAAGCAATTTTTCATGTACAAGTTAATTATCTACTGATTCAAAACAGGCAAATAAATATGACTATGAAAATATTATAGATTTTTTTTATTTTGTAAAGTAAAAAAAATTATCATGTTGAGAGAGTATCATTTTAAATACTTATCTTAATAGTGTCATTTCAATTTTAGGAAATGAACATCAACAAATAAAACGTGTGAATGGGTAGTTATTAAACTATTTGTATCTTAGGAAAAATAAATGGTAGTCCTCCGTTGCGGTAATGATTTCTTTTCATGTGAACATTAATAGTTGTTGTTGTGCATCATCAAATTCCTTTTTATACTTATGCTCTTGGTTGCAATTACTTACAAAAGTGACTAGCTCTGTTATATTTACTAATATTTTTGACATTTCGTATTTTACAAAAAAAATATATTTTAAGGAAATTATTTGTCTATCATTAGATTTAATATGTATATTGTGCCATTTAATCATATAGTATTAATTTTACGTAGACAATTCACAAAACTCATATACATTTTTATTTTAGTTTACGGATATACATGTAACCCCAAAGAGTGCAACTCAGGATGTATTTCCTCGTAGCAACCAGTATGAATACTGCAATACCACTAAGAAATGAATGTACACCGCAAAGGACTAAACTATCCATTAACCTAAATTACACATTGCGGTTCGTTCGCTTGAAAATAGTGTCTCTAACTATTTAAGTTATTATTACTAGATGTTTACGAAAGTTTCCAATTGATATGAAAAATGTCAGAAAATGTGAATTTCAAATAAAACTTTTACCTTTTAACACAAACTATCGTTTAATGATAGTTGCTAATTACATATAAAGCGGAATATATATTTAAAATATATAGTAAAATAATTTAATTCAGTACTACCATGAATCATTCATAGCAATTCTTTGTAAAGTGAAAAATGAATACGAATAAAAATAATTTATCATAATCCAAAACTGTGTTGCCAAAGTAACAAAACCAATCCTCAGTAAATATTAGCGTTTTCGTTCGAAAAATTGCTGTACGGGTTCCTATGAATTATTTTTTGGCTACTGCGCGTAAAGTACTTCTTTAAACTTGGATGCCAGGAAATGGCAAGACCCTAGCACGTATTTAACACCTTTACACGTGCAATGGTTTGCCAATGCTTTCAGTCCCTTGCTTAATAATGTACTATTCACTACCCATCATGGCTGCAGTTTATTTCTGTCCGCAATCATCTGAAGCAAATAAGCTTGTGAATATTAACAATTTACTGCATCGACAAGTGGATTATGAATACCTGAGTTTATAAATTACTTTTGTATATGGTCAAAACGATCTTACGAAATTATTTGTATCACAAACGTCGACGAAAGAAACGTCGACTTTCTCTTCGCACAAACACCGTAGGAAAAATCTATTATTCTTACTGTAAACGTAATCTCTATAAACAATGTAATGTGTAAATTTCTTACTGTATGCTGACTTGGCTTCGAATGTTCGAAAGTCGTAAATACGACCAGCAGAGGTATTACGGAACAATGTAACTATTGCTCTGGATCTTGAGTAGCTTCACGCGAAGGTTTCCATTGTTAGAGCAGATGTACAACTGCTGTGTAGCCGATTGGTGGCGCTAATGAAAACACGAGAATAAATTGTAGACGTTATGTATAAATCTACATTTAGAATAATGTACAGCGAATAAGGTGATGTGCATTTGATACTATATACAATTGTTATACAGTATCGACAGCGGTAGTTGCTTGACCGAGATATATATACGTACATACATACCGATATTGGAAATATATATTGAAATAATATTAAAAACGAAACTGGAAACTATGACGGATTATAGAAATATTATTTGGTAGGTAGAAATAAATCATGTTCATAAATTCAAAATATTTTGTTGAAACCTTGAATCAGTTTCAGACATTTGAAATTCTTTTCTATTTATTTTGGATGTGACGAAAGGAACTGAATAAGATATTTAAGTTCTGTAAGTAAAATAACTTTCTTGTTGGTACATAAACATTGATAAAGGAAAAATACAAACGTGAAAAATAAATATTGTTGATTGTCTAACTCAAACAACGATCGCTTGAAAATATACTTGCTTTAAATTTCAACCCTACTCATCATATAAATTGGATTTTTTTATCATTGTAAAATATCAAATTTCTCATTTTGAATACAAGTTTCCACTTAATTTGTATGTTTTCGTGTGTATCGTTGAACCAGGAAAACCAATAAGCTATTTCCATGAAACTAGATAGCTTTTCATTGTTTTACTGTTGCCGAAGAGTTCATGCTAAAGACTAAGCTTTAAAACCCTCAAATTGTATTCACGTGTTATCAGGGGTCAAGACAGCATGCAAAATTTTTTTATTATATCCTCGAGTAATTTTTTACTTTTTAAGTCTCCTCAGATGTATACCATTCAGAAGATAAGTTATGAATTCCTATAAATAGTACATATACATTTACATTAAAATAGAAATAATGACTCGCATAACTTCTACAAGTGTTATACTGCAATTATGCTAATCCTTTAATCCGTGCTCCACTGATTACCAGGAAATTCATATGCACAGCGACCGCGTAATTAACAAGATTATCGTGATAGAATAGTTTCTAGTCTAATAAAATGTATAAAATTGTGTTAATATTACTCGAAACTTTTTAAGTTCTTATCGACATTAGCATATAATACGCGTGGAACTGTTAGTGCAGCATCATTCGGTTACTTACCTAATTTTTGAAACAGCTTGTATTATTCAACGTCTTCAAAATGAAGTTCTACTTGAGTCTGCTATTACTTGTCGTAATCCTCGTTCTCTACAGTAAATTAACAAAAATAATCAAATGTGTCTTCATATATTACAATAAAATATTCGTCTAGAAATTTTACGAAATGGTTTCTCTCTGATGAACGATAGCTAGCTGATTTTCATGTTACAAAAATTGTAAATTTTATAATACTATGTGTAGTCAGGAGAATTTTCAATAAAAAAGAAATTACTGTCGGAATTCTGTCAGACGTTATGCCCGTTCCGAAATCAATTCGATTTCGTTTGAAGTAAATCTCGTCTACAAGTTATTAATTAAAAATAATTTTTATGTTCATTTTCTTACCTCTAAATTTTTTCTTCTTGATGAGATAGATTAACTCGAACAATAAAGGATATCAGTTTAGCTTTTTCATACAAATCTATCATAATAAATACTGAATTCAATTTTCACTTTGAACTTATAATTCAAACCTAACACAAAACAAAAATACATAATTTTTCAATCCTTTTAGACAAAAGTAATATAGTACTTGCTAAACTTCTAGTGTCTGGATATCTGTATAATTTTATTGCTTCTCCATGTATAATCAATATTAGAATTTTAACTGTTCTTATTTGTTATGCAGCTAACACGGTTCACGCAGATGAGCCTACGCAAGCAAATGAAGCAACTACTAAAGCTATTTCTATAAAAGAAGCAGGAAATAAGGAAACAGAAAAAAATGGTACATCAGCAATGGGTTTGTCTATTAAAATGAAGCTTCTTAGCTTCGGAGCATATTATATAACCAAGAATTTAATTGTCAATTAATGTAATTGATCAAAATTATAAGTAATATTCGACTGTTATAGTATGCTAACTATGTAATATACAGCATTAGAATCTTTTATTTAACATTTGAGTTGCTTGAATTTATTTTGTTAATCCGTGCACAAACGACTGAATATTTTACTCGAAGAAAACTATTTCTTTTTAAATCTCGCAAAGAATTGTAATTAAAAAGTATTATATTACGTCTATATATCTGCTCACCGCGATGGGATATGACAAAATAGGTAATAAGTGACAAAAAACACTAATTAATAGAAGATGAGTATTTTTTTTATTCATAACTTATTTTCTGTCAATTTGTTTTCTCTTTGGTAGCATATGAAAATTGTCGACGAAGAAACTATCAGTGTGGTGAGCGTAGAATTAGAAGAAAGTTCTTGTCACATTGTCATGGTATAGGCTTGCATAATTATTAAACGCATTTATTCATCGCGTTCTATTCGTCGAAAATTCTTTATATCGCGTCTTTTCTTCTTGCTTTTTCTGGCCTTCAATCATCAGAATATATAATTATATGTACAATCGCCAGCAGTTTTTTTATGTAGACTTCTTTGTCGTAATTTTTGTTTTATTCGCTGAAAGCTTTGACGGTGAAATATATGCGCACAGAGCTCGTAAACTTGAACAGTACATATACGTAAAAAAATCGAGATGAACATATTAATGAAACTCAGTCGCATGGATTTGATTTGCACGTATTTTTAACTATAATTACAGCTTACGCATCGATTTTTATTTATTTATTTGTTATTAGCGCATCAAACTTTCGCTCTCTTTCTTTGCCACTACGATTGGGCCTTCTACATGGCTAACTAATTTCTAATAACAATTCTCTTGGCCCTCACATCTCTTGCATAATCGCTTGTTTTTGAAACGTATATATTTTTGTATGATAACTTTATAATCTTCACCGAAGTACTTTACACGCCAATTCTACGACAGTATACTTCATTCTTATACTTTTCTTTTCATAATATTGTAACGACACCCGAAAATTCTTTCGATATCCTTCAGACATTTTACATTTCTTCGAATAAATTCTTTATTTCTTGTCTTTATAAATATATCGTCTCAATTTTGCACAATTTTTATAACAACATAACGGATATTTTGTTGGATAAAAATAGAACAAATTTTAATATTTTCGATTTGTCAATAATCATAGCGAACCTGCGCATATAAGTTTCTTAATTGTCTGTATCTTATTCACATTGTCATGTAACTGTGGCACATATATGTATGTTGATTTGTAGCCTCGTTCCAATTTCTCGCATTCGTATCATTGAAATACTTTCGTTTCAAATAGAATAAGATATTGTAAACACAAACGTTTTGTTCTTCTATAAATCTCTAAGAAAACGGGAAATTTTCTTTTTCTTCTATTTAGATATGTTCGTTATGTTACATTGAATTTCGCATTGAAATCAACGTAATAATAAATCAAATTAAATAGAATGAAAAACGTATTTACATTTCAAATGTATGTACAAGCTTCAAAAGATCTTGTTTTCATATCACGTAATATGGCAATTATGCTGAACATAATGATCTTTTGATATAACATTATTTGTCAATAAAAAATGAATACTCAATTATAAACACGACATACTTTTATTTTACAAATCTAATAACAATAAAAATAGTGTACTTTTTATCTCAATAAGCTACGATTTATAATGTAACAGTATTCAATTTTTAATATTTTTCATTTTTCCAAGAAAATAGATAACTTATAAAAAAATTTCATCGTCAACACAGTCGATAAAATTATGATAAAGTCAAAGGCCACTAAATAACATAAACAATGAAACTCATGGTCAAGTCATCAAAGATTCACAACGAAGTGTGCGATGATGAAAATAATCAATTTCAGCGTCGCACACCTAATAACTTTCGAAAATTACGATCATTTATGTAACAACTTTCAATCATAATGGTCATATAGTTCCAAGCCGAATGACGTTTACGAAAATTGAAGCCAATTTCCTTGTTCACGCGCACGCACATACATTTATGCAAAGCAGTTACTCGCGTCTCCCTTGTAATGTTTAATTTAATCGCTCCTCTATAATATCCTAATCCGTCGCATGCGTAATTATAATATTTACAACTTTGTTTATTCTTTGTTTATTTATTTCGTTTGCTTACTCTTTAATTACAATACTCCATATGTACAACTAATATTGCTGTTTTGGCACCTCCCCCATGCAGAGCAATAATAATACTCGTTGAGGAAGGTCGTGTTTTATTATTTGGTTTTCTTCTTCTTTTTAGGTCCTTTCTTTTCGCATCGAAAAAATTACGCGATCTACATTATTTTATAATTATTAATGCATGATAATGTATAGTAAAACTCATTCACCTTGAAACCTGTGAGCGTGTGAGTTAAGGCCAGTAGATTTTTTGTAATTGCTACGATTATGCTTTTTATATTCAATTAAAAATTAAATTCAAGAAAGGAAAGTTTATTTTGACAGTATGAATTTCACATAACTTTAGTACGTAGGCCTACTTGATTTGAAAATAGCCGAATCCCACTAAGAGCAGCACTTTCATGAAACTATTCTTTATGCGTTAAAAATACGATTTATTGAATCCTGCTGTGAAAACCAATTCACAAGGATCTTACAAGGAAAAGAAAAAAACAAACGTAATTTAAGTCGAATGATTGTGCTGATTGAAAAATCAGATGTAATCAAAGCATTTCGCGATAAATTGTTCGATATATTATAAGTTACAGTTTCTCTATAGAAATTTACAAACTTTTTGTTGCCGACAAAAAGTCGACGTTGACATAGCTTTAGTGGCGGTATTTTGTCGTCGTAAATATACATGTATGTATATATGTATATGTGGCTCATTCATGCCACCGTCTAACAAGAGCTAACAGCATATGTAAATAATCGCCTAACTACGTCGTCGATTCTTTTATCATTAGATTTATTTATAATTGCCAATTTACAGTATGTTTACGTGGAAGCGCGCGCGATGCGATGCCATTTGCTAAGTTATATATTTTATTTATCTACTCTTTTCATTGCAAAGTGCGCCGCACTAATTTTTTTTTTGTTTCTAAATCGCGCCTCTTTTGAGTTTATAGTTTCAATCTTCGAGTGTAAAAAATGAACGAGAGTACTTTCTTTGTCAACGTACGAATCTTTTCTTTTCGCCAATCGTTTAACAGTTACGAGATTTTTTTCGCGCTGGAGATATAGATATTTTCATAATGAATTGTTCGGGTGCTAGACATTTTTCATTGAAAAATGCTCTCAAACTTATTTACTTGTAAATTTTCACCGTTAAAAATATGGTTCGTGATAAATATTAACTTGCCAAGCGAAAGAATCTGGAAACTGTCATACGATATTTTCATTTTTTATTCTCTCGCAGGCGCCCACGCATACCTATAGTATATTCGATCTTTTTGTCTACTTCACTTTTTCTTATCAATTAACAAACGTGTTCACTGATATTCGATGTTTCTCGAAGAGTAAAAGCTTATTCGCTGCAGGCTACCAAAAGTTTGAGTTTTTTTTGAAGTCTTGCGCTCATGCACGCGTGCATACTTGCTTTTGTGTTGAACTTTTTTTATAGCGTAAACTATCATTTTTTTCGAATATTCATTACTCGCTCTTTTGATTTCTTTTTCTTGTCTTATTAATGAAAAGTGAACCTTGAATAAATAAATATCGGTGTTGTTGAATAAAGAAAAACGCATAACAATTTTATGTATTCGTTTCAGTGATTTTGTTAAGATGAAAGAAAAGTTCAAAAGAGAAGAGCTGAATATAGCCACTTTTTTTAAAACATGCCACTTTTCATTAAACTATTCTTTTCTTTTGTAATACAGAACGTACTCTCTATTTCACTCGTGCATAATTCTTTTCTTTTTTAGAAGGTGGGAAAACTCGAGAGTTACAAAGCTTATAATTTACGCGAATTATCTATAATTATATGGGAAATGTCCTAATAAAAACCTGGCATTTATTATCGCTTATTTTATTAGATAAGAAAAAAGCGTAGTGTGTACCTGTCCCCATTATAGAACAAACTTTCCGTAAGTAATTATATCATTGGGTTAAATGAATATTAATTACTTGAAACAAGGAAAAAAGAAAATCTCGACTAGAGCGTATAAAGAAGATTAAAAAAAAATAGAGATTAACTAATCATGTACTTGCGATTTACCTTACATAATTTTTCACGCTAAATTTGTACTTTTCAATTAAATATACTTATTAAATGAAAAAAAAACGAAACTTTTGCACATACTTGCCATCGGAGCACTACTGTGTGCCATTACTTTTACTTCGATCGCTATACATATTTATAACGGCCATATATTTGCAGATAATGTGTATAATACGTTTTTAAAACGAGACTAAAAAACACTTGAGATATCATCGAACTGTGAAGTATAAGAATATATTCAACAAGTACACGATGTAGTCAATCCCTTTCGGAAAAGGAAAGAGAGAAAAACAAAGGGAGGCTTGGTTAGTCCACGGAATTAGCAATCGTTTTAACGACCACGACGTACGCATTCACGTGTTGGATGAATGTATGTGTGTACAATGTGTATCAATAAGTTCGTCACGCGAATGGAAAAATCACAAATAGATCGACCGGGACGAGGGTCGATCGCGCCAGCACTAGCCTTGAAAAATATAAGCCCGCAAAATTGGCGAACTTTCACAAGTAATCCCTGCCGGGCCTTGGTGCAGGCCTCTTCCTCTCGGATGTCGAGGGTTGCGGCTCGTCACTTAGCTCCGGTGGCAGCATCTGTGTGCTCTCCGTCGGCTCGGACGGGCTGATCGGTTGCGAGGCCAGTGGCGCCAATGGCGCCGCCCCTTTACCGCGCGATTTGCTTCTGCGCTTGCGCAATATTAGCGGACCCAGGGGCACCGTCGTCGTCGTAACCTCACTGCTCGTCGGTGTTGCGGTCGCCGCCGCCGCGACAGTCGACGATGACAACGTCGTACTTGGCGACGACGAGCGGCCAAGACGCTCCAATAATTCGCGCGAGCGCTCGGCCGTCGTCTGATGGTGATGGTGATGATGATGGTGAACTGTCGTCGACGATGTGGCAACCGGTTGTGCCGCTTGTGCGGACGAGCTTGACAGTTGTTGTGATGCCGACGACTCCTTTGTCGGCGGCGGTAGCAGCCGGTCCGTTACCGTTGGCGGAGACTCACTGCAAAACCAATAGGTTTTACTGACCACAGGGTAACGTATCGGTCGCTCGGTGATTCTCCAGATGAACTGACAAACAAAAAGTGACCGTGTATGGTCGCTCGTTTCGTCTCTTCGGCCGCTATGACTAGTCGCTCACAAAATTCGTAGAAAAATCTAATTTATAACATGATTTTTTTATTAAATAATTATAAAGTATTATTCTCAGTAATTTTCAAGTATAAAAAAGTGGAATAAGTATTGTATAAATTAAAATATTACGTACAATAATTCTATAGTTGGCTAGGTATAACAAAATTAGTGGAAAAGTTTAATTTAACATAGATTTTGATAGAATTATCATGAAACATTATTTTAAGATTTTCAATATAAATTGTATAAATAATTCATCATGCAAACAATTAAATTGGAATGATGCAATCGTAATGGTATGGCACTGGATGGTGATACGTTGCGCACGAAGTCGCAGCGTGATACGTTTTGGATTTTGGAAGACACAGAATATTCTGTGTAAGAATGTGACAGAATAATCTTTATTTTAAGCTTTTCATCGCATTAGACTTGAAAGCACATTTTCATTAAAGTATGGTTTACTTATAGTTAACACAAAATTTTTTAGCATAAACTAAATAAATAATTAATATAAACTAAATTAATAATTATACTATTGAAATTATACTATCATTTTCTCTTTAGAATTATAATTAATTACAATATTATAACTTACATGTTAATATGCTTGTAACCAAAAATTTATATAAATTTTAGATAACTTTTAGTCTTGCCGGGCCTCTCGCCTGATTATAACATATCGAAATTTGTCATCTGATTAGAATATTAATTGACATTTTTGATCTACTAAATTTTTAAAAGTTCATGCTAGATTTTTCGTTTACTAAATTTTCGTAAAAAGCAGTGTAAAACCACCTTGTGGTAAAAAAATAAACAAAGTGTATTAATTAATTACTTGAATAATATGTTAAAATACTGAGCTTCCATTCAATGTCTACTCCGATTATTTGCCTGTTATTTTTTACTTTCCTTCAAAGTTTTTTGGGGTTGAATGATGAAACTTCACCTCATTTAATCAGTAAATTATTTCTTATCTTTAATAAGAACAGTGAATAATTTATTCTCCTTAAAACTTAAATTATGTTTCTAGGTCGAACTTGATACTGTTGGCGAAGGGTAAGAATGAAATTTATCTAAAATTTATCTAAATTGTTGATTACAAGTATTTTATTGTATAAATTACTTAAAACATTGTACCAGTATTTTCATTTTATCATTACTTCCAAAACTCCCTGTATTCCAACATTGTAATTATCATAATTGTCATACTTTTAAAATTTTAAAAACAATATTTAAGCGAATCCGATAGAAATAGTTATTTATAAATGTAATGACTGTCCATTTGATGAGTTGTAATAGTAAATTTACTATTCAATAACTTATGTAAAGTATCTGAAAGTAAGTTTTCAGCATCCATGCCGTTTTTAGATAGATTTCCCTACTTTCAAAAATTTGAAAACTTTTTTCATATTAAAAAAAAGAATCTTAACAATAAGGTAAATATATTAACTTTGTGAATTTTTGATTATAATGATCAAAAATATGTTCAGCTTTACTGATCATTTTCTAAATGTGTGAATCAGTATTAGATACTTCTGAAATAAATTCTTTCAATTATTTCCAAGTTTCAGCAACAGATAGGTTTAGATCCATGAAGTTAGAAACTTTATTGAAAAATAGTACCTCTATTGTAGTTATGTCGATAATCAATATTATTAAATTTAAAGAGAAAAAATTTGAAACATACATGAATAGTTTCATTCACTTTTTTACATCTTAAATGTTTTTATTTATATAATATACCATTTGCGTAAGTTATATATTCTGAATGATGTCAGAAAATTTGACAGTTAATTCTTATATCAATCTGTTTTCATAAATTTGAACATTATAATTTGAATTGATGTATGTTTAAGATATTTAGTAAATGTTACTTGACTTTTGCCGCTTTTGTTTTAAGTTTTGAATTTTAACCCTCCAAGTAGATAATTTGAACTTGTTAATTAGATTAGAAACTATTTTCAAATTTTTGCCGATTTTTCTTTTTCAGAAATTAATGTATTTTTAAGGGCGTTTTAGTGTTGCGTTAATATTGCGAATCAACTTTAATTACGATTTGAGTAAATCATTAAGCGACAATAATTTTAATTGAATGATTAAATTTTATTTGTGAACAATAAACTTGTAAGCCATATAAACTTTAAAAGAAAATCCATTAAAATCATTCGAAAATATGTGAAGAAAGAAACGATTGCATGCATGCGCGTAAATAATCATGCGTAAAAATTACAACTTTGATAAATTAAAGAAAATAATTTATCTTCACTTCAATAATTCTGTAATTCCATAATTATCATTTTAATAAGAAAGTGATACTATAATTTCAACAGTATAATTATTAATTTAGTCTATATTAATTATTCATTTCACTTATGCTAATAACTTTTGTATAAGCCTTATAGGTAAATTAAACTTATATGAAAATGTGCTCTCGAGTTTAATGCGATGAAAAGCTTAAATCAAAAATTACTCTGTCACATTCCTACACAGGATATTCTGTATCTTTCAAAATCAAAATCTATCTCGGTGCGATTTCGTGCGCAACGTATCGCCATTTAGCACCATGCCATTACGATTACATTATTCCAGTTTTATTGTTTACACTTGGATTTTTTTGCATGATACATTATTTTTACAATTTATATTTGAAAGCTTGGAATAATGCTTCATGATTATTCGATCAAAATTTATATTAAATTCCACTAATCTTTTCCACTAATTTTGTTATAGCTAACCATCTATAGGATTATTGTACGTAATATTTTAATTTATACAATACTTATCCCACTTATTTCAGCTTAAAACATTACTGAGTATAATGCTTTATAATTATTCAATAAAAAATTCATGTTGTAAATTAGATTTTTCTACGAGTTTTGTAAATGACCAGTCGTAGTGACCGAAGCGACTGACGCGACGAAAAAAGGGACTTTTTACGGTCGCTGTTTGTTTGCCAGGGAAGTGGTCCAGTTATCGCAATTTGTTCTTAAACTTTTTCCAATTTACAAAGTTTTTCTAATTCCAATTCTACAGATTTTGCAAAACGATCGAAAACTAGAGCACTTGCCATATTATATCAGGTGTTTATGATTATTGAAACCATAAATTTTAGTGTAAAAAGAGGAAAAAGTATGTCATTTGTCAAAATTCACTTGCAACGTTCACTGGGAGATAAGGGGTTGTTGTATTAAATTTGAACACCTACCGTATCGTTTTGTATATACCCGCACGGACCCAGTTTCTGATTAGGACCCAATTCCTGATCAAAGTGGCGTAGAAAAAATGTAAAAAAAAGTTTGTTCGATTTTAATTACAATAACGAAGTATTGTTAGTAATTTTGTTGTCATTTTTATCACAGATAATGTTACATAATCATAAAAAATTAAAAATAGTTTCAAATCTATTTAGATATTTATTAATATACATCTAAATACAACATCAATTCCAGGTAGTCGGAAGATTGACATTTAGTATAGATTTTTTATCGTGTGGTTCCAACTAAGTTTAGATGCATGTTATATAAGAAGACTATATCAATTAGAAGTATCAGAAAACTAGAAACAATTAAAGTATATAATCTGGATTTATGGATCAAGAATCATGCAATAGATGAGGACAGTTATAGGGGAACTATCGTACTAATCCTTGTGTACTTAATTTTATATCAACTTATTTTATATGGTGAATTTATACATAAAGGGAGGAATATTTACACAGATAGAGGTGTGGGCAATCCACATGGCGATTATTTACAATACAGTTATTGTCAGTGACTAAATATATGTACAGTAATTATTCGCACATGCAATTTCAGAGATACTATCAAATTATCCATTATTTTGATTGGAAATTTGGGCCGTCATTTAGGTCTTAGCATTCACTTAAACAACCAGGAACTAGATCCGTGTTGGTACAGGGTCGAAAGCAAAGCATAAAGGGTACAATTAATATAGACTAAAAGAGTTATTTTACCGTGCTTAAGAATTGAGAAAAAATAGAGTATAAACAAGAATGTTTGCTTGTTAAATTATGTACCTTTTATAAACAATAAGACAAACATTCCGTTGATAGTATAGAATGGTGCAATGCCGTAGATAGTATAGAAGAGAAAGACAATCATGCCAATATCATCAAGTTATGGTACAGTGGCCAGTGATTTTATCAATTAGTCAAGCAACATTTGTCAAAATAGAAAGTTTAAGAAGTATAAAGCTTATTTTATTATAATACATTGCTGAAAAAAATTATGGTAGTCTTGAAAATTATATACCTACGTGATTACTCATTCAAATTCCAAATTACACACGGGATTATGTATTTTAGTGGTTTAGACACAACTGTTCACAACATAATTGTATTATGTTGTACTATTTGTTTTTATTCATAAATACCTACCGTTATGTTGTCGTACATATTCAAATTAAGAGTATGTCAAAAATACAATATTATAGTTGCGTGTAAACCTTTTATATATACACATCCATTACTAAGACTACACATATAAAATACTTGTATAAAAAGGAGGATATACAGTCTCAGAGCTCAAAAATAAACATTCAAATAAATAAAATTATTTTGAAAAATCGCATCAAAAAAATATTGTTCAATACTAGTGCGACGAAGTGAAATCACCTTGTCTCGCGCTTGTATCGAGTGATCTTTTATGATACAGCGTGCATAAAACTCGCTTTCGCGCGCGAGTTTTACGTACAATGTGTCATAAAAAAAAAACAATTTTAAAGGCGTGATTGATTCGTTGGAATGACAGTGCGCAAAATTAATTATAGAAATCTCACCTTTCGCGACCACTAATAGGTGTGGAAGGTAGCGAGGGTGGTTTACTATCAGAGCCACTGGCAGGACTAGAAACAGTGGGTAACAATCCCGGCACAGTACCAACAGGACTTTGTACGGCGCTAGAGACACCTGGGGAAGACATTGCCGCAACAATCGCACTAAGGTTTCTCGGTGTCGCCGGTCGTTGCAACGGCGGCGAGGACGGCATACTCGTTGCGCTTGATGGTGGCGAGGTTGCTACTGTCACTGTGGTTGGTGGTGGCACCGGTACTGGTACCCTATTGATCAATGTCGCCAACATGTCCTCGATCTTTGCCAAACGTTGGTTCACTCGCTGAACCTCTAGCTTCAGATCAACTTTCACCTACGAATCACGTGGAACATCGAATGGTTAGCCACTAAATGACGTGCCACGGACAATCGACTAAAAGTTACCTCCAGCACAGCCGCAAGTATTTCGCGCTCGTGGCTGGGTTGAACGATGAGGCCACCGTCATAACTTTCGAGTCTACGCATTTGCAATTGTTTGGGGTCGTGAAGGGTTAAGGTCGTGCTTATAGACTCTGTGCTTTCAGGATGCTCCTCCTCGATCGTACTGCCGAGTTTGCCGATTTTCGGGAAGACCTTGTTGGTACCGGCACTGGAACCAGGCCGTGAATCTCGCGCGCTTAGCGTGCGTTTAAATGGTTCCGGACCACTGCCACCGTCGCTACCCGAATCCAGACTCGAGCTCCCTATTAACAGAAAAGGCAATTTTAAAAATGGTACAATAAAGGATTTTTTTATCGTACACTCAGGTATGGCAGTTTCTGTTCTATTGATACTATGAACAGAAATTTTTAAAAACTGAGTAAACGATCGTAATTCGCTATTTTTATAGGATTATAAAATGTTTGGATGTGCAGAATATTTTGCTTTATAATGGGAATACATTAAAGGATATATTACCAATAGAACACTCATAAAAAGGTCCTACGGTCTTGAGAAACATTTTCTTTAATGCACAAAACGTAATCAGCAGTGGTAATATTCTATCCAAGACTTAAGGACTTTTTCTCGGTACGATTTAATGGTTAACGTACGTATCTCTAGCAAACTACGTGTCTATATATGTTTGTGTATGTTCTGGATGGGATTGGATATATTGTCGCATTAACATTACTCAAACGACGTCAGTCATATTAATAAAATAATATTAATAATATATTATTATGGCAATCTGGATTTTTTTTCTTTTTAGTTGCTCCAAATTGACTCTACTATGATATCTACGAACTTATTGTGGGAGAAAATTTGAAACTGGAACTAAATTTGAATTCACGCAATTCGCGAATGAACGGCAATCAATGCGTTAAACACAGCAATAATGAGATATAAAAAAAGGTCCATTAAAATATCAGTTACAGGCGAACAATTTAGCAAGTACTTAGTAGCAGTTTACGCAGGTAGTCCATAATAGGCTCGTGATCGGGTAATGCCGAAGTCAATACTTTAGACATACTTTTCGCATCTGATCCATCGTCATCAAACTCCTCTGTTGGCTTTGTTACACTCCCAGTCTTTCTCAGCTCTACAATATGATCGTTTACTAAATTCCACATTTTAAAGACAGCTTTTAGGCCTTGTTTAGCAAATTAAAATCGATTAAAGTTTAATGGTGTTTGATGTCTATTGTCTTTGATGTTTATGGTCACAAATAGTTTTATATCAATGTGTCGAGTATCTGATTATCCTTGTTCACGGTATGCGGTTTTTCTCGAGAGTATGAGAGCAAATTAAAATAATAAAATAAAAACATACAACTGTGTTGACGTGAGCGCGAAATTATCGAGGCTGTATAGTATTTTTTTAAAACTATTGTGATTCGACGAGATATTCTTTGAAACGAATGTGATTTTCGTTGATATACTAACCGAGTAATCGGCCCCACTTGCTCGGTCGAACGCGTCCCGAGCCAGTATCTTCGGTCGAGGACGACACCTTCCTGATTATCTGTGAGACTGTCTCTTTGCCTTCCTTTTCATCGCCTTTTTCAACATCCGTGGAGTGTCTTTCTCTCCTAAACCTAAATTGCGGAGGATAAAAGGAGAAGCAAAATAAACGAATGAGTAATGGTTTTTTATAATTCAGAAGATTGGAAGGAACTTGGGAACATAATTATACAGCTAATTAGAAAAATCGAAGCCTTATCTAGGATATTATTGTAATGGTTTTCAAAGTAAAAACTTGTCAAGCCTCAGTTAGATGCGCCGTAAATAATATCAATCTTAATATCTCTTTTATTACTTTTATATTCTGGCAAATACAGAGAACTAAATTCATTAACATGGTGTAATTAGTATAGTTACTTTGCATAACCGTTCTTTGAATCGTTCACCATATTGGTGTAAAAGTACAATCTACTTCTTCACATATTTATCCCAAAAGTAAATAAATAAATAAAAATACAACACAAAAGCGAAATCTTGACGAGATAAGCTTTGTGAAATTAGCACTTAATAAATACGGGCGTTCGACAATATGGTTTCCCGCATTAGTTAGATAATGTACTACAATATACTCAATATTCATCGGCTTAATTGTTACTACAAAAAGGCGCTATTGGTAATTTGTTGTGGTCTCATTATAAAAGAAAACAGAAATAAGAGGACACAGCTGAAAATTGTAACCTGAACAATTAATCGTTGGTGTTCACGAGCAAACCTACTGTATAATGTGCCTACAGGTTGGATTGGGAAAAAGAAAACAGAATGTACATAATAACATCATGGGCAAAGTCTGGCAGAAAAGGTGGCGGTTATATACGAGTGAGTTGTATACATAGTCATCAAATAATCAATGCTATGCTGCAGCGGAAACTAGCCTCGTGGATAATTATTTTTAATCGTCGTGCGATAGTCTAATACACTGCAAAAGGAAAACCAATGCACAGCCAGGCTATTCATTTTTCTGCAGTTGGTAAGTCTCGAGCCCTTGAATATTCATCGTCTGACTAATCCCGGAAAAACCTATTGCAAGTAGATAAAGCCGGTGGGTGAGGAGGAGGATTTGGAAAGACAAACAATATTCAAAAGCTCGAGAGCTGCGACGACGTTGCCATGTTGTAACAATTAGGTCAAAAATCTTGCACGCTACTTCGCTCATTATAAGTTTGTCGAAATAGCTTTGAAAATGATCGATTATTTTTGTAGCTTATGCTCACTTGCTTTAAGTTTGCTTGAAGGTTATTTGGCTTTCGTATGAAATTTTCGAAAATTGCTGAATCAAACAAATTGCTTCGAACAAAAACTTGGCGGTTGTTATGGTTTACAGCATTGATTATTTGGGCGCAACAGCATTTTTATTATAAAATATGAAAACTTTAGATTGTGGGATTCGAATATACAAAGTTTTCATTTCCAATAATCTTATAATCAATACACTATGATAATTAAAAATTAAAGTACAGGTGGTAAAGATAAATTTGAATCCTAGAGTGTATATATCTTGACGCATGCATATTATCGCATTATGTATCGCGAAATAATCTAAGATTGCTAGTACTGGAAAAAGAGAAACACAATTTTGTTTGTACAAGTTTATCAGTTATTGAGTCATTCAACGTGATAAGCATTAAAAATTAAATAAGTGCTGATGTAAAAAAACAAAAAATAATATCGTGTTAACAAATTTATAAAAATATAAAAAACTGATTAGTTACTATTTAATTATAAATTTTTTCCAGTAAAGACAATGTCTAATTAAGTAAACTTTATAAGCCTAAAAAATTTTATCAAAAAATTGAAGCATCTACGTAAAAATAAACTGAAAAATCAAATTCAAATCATAGTATTTGAAATGTAAGTGGAGCAGTGGAAGTAAAGATTGAAAGTAATTTAAAAAAAATGCGTTACTATTTGTTATTAGCAATTTTTGGTACTTCAATTCATGTACACAATGTTTATTAAATTCTAAGATTTGGAAAATGCGCATAACCCTCTAGATAGGCGAATATATTACAGCACTCTAGCATTCATGTAAGTATTACCGTAGTCACATTTGAAATGACTGTCTGTTTTGTGGAGTCCTTACTTCACTTTTTTTGTAACAAAAACTTATTACACGTATGCTATAAGAATGTAAAGTAATCGCAATGCAAAAACATTTATGAAAATGTTGTAAATGTTTGTAAAGTATGTCAAGACATTTTTTAATATGTGAATTTGGCTAAAAACCTTTTTCTACATTTTTTAGTACGTGTAATTTTAGTTTTTTTACAGTTGAAAATAGAAAAGATTATATGTAAAAGTAATAATGGCGTATAAATGTACTCTGTACTTAATCTAATCATATTTGGACTTAATCTAGCGTCAAAATATTCATATGTCGGCCTTTCAAATCGAACAAAATTCAAATAACGAAAACCGAAGGATTTTGACGTGAGTAGCATTATAATCAATGATATAAATAATATTATTTTTACCAATCTGATTCCGCTTCAAAAAATAGCAGCTATGTTGAACATTATCACCAGTCAATTCGAAAAAATTGTTTCTATTATTTTAAAAAATTTTGAAGAACGAATTTGTTTGCATTAACAATGAGTTTTTAAATACTTCTAAACGATACGAAATAAAATATGAAAAAATATTTCCAAACAAAATTTATCCATGGTCTTCGTTATAATATATCAATCGACAGACAAATAACCAAATTCGAAAAAGTAAAAGAAGAAAAATAAAAAGGAGAACAAAACGATATATCGAATTGAATAGGAATAGATTGGATATAAGTGAAGATTATACAAAGATTGAGGCAATAGTATAGTAGTGGTAACTAAATAATGTAACTGACGGAACATGTATTAAGTACAATACAGTAGCCAAAGAGGTATATATTACTTAAGTAAATTGATAAAAAAGAGGAAACTGTAGGTATATAATATAGTAGATAATATAATATAGCAGCTATAGATATAGTAAAAAAGATTGAAGATAGAAGAGCGACAGGAGAGTATTAGTAGGATAGCGAGAGAGGTAGCACCATACGAATGTAAAAAAGTATATAATAACGCAATAAACAAGATAAAAAATGGAATATACGTAAAAAATGAAATTGCCTAAAGCTCGGCCATGGCGGCAGTACGGAGACGGTGAGTTCCTCATCGGAGTCCTGGTTCGAACGTGTGCTTGACCTCGCGGATGTGATCGTGATCTGGGGCTCGCCATCCGTCTTGAATCTTCCGCCGATCGTTTTTTTTCTATTTGACAATTCGCTCTTTGTTCTTTTGTTCGACTTTGTTTTGTTTTCGTTTTCTTTCATTGTTTTTATCAGTTCACTTATAATCTAGAAATCTCGCTTGAACCGTGTCTCTCGCGGTGATGCAAAAATATTTATACATAATTACGATGATGACATGGTGGGAAATGATGTTAGTATGTGATGAAGAGATGCTGCGATTTACAGTCGCTGATGCGTTGATGATGGCTTGATTATGTGTGAGATTGATGAAATTATGATTAGAGAAAGAGGTGAGCTTGAATATCAAAAATTTGTTCATTTCTTACTTTGAGAAAATCTTGCGAACGAGATGATCCTGCGAATGGTCCAACTGCGGCTCGTTCTTGCGTTTCTCTGCTAATTCCTTTTCGCGGCGAACGTCAGCTACTTTGCGGAAGATCAGCTGTAAATTTATAATCAACCGTCTCAGGTTTCTGTGCGAGACATTTTAATTTTCTTGAAAATTGCATTTCGTGAACATTTATTCGAGATTAAACAAAATTAAAATAAATTTTGACATCCCTAAAATTCTTATCAACAAACCATTAATAAGTAAAGAATAAAATAGCAGGAACGATATAAAAATGTGAATGAAGCATTTACAAATACCTATAATAATTAAAGTTCACATTGATTACAATATTTTTTAAAGAAACAATCGGTTTTTTTTCATTTATTGTAAGATTTGGCGCGCGAATGAGTTGCACTCAATAAAAATGTGTAAATTATCCCGGCAGTCAAAAAAGTAATTTTTCTTGTATAAAGCATCTCGCTCTTAACGATCCTAGTTTCGCGGGAAGCTTGCTTGCTTATGCATTGTGCCGACATAATTACTTCATGCACATCCAGCCGTTATAAACTGCGAGAGAGATGACGCGTAAAAAAAAATTTATGAATCACGACGCGCTCATAACTTCATCGTTAAACTTTTGATACGAATATTGCACTCAACATCGCAATTCCAGCTGCGAAAGAGGAAAAAATGAGAAGAGAAAATACGTTAAAACTTTGCGAGTGAATTAAGTCAATCGCAAAATTTCATTCAAGCGATCGTCGCGATTAAACATAAACGAAGTAACAAAGACAGTGAGACAGTGCGATGAAGATTTGAAAAGTAGGGGAAGGGAAAGGCACTGTCGCGCGTCTGCGCGTTGGCCGCGCTCGATAACCTTAATCTTTATTCGACAGCCCACAGCAGAAAGTATATAGCAAAGCAGACGACGACGAGCTACGACGAGTCAATCCATAGCTTAACCTCAAAAGCCCTGCTTGCACGAGTGCAGGACGAAATTACGCGTTTAGATTAGACAACTAGTTGTGTCCGTGAGATTGAGAGGATGAGTCGATTTTGTCTTTGCTCAAAACTGACGTGTTGTGAAAGTCGATAATACATTACTCGTTGGACAAGTTGCCTCTAATATTTTTAGTTTTGAGATAGCTTTTATGGATTGTCGTAATCAAGGTTCGTTGTAAATTAGACGATTGAACATCATTTAGAATACTACGTTGAGCGATATCAATTGACGCTTGAATAATGATATATTTTTTCTTATTTTTATCGTAGATGGGTCATGGATCGTCAAGCAGGTCAGCTTCCAACAACATACTATCGGTAGAGGAGTCGAATCTGGTGGAAAATCTTTTCAAGTCAATGTCACGCAGTTCAGGATCCATTAAACGCGAGGATATTTTCAAACACTGGTCGGCTCACTTGGATGACGCTCTGTTGCAATTTGTTGTGAGATTTTTGTGCCACGAGCCTGGGAAGAAAACTTCGGCTGTTAATGGAGAATTATTTGGAAAATTGTATGTGTATGCTGTACGAGGCAACTCTGAGGAGAGAACAAACTTGATATTTTCAGGTTTCTCAGAAGATGAGCAAAAGTATGAGATACCTACAGCAAATTTTCTTCAGTACCTGCAAGCAACTATTAATTCCTATTTGACCCTGCAAAAGAATTGTGCCAATCCACATTTTCTCAGTTGGAGTAGCATTGGCTGTACGGTGAACAAGAGAAGAATAAATATGAGGTCACGCACTTTGTGTGAGGAACTTGTTAAGCTAGGAGACATTTTAACATTCAATCAAGTAGAAGATTGGTTTCATCAAGCTGCTACTTTCAAAACTATACAATCACATGTCTTTCAGTGCCTGTTTCTAGTGTCTCAGAAGAAAGGTGACAAGAATCCTCCAAGTAGAATCAATGAATTGAGTCTCTTGCCACTTTGCAAAGGCTTGGAAAATATTCCACATTTCCCTAGTATTCTTGGCCTTGGTGATGTTCTCTTTCTAAACCTTAGTTTACCTCATGAGTTGCGCAACGAGTGGCGCTTTCTGTTTTCTAGTCAAGTACATGGGGAATCATTTTCAACAATGTTAGGTAGAATCACAATGCAAGGAGCAACAATCATAATTCTTCAAGATGGAGATGATCATGTTTTTGGTGGTTTTGCTTCTAACAATTGGTCTCTCTCACCTAATTTTACAGGTAATCAGTCCTGTTTTCTATTTCAATTGGAGCCACAGATTGTGAATTTTCCTGCTAGTAGCTACAATAATCATTATCAATATCTGAATTTACATCAGCAGACAATGCCTAATGGTTTATTAATGGGTGGCCAATTGAATTATCCAGGGCTGTGGTTAGATTGTGAATATGGTTCAGGAAAGTCTAGTGTGTCGTGTACAACATTTCAAAATTATGTGCAGCTAAGTGGTAAGGAGAATTTTACTGTAAAACATTGTGAGGTGTGGGGTGTTGGACCAGTCCCTGAAGTCGATAAAGATGAAAGAGGATCTAGGTCAATTTTAGATGCTGACCCTACATCAAAAGTTTTGCTTGAGCTTACAGGCAAAAAAATGCATAGCGAGGGACTTAGAGATCCAAAAAAAGAGTGATTTTATGATAACTGCAAATCTAGTGCAAATTTATTTAATATGTATATTTTGATATGAGATTGCAATAATTACTGAAATAACGGGTGAATTATTTTAATCACAACTGTGATTATGATTACTCATCTTGAACATAGCTAAGATAATTTTGTTATTAATTTTTGGCTTATTGTTTGAAGATTTCCATTAAACACATATGAGCATTCAAATCTTCTATATTGAACGCTGCAATAAGAGCCATCTTTTAATATTTACCTGTGCTGTGCTTATTTTTATGTAAAGAGATTCGGCAGAGTAATTTTCATTCCAAATTTGAATAGCTCTGCTTTCTAGTTTTGACTTGTTTGGTGTATAGTATGGGCTTCGATAAATAAATGTAACGTCATATCGAATTATTGTAAACGAATTTTATCCATAATTTTTCTGAAAAATTTGTTGAAGATAAATATCGATTATTTTAATATCACGAAAAGATTTCTTAACAAAATGCATTGATTTATTGTCCTTTTTAAATATATGAGAAACTTTGATTACATCATTGATGTAACCGAAATAAATGTAAAATTCAATCTTGTAATTTTCCATGAAACCAATGTATAGAGATAACTTCGAAAATGATGTCACTTCTAAATGTAAATTCATAGAATTTGAAAAAAGTGTTCTTTCAAGATCTAAAATGATTATAGCTTAAACTGAAATTATCTAGCTAGGAAGAGAATTTTTTTTATGTAAATACGAAATTGATAAATGAAAAATCTTCACTTGACATGTGGTTAGCCTTTTACGCCGTATAAAATAAAAAACATATAATGTATTAATATGCTGTAAGTGACCATAGAATAATATTCGAAGGGCATCGAAAGATATGCAAAGATACGAAAACGAAGCATTTTTATTTAAAAATGAGTCTTCGTAGCAGATTAAAAAATATATCAGTCGTAATTGATTGAACGGCCTTTAAATAATAAAGAGTAAAAAAATAAATAAAGATGTATTGTTTTTTTCTATCACTCGTTATTTGTTAACTCAATTTAAAAATTGAGATTTCTATATCGTTTGTGTTATTCATAGTGCGTAAAACGAATTATTGAACTTCCGAAAACGATGCACATAATTTCATGGGATTTTATGAAAAAAGTCTGTTGAACAATGAAAATAAAACAAAAGAAAACGAAAAATCAAGCCCTTATCATTTTTCCCTGTTTCCCCGTAACATTGTATTCGAATATGATAAATTCTTTTTCACTTAAAGTCTTTAATAATAATTGGAACCAATCGATACATTGCTGTATTTCATCAAATTAAAACATATTTCGTGAAACATAAGTGATCAAAAAAACTTCTTTTGTTCTTTTCCCTTAAACAACTTGTCCTAGTTTGCTATCGAATTTCTCGACTTTCAGTGTAAACATTTCGACACATTTTATTACCTCAACTTTATGTGTCTTCAAGCAGCGAATCTCGTTTTGAATGTAAAATTTGTCAGTATTTACGATGGCAAATAATTTACGACTAAGAATGCAATTGAAATCGGAAAAACAACTTTAGCGAAATTTAATGAAAATTGATTTCTTTTAATTCCCAGGCAAGATATCGTAGCATACGGTCAGCTGTATCAATTGTAATTTTCAGTCAATATACGGTTGATAATGGAATTATGAGCACAATTGTGTAGGTAGTACTCGACTACGTTACGTACAGACAATGGTAACTGGAAGCGCGACATCAATATTCCTCCAAAGAACAAATACTTACACATCTTTATTTTCTTTTGTAATATCAATTCAAAATTTTTTTATTCAAATCAAAACTTTGCGTGAACATTGTACTCCTTTTGCTTTCTTATGCTACATCGGACATCCCGTTAAAAAAATTGCTTTGCATTTTGAGAATTTCTTGTGATTGAGTTCAGAGATCATAAACTTGTTGCGTAAAAAGAAGATTCGTACTCACCCTGTGTCGTAGATTATAAGTAAGCACGAGATTCCTGGCGAACGAGTTGGCGAATGCCTGATAAAAGTCGAGAACCTCGAGTAGTTTGTCGCGCTTGATGGTGTGCAGATCGCAGTAGGTAAGAGCGCGCACATTAGCGGCACTCTGACCCACGGCATTATCCTTCCAGAAGCTGTCTCCAAAGACGTCGCCTTTGCCAAGTATTGCCACGACTTCGTCGTCTTGGATGACCTCGAGACTGCCAGTGACGATGAAGCACAGCGAGTCTATCGATTCGCCAGTGTGATACAGCAAGTCACCCGGAGCGCTGTGCGACATCGTGAAGTGCATCGCAAGCGCGCGCAAGCAACCGTCCGATGCCAATCTGCCGAGATATACAACATCGAGCTTATTCCTGATTGATGGATTTGCGTTAGCTTCTGCGGATTAACGCAGGCACACCTCGGCCAACCTCATTGTTGGATTTCCAATGCGCAATTTTATATATATCGCATGACCTGTACTCTCCTTTAAAGGCAGCACTCGAAAAAAAAAGCCACATTTTATTTATTCTTTTTGTTCGAATGTGAAACAATATGGTCGCCGTTGATGCTTTGTATTTTACAAATGTACGAGCACAATGTTTCCATTATTTACGTTGTCGTATCGTCAGAATGCAATCAGTGCGCATTGTTTCGTCAAAACATCAACTTCCCAAAGAACAAAAATCCATTATTCCGGCGCGTCAGCGATACGACGTCAATTGCAAAGACAGCGCGATGTATGTAGCAATTTTTGAGTGATATGGCGGTGACCTAGCGCGACGATATTAGTTCCCGTGTCCCCGGGGCCGGAATAACGCACTCTACACGATGAGAGCGAGTGCTTGATCATCATCTCGGACTCGCCTGCTCGCTCTCTCGTGCCATTCGTTTAATATCGCGCCGCGTATCAATTATATACACACGCACGCACACGCACACACATACACGCACGCGAGCGCGTATATATATGTATGTATATGTATGTATATGTCTTGGTAATATAATGTTACCTTTGATTTCAAAAGCTTACTTGCCAAAGTTTCAGAAAGTTTTATGGATGTTGATTAAGAGCAAGAAAGGTATTATGTCTCGTATATTATTTTTTATAGAAATTCGAAAGTAAAGCTTTTATTCGAACGCTGTAAGTTCCTCGAATTTATGTGGTTTTCTATTCGAATTTCATCAAGACAATCAATTTATTTTTAAGAAATCTGGAAATAATAATGGCAATTCAAACAAAGATTTCGGAAATCGTGAAAAAAATCCGTGAATGTATTGGAATACATGGCTTTCTTTTTACGAAACCTATATTCTCAGCTTTCGATTTTTTCAATTAAAAATCAATATTTTATAACAGAAATATGCATGTGTGTGTATTGAGATGTATATAATTTTGAAATTCCAAGGAAATATTCTTAAAAATTAAAAGTTGAAATTTCAAAGAACACAGTCTTATGTATATAATTTTTAATTTTCAAGAATTTTACATGCAATGTCGAAGTTACGTCTTCATTTGGAATCCACTAGGATCCAGTATAATACGCTACTAATATCTTTAATTTTGTTAATACAAAGAACATTATTTTGCATAACTTTAGCAGACTAAATTAACCTATGTTTATTTAAAAATTTAAAAAATGTCATGGTAGAAAACTACTCTGAATATAATTTGAAAATAAGAGTATTTTTTCAGTAACGTAGATTATTAAAAGAATTTTATTTTTCAAATAAGTGTTTGAGAAGTCTAAAATTATATTCATACATCTACCAAATCTAAATCATCTATAAAATGATAATATAAATTATTTCAACATATTGAACGTTCGACTGATATCAATCGGACGATCATAAATCGAGCATTAGAACTGCCATGAAGCCTAAAAAATCCCTTCAACAATAAACCTTTGAATAGATAATCGGATTAGTACATATCTAAAAAAATGTCGGTATACTGACCTGAAGGCGGGATGTTCATTGAAGACCTTGCGATTTAGGTGAACGCAGATATCGGCCTTCATGTCCTTGGGGCAGTAATTGAGCACCTTGTCGGTGTCGAGGCCTTTGGTCATCGCCCACGTACTGACCACGTAATCCATGACTCTCTCGCTCAACGCTTTCGGCACCTCGTGCAACTTCATGAATTCCCTCACGTTGTTGAGCATGTCGTGGTATTTGGCCGTTGCCGATGTCATTTGTTGGATTATCGTCGTCACGTGACCGAATATGGTTGCATATAGTAAGGCTGTTGAACATTGCAAGCTTTCTAATGTATGCTACTTCATTGACGACACATCTCGATCGGGGGTATTCTCATTGCTCGAGCAATACTCGCAATACATTTTTTGAATTTTATTTTATTTTTGAGCATTTCTATTTTGCAATCGAACACATTTACGATGCATGATCAGCATTTGTAATTTTGTTTCTTACAAAGCAACGCGTGAATCGCGCGACTGCTCATTTTAGTCATGAGTATTTACAGTAGGCCGGCATTGATTGCGGTTAACCGACCAATGAACGATCAGAATGAAAAAAAAAAGAAAAGTTTTTTTTCATAGTCGAACAGAATATTCAGTGATGTATAGTTATTGAAAGAACAAGTCTGACCAGCAATAATCATCATGCAGATAGTGAAGATCTTCTCGTTGTCAGTCTCAGCGGCGACATTGCCAAAGCCAACGGACGTCATGCAGGTCATAGTGAAGTACAACGCGGTCACGTACATCGTGCGTCTCGATGGCCCAGCGACAAGTTCGAACGAAGCTGTGCTAGCGTTCGTCCAATGATAACTGTAAGGCGACTGCGTGACGTTTGCCAGCTTCCATAGCCATGAGTACTGGACACCGGCGTCAGCGTCCGATCGACCTATCGAGTACCTGATGAATTCGCATTGGTTGTCGTTATTTGTGGCTCAACGTGCTGGATATATTAAAAGATATCCGAGAGATTCGATTGGATCGATTTGATGGTTTTTATAAGCGAGTATAGACGCTCTACATTTCTTGGTATAATCAATCTCATTACCCTTTAAATAGAATGTTAAACATACGTATGTGAGAGTACGTTTCGGGCACGCATCCATGTTGAACGAAATATCGTGAATTAGCTGAAGCTCGGGCAATGCAACGACATCAAGTCTGCCTCGAGTATTTTTGAGAAACTCGTCCTATTTCTCTCTCGCCGAAGTTGCGATGCCTTACGATTACTCGAGAAGTTAGTGCGACCACCGAAAAGTCAAGCGATGCGCGACTCGAAATTCAGTTCCGTCGACGCCCGAAACTTTTCGGATACCTTCGGGGCTGCCTTCTTTCCGTCGCGATGGCGACTGAGTTTTCCTTGCCGCCTAGAGCTACGGCAAACTGTCAAGTTAGCAACTAATAGGATTTGCATTGTGTAAACTTCTTTTTTATCATCTTCGCTGCGGTCAATGGATGCATCAGCCCGGCGCGTCCGGAATTTTAACGTCGGCCTTTTATCCACTTCGGTTTCGTTAACTCGCTCGCGCGCGCCTGCGAGAGGGCGGATGTTAATTAAGCTCTGACGGCTGAGTATACACTTGACAAGCTTGTCTCTCTTTTTTTCTCATCCGTCTCGGTGTGGCCAAAGCTCCGAGATTGTTAGACGACTCTGCTTGTGACATTAATAGAGAGTCTGCTCGAGTACCTGTTTCTTTTGGATGATTAAAATTGACAGTGACGCTATGATTATTATTTTTATTTGGGTGCAAACCACATTCGCGCTGATAGATTGTTATATTTAAGCGACACTTTTAGCCTTTAATGAGTCTAAAATATATATTTTTAGTCGTTTGTAAGACAATGGTGTGAATATGTAGCTTTTTTATCTCAGTTTTTATTAGAGTTTTAGGACATATTCGGAATTATACGATCGCTAGTATTTTAAAGAACAAATGTTAAAAAGTTCAGAAAAGTGATTTAGCTTCTTAATTAGCGGATCTGTTCAATCAACACCTATCCATATCTAGGATAGATGCTCTAGAAAAGTGACTCTCTCAAAGGGTGAGACAATTAGTTTATATCGAAACGAAGTTATTCACAAACTTGGTACTACTCAGTATTCAAGGTTCAAATAACCAACTCGAAACGTGCTCTGTACGTTAGTGTATATTAAAATAAATTATTCTTAAATCGAGAAATTTTGTTTCCAAACTAACATTTTCTCTTCTACAACTGAGAAAAATGTTGAGAGTTTTTGAAAATTTGTTTAAAAACACATCAAAATTAAGAAATATTTTTCTGTAGTAAACACATGCAAACTTAATAATTAAAAGAAATAGAAAGACGAAATCGAAACAATTACCAAATACAGGCGAGCCAATGAGCGACGAGCATGTAGAAGCACAAAAGTAATATCAGCATTGCCGCACCGTACTCGAGATAACGATCGAGCTTGCGCACGACTCTGCCGAGCCTAAGTAACCTGACGACCTTGAGGGCTGAGAATAGGCTACCAATTCCATCCTCGTCGTGGTCGAAGGCATTGAACACATCGTACGGCAGGCAGCTTAGCAGATCTATTATGAACCAGGACTTTAGATAGTTCATGCGAATCACCTGTTTCACGAAAAAGAAAACAATCAGCCGTCGTCAAAAATCAACTTTTTTTTCTGATGTAAAATGTTCTTTGCCGCCAGCGTGACAAATTCCACAGATTGCGATTTGAATCGCATGACGTGTTGGAATGATAACTTCGTCACCAAATCCAACAGGAGAGTGAAATTCCATTATGAGCTCGGGTGACAATTAATACCAGCTGCACCGTTGTGATGCACGTAAATTTAATTTTTTTCAATTCATGCAGCGAGAATTGACATTCGAAAATCGTATCGTCGCAATGAAAGTTTGAATACCGTTCGTCGAATCAACGTCGCGCTTCTGAGGTTTACTTTTTCTCGAGGAGCAAGCGAAACGTAAATAATCTTCGCTCTCTCCAAGCGATTCAAAGAGACTCTGGAGAGTTTCGCGGTCAACTTTGTATAACAGCTCTCTGCAGATGACATTCATTGCTGCGATAGCAGCACTGGAGAAGTTTGTTCTCTTATCGCGTTTTGATCGAAGAATATCGATCGACGATAATACCTTGGGATCAGAGACGACTTCGCCACCAGCACCAACAAAAGTCGTGTGGAAGTTGAGGACAATGTCGATGAAGAAGATGACGTCGACGATGGTGTCGACAACGAGCAAAAACACATCTTCGCTCGTTTTGTTCTTGAAGGCTACATTGTACGGGACCATGATCGCCGTGTAAAAGGTGAGGCATAGTATTATCCAGTCCCAGATCGCTTTGAACGCGCAGTAATGCAACAGTATGTGTGGTGGTGTTTTGGGCGCCTCTTGCCGGTACTGCGGCATCACGTCGCCGCTTAATGTCATCACCTGTTGATTTTTTTTTTCAAACAATTTTGAAACGTCAGTTGTTTATCAGCACGTAAGTACCGTTCTATACTTTTGCGTGCTCCACATTGGTAAATATACGATTTTGTCGGACACATAAATATGACTTTTACTCTATTGAATGGGTCTCTACTTAGAATTAAAAGAGTTTGAAACGATACATCGTAAAAATATTAATCACTCACTATCGTTGAAGAGAAACTAGACTTTATGAGTGTTATACAATAACTATTATTGCGGAACAAGTGCAGAACCAAGTTTGTAACAGAGCAATTCATGTAGGATTTTGGCAATTCGGATTTGATTTTAAAGTACGTGTTTCATTCATAAGCGGTTATATTCTTGCGAAACAACGTAAATAGTTAAGTCCAATAATAAGAGACAAAATTGTGTAAGAATTTCTGTTCGAAAATACACCTTTGAAAAATTATTGTAATAAAAAGATCTATTTTAATACATTTATAAAATATGTTAATAAAAATATTTAAAATTTGATATTTAGCATTCCTATTTCAAAACTAACTCGTGAACTTCAAACGAATACAATTTTTTATCGTCTTACGAGACAATAGTCGAATGGACATAGAAACGTTTGAAATATTACTCGCTAATAAACCGTCAATAGCCTTGATACATCAGTCAATTAGTAATTCTATGTACTGACTATGTATTGACTACGTATTGAATGTATTGACGTTGTTGCAATACTTACGTGTCCAAGATGCGACTGCTTGGTAGTGACAGGTACAGCGGTGTCTTTGAGGGCAGGCAAATGAGAGCTGAATTGTGAAACGAGCACGGATCTGGAACGGGTGACCGAGCGCGCAAGTTTGGCGAACTTTGACAGTCCGCCTTTGGTATCGTCCGTCTCGATTGGTTGCTTCAGTGCCGTTATGTCGCGGAATGTCAGCAGGAACAACACCACCAGATCTCGCTCGTTCTTGATCGGCGCTATTTGCAGCAGCAGCCATAATGGTGTCTCTATTTGCGTCGACATCAGAGCGTTCAGCATCGTTACTTTTTTTTCTGGTTCTTTTCGAAGGAGACGATTTCATCTCATTAATTTCTCGAGAAATATGCAGCGGTCGGTGGTTCTTTATTTCATTTTTCAAATATTATTGCTAGCTTACCGTTATCAACTTACTGTACAACTTGTTAAGCCAATTTTAGCTGTTATTATCCAGCGTTTCTTCAAACATTACTTTTATAATTGTTATATAGCAAAATACTATGTACAGTAGGATCCTATGAATACTTACTGGAAGCTATGGAGCGATTATTTTATCGAGGAATTATTGATACATCAATGGAATCTAATCAAGGACTTGCTTCTTTTTACGACAATTGAGACCACATTATTATATTTGAAAGCTTTATCGTACATTGTACTGATTTTAAATAAAAAATAAATTGTATGTTTTTCATGTTTTTTAAATCCTAAAATACATTTACATCGTTCCGCAAATGACAGATATTTGGCATGAAAACTATTCTTATGAACAATTCGCAACCAACTATCTAAAATAATATAGAAGTTGCACGGTGCTTAATACAAAGTCCCTTATTATGATTAAACAAAAAACGTAAGTTTAGAGGTCATCTAATTTCGAGCCGAAGAATCTGTACACGTAAATTAGAGACGACGATCGTTTCTTATCAAATCAATGTGCGAAACGTTTATATTAATTTTGAATGCCGTATCCATTTGCTCTTCTGTCAATTTCACGTCAATAATTTAGTTACTACTAGTACTGTTTCGCCCTCCGACGACTGCATTTCCCTCTGTATGTGTCTGTATATGTAAGTGTGTGTATACGTTTTCTAATGAATATATTCATCAAGTAAATTTCAAATACGAATCAACATACTTTACTATGTAATTTAAATGTATTTATATATACATCAAAGTGTTGTTCAAAGAATTTTAGCAACACCATATATACATATTTGTGTGGTAAAAATAAGTTAAAAGCAAAATATATAATCTAAAATAGTACATGCTTAATTAAAGTCTAGCGTATATCTGCATGATCTTTTATTTGCAAATTTGCGAAATAAAAGATGATTTTGTATATTAGCGTGCTAAAATGACTAAACCAATGTAAAAAACTTGCGGTTATAGTAAATTCTATTTTCTAATTTAAGAGATTCAATCGCAATGGATTTGTAGAATGAATTTGTTTTGTGCACAAATTATTATTTCACGGACAGTTTCAAGTTTACCATAACCTCGATTTTGGATATAAAATTATATTTTTGAAAGAGAAAAGACACTCCAAAAAGAAAACATACACATTCACGGTAGCAATGGACAAGACTATTAGAAGAAGAAAAAATACTAAAAGGAGTGAATATGTAAATGACGGTAGTGTGGTGTACGTAACAGTAACGAAGAAGAAGACAGAAAGGGTAGACCTGGAAAATGAGAGAAAGTGTAAAAGAAGAGGAACGATGAAAATGATGCGCGAAAAGCGTGTAATTCCTTCACGCCTTTTGCTAAACGGAAGAAAAAATATTTGACCTACTTCTTTTTCCTCCCCGACTTTTTTTTTGTTTGTTTTCACCCTGGTGGAAAAAAACTCGTCCGTGACGCCTTTTCTCGCTTCGAAAGTTTTATTTTGCACGAGTGTTTTTGCGACATTTTTTTTCGGCAATACATTGTCAATAGAACGCGAGAACGAGATTTTGATCAAATAGGGAAAAAGCGTATTATTTTTTTTTTATTTAAAGCTTCGTGATCAATTTCCATGTAAATCAAATGTAAAGAATAATGTTTATTTAGAAGAATTTTTCTTCACCTCTTGAAATGTATGATTTTTTTTGCTCGAAAATTCTGACACAAAGAGGTCGATCGATTTCTTATGCAAAAAGTTCGATGCACTTTATCGATCATATTAGAATTCTGGGACACACTACCGATGGCAAAACTATCAAATGACTTGGCGTTCAATTTTTCATGAACATGTGACCGATTTTATCAGTCGGTGACATTAACTTTCTTTGTTTCTCGGCGTCGGGGACAAAAAAAAATATTACCACGTAAATAGATTTTAAAAATTGCCTCGTTTTCTACATACGTTACTCGAGTCTACTTTTAAATCCACGTCAAGTAACTTCAAGTGTGCCAAAAAAAAAGTAAATAAATAAAAGTTGTTTCGGAGTTTGACCCACGGTTATAGTTATCGAGTATAAAGAGTCATGAACCATTAGAAAACTACCTCGTTTATAAGTGTTTGTTTTTCTTTTGTTTATTAAGAAATGAAGATGAAAGAATTGCAATTGTTGAAAAGTTCCAGGTATGTTTATTTACGTTTTAAATTGTCGTGAGAGGCTTGTAAATGCGACAAAGTAATCATAATCGTTACTTTTCGTCGAAATTAATTGTCTGAAAAAAATAATATACATAAACTTTCAATGAGAAAAGAAATGACGATGACAATGTAAGAATGTTTTTTTTGCAGTTAGAATGATAAACATTTTATCGTAACTTTTTACAGTTCATTAATAATTAGTATCAAAAGTTAATCATAAAAAATATTAAAGTATGAGAAATTTGAAGCACTCAATAGAAATAAATGAGAAAAGCTTAAAATACAATATACAAAGTACAGTTTCTTTAGCATATTTTACTATTTGTATTTTCTCGCCAGTAAACCTCATAGTGGATTTTAAAATGAAAATAGTAGCAGCGTAAATTTTGAAGTGTGACTGAAAAGTCATTTCTCGTAATATTTAAGTTTTGTCACCAAAACGTACTTCCTAAATGCTAAATATAACAAAGTAAATTTAGTTTTCATTCAATATCAGAAAAATACGGGCATACTATATTTTCTATCATTTATATTATATAAACTATGCCTAAACAGTCATTATCACAGAATAAAAATAATTTTATTCAAAATATCAAAACATAGATGAAACAACTATATTCTCACGGTAGAATCTAAAAAGGAAATAAACACTTTGGCTTTGAGTATTTATAAATGGTTTGATAAAAAGAAAGAGATACAAGGAAGAAAGTTCGACCAGTAGAATGGCCAGACACAACAGTAAGAGGAAAACATATAGTCTAAAGAAGTGAAAAATGAATACGTGCGTTAGTATACGCGGTAATACAAGGGGTTAGTAAAAAAGAGGGCTTAAAAGAAGAACCTTATATATATCTACAATAAAATAAACTGACAGACACAACTGCGCCGACTCTAGCCGACTTTTGTTTTCTTTAAATGTTACTTTTTTTGGTTTCATTTTATCATACTCCTCTCGCGTCGCCTACGGAGCAAGTAAGGCTGCCAACGTCGGTTATCTTACTATTTTATCTCGGCAGGCTTTCCTTTTTTTCGTTAAAAGTTATCAGTTAGGTGGCAGCCTTAAATGCGATGCGAGCTCGAGGTCTCACTTACAGACAGGATTTTTCTCTCACGAATTTCACATTACCTCGTGGGGTACCTTTAAAGAAAATTAGCTTTGGTTATTCTTATCCTTAAGTGGCACATTTAGTTTGGAAGAAAAATGCATGCTGTTTTCCGAAAAATGCGTTATTTTTTCTACTTCATGAAGCACGAATTTTCCTTCTGTTAATTTTCGTCTAGACATAGTTAATATTATCTGGTTTATTTAAATTTCAAACTTTTTTTATCATTAGCAGATAATATATAATGTCCCGACGCAAAACACTAAATTTCAATCAGTTTAATACAAACAGTTATTGCAACTATATACAAATCAGTGTGAACGTCTGAATGAGAAAGATGTTGAAGCAAGCTTCGTAAAAAAAAAAACATGTATTATTATTGTTCTGTGGGCATCTGCTGCAAATGTTGAGAATGGGTTCAAAATGTTCGTAGCAACAATGTGTTTTACATCGATTGGGTGTCCAGCAACGAACCACATGCATTTTGCATCAAAAGTATAATAACACTGAAATAAATGCGCACGTAAAAAACCTATTCTATGCTTTTCTATTAATTTAATTTTCTTTTATTTGTGTAATTCACAATATTTAGTTGTTTTAGAACAAAAATTTGCGCGTCTGATCGTAGACAGTCTCGTACTACTAGCTTTTGTCGTGTATCTGTGCATCAACGTCAATCGGTAAAAAATAGATAAAAAAGACGTGTTAGTTGAAAAAAACCAGACGCGATGTGAGAAAAAAGTAGTCAATCACTATCGCAAGTCGTACAGAGTCACTGTCTATGTGTATACGTGTATGTTTGCTGATCATTTTCTCATTGTTTTCTCAGTGCTGTGTTGTTCTTTAGTCGAAAGCCGATACTTACTGTTCTTTTTGTAAAGTAAAATCTCGAACTGGTCGCAAATTTGTCCTTCGAGGCACTCCTCGATTCGGGCGATGGTCTCTTTGTCGGTGAGCTCGCCGTACATAAAGCTGCAGCGACATGACTTTTGCATTACCTGCGAATTTACGAGAATATTTGATTGTTATAATATCAATTTTTTAATTGAAGATGTGGTTATTGTAAATAGTTAAACATGTGCAAACTCAATTTATATATTTTTAAATAATCATCAAGACTTCATCATCAAAGTTCGTTTATTAGAATTTTCTGCTGAATTATAAAGCCTTTTTAAAATTTTTATCGCTTATCCTACTGCACAAAAAGAACATTTTGATACCCACTTGACCCCATTAGCACAATTCTACCTTCACTCAGGAACATGCAAGTTTATTAATTATTTTTTAATGGCAATTTTATGCATATTCTAAAATTATCAAAGAGGTTATTCGATGAGTTCATTTTCTTTTTTAGAACGAGCCTTACAAATGTTATTTAAAGTTTTTTACCTCATTTCTGTTCAAGAGAAATTTTCTTGCAAATTTTCAAGTTGTTTTTGTAAGCTGATAAAAATAAGTTAGACCATTTAACGAGGGCTTAAGGGGTTTATTACTTTATAAAGAAAAATAGAATTTCCGGTAAAAACCAATTGAAAATGCAGATCATTCGATCTCTTTAATGAAAAAAAAATCCAATTAAAAAAAAAAAAAAAAAGCCGTCCTCTTCGATTGCGTCTAAAAAGTGATCCGAACTGTTTGTAACAATATTAACCACGGGGCGTCAAGAAGACAAACAGCTCAAGTTTTGTCATTCCCACTTTGGAAATTAATTATTTTCCAGGCGATATTGGCAGGATAGCAAGCGCGCATAAATCAGCCGTTAGGAATTTTGGCAAAGTTCGTGTAGGATAAGACGTAGCTGGGGTTAAACTCTTAATCTATACGCTCGCGAGTGGAGTGGCGGGAGGATTCGATTTTCCCGTGATGTATACTTCTGAGATCAGGCCTCGACTTTTTTACTTGGCGGCAAAACTGGAGCAGCAACATTATCAAGCTTATTATTCGCGCATTTCAAAGTCGATTTCGTTGGAATATAATTATTTCCCAGTTCAACGATGAAACGCTAATCAAAAATAGACAAATATATATCTTTTCAAGAGGTTGAACTTAAAGAGAAAACGCACGCGTCCAATTCGTCACGTCCACGTTGAAACGTGAAACTCGCCAAACCCTGTTGTCGATTCAATATAGCCAGCAGCGACAGATAACAGCCTAGCATGCACGCGAAATCGATGAAACTCCAAAACTACCAGGAAAGTTGAAAAAAAATAGTTCGTATAGCCTGGAAACTTCTCAAACGCCAGCCAAAAAAAGGGAAGAGCAAGAGTTCAGTGGAGGTCAAAGCGGAAGAAAGAAACAGATGTGAAGATGGTCTAGATAGTGAACCAACCTCGGCACGATTGTAACCAGAAATTTTGCAGAAGCTCTCGTTGCAGTAGACGATCGGGAAGTCGACGATCTGAGCGTTGGCCAATAAAAAACTGCTGTCGGCTGTAACAGATATATACGTAAGGCTTTAGTACATCGCTCGGCATTCTTCGTACACGCGCACACATACACATACACACACACCCCACTGTGCTATTTTTCTGGCGCACGCTCGCGGCTCGCAAGGCACACGCGCATATCTCAAAGCAGAATGTTTTTTGTTCGCACGAGCAACGCCTCGAATACGTGACTACGTTGCTCTGCTTTTTCCATTATGCACGCCGAGTAACGCTGCGGTTAATTGCAAGCTGAAAGTCGTCCGCGGCAGGGTATTAATCCCCGCGGAGTGCCGAGGTCTCGCCGAAATTCTCGCGTTTGCCAAACTTTCCTCCCTTTATCACGCGCCGTATTATTTAATCAGTCAAACTTAAATTCGTTTAAGAGAGATTCCCTTCGGAATATCAAGAGATCGCATCTCCGTGACGAAACTTTTGGTTTAGCGTTGCACGGCCTGAGAACTAGGCAACAGAACAATGCGCAGCAAACTTTCAACGCAGCCAAACGGCTGGGAAGTCATTTTACGTTTTTATCGGTTATTGTACAGTGAGCCATTAATAATTTGCATCGGACAACCATTGGCCGCTTTAAATTCTGAACTTTTGATTGAAGAAGCACATTGAAGTGCATAATTATTTTCATGACAATGACGGACAAAGTGATAAAAGAAGTCATGGCAGTAGATAAAGCTGTACAATAAGTAAACGCGAGTGAGGAACAATGGGGAGAGGGAAAGCTAATCGAGGGTAAAACGTAAAGATGGATGAGCTTGGATGAACAGAAAATAGAGCCGCTGATGTCGCTACTCCTTTTTTCTTGTCTCTATATAATGTGAGTAGCATTAGCTGAAAGGAGGATAATCATTGCCTTACAAAATAACTACATTGTTGCTATCATATGGAAACTCAGTAATGCAAGAACATTTTCCTTTTTCTTCTCGTCTCCTAGTATTTACTAGAAAACAAAAACTTTTGTTTCTGTTATATTCTTTAAGGCCAATGTTCTTCATTTGATAAATAAATAAACGGAAATTTCTTATTTTAAAAGTAAATTTCTCAAAATAAGAAAACTTTATTGTCCACGAAATTAAGAAGATTAGAAGTCTTAAAAAAGTATTAACAAATTTTAGCTGTTCATTTTTAATAATCTTTAATGATTATTCTTGTTGTGTCACATTTTAAGAACAAAAATATCTTCAAGATTTTTTTAGCATTAATCGATTTATATATATATATACTTGTTACGTTGTGAAGCAAAATCATGTAAATTTACTTCTATTTACTCTATACAAAATAACTCAGACGGCGCCAACTGACCCAAATATAACGGAAATTACTATACACATGATAATTTACAAGCCTACAAATATGTTTTCGCCAAAGCAACACAATTTTGCATATACTAATAGTTTTTAAAAGACTTTTTTTGAAAGGAACGTAATAACATTCATCAACTCGAAACCACAATCAAATATTTTCCTCTTTGCGAAAAACGCGTTCACTATAAAAAAGAAGCTGCATCACGAAAAAGCGACACGATAAAAAATAACAGCAATGTCTAAATAAAATAGATACCCTACAACTCGTTGTTGGAAGCGAGTGAAACGAGAAACTATGATCTCGTATGTCGAGCGTTGAACACAATGCCGATACAAGCCCGAGAGAGAGGGAGAAAAGGGGAGCTTAGCATTCCTCGAGCGTGCATGTCATATTGCGTTCCGCTCTGCGCGACCGCGGCAATGGCATGTCACAGTGCTCTTCTTTCTCTACGCGCTCAAAGAGGATCAAAAGCTCGTCTGTGCAATGTGCGAGAAAAGTGCATTTTCCCTTGGTTATCCTAATTGAGCACGGCGTTGTTCCCTTTTGCATCGTCCGACTGAACAACTCGCGAGGAAATGTCCGCGAAGGATGCCAATGCCAATTCGGAAAACGAAGCTAAACACGCGTGCGCGACCGGGGAACGACCATCAGTCAACGAGGACGCGAGAGCGACGTAATGCACACATGCGTAATTATGTACAGCAACGTTGCTGCCGCTCCATCCGAACTCGACGATCAATCAGTTAACGCGGCCTATACCCCTATACCTCCGAGCTGTTATGTAAGTTCATTATATCCCCGCGAGCCGCGGCTGCTCTGTCTGCCGTGCTTTCAATGAGATCGATGACATCTCGTTTATTTGTTTACCTTTAGCTCTACGTCGGCTACGACTCGCGATGAAGCGATCACTTTATTGTTTTGCAAATTGAAAGCAGCATCCAATCGAAAATCAATGAGCCACCTCGAAACATAATTATAGATAGCCGAGCGCGCAATTTGGGATTTCTCTGTGAGCGTCGCGCAACAGATGACGGTACACCCCCCCCCCCTCTGCCCCGCTAAAAACACATACATGCGATTGCTGAGTTGAATAATAGACACGTAATGCAAGCGGCGATTAAGCCTAATTGCACGATGTTGGATAATTGTTTCGTTAAGTTTATATACATGTCAATTAAGTTGAGTAAAGGATGAATTGTGATTGGCATCAGTTTTGGGATCGTAGGATCGACGAAAGGCTTTGTATTAAGGGGGGATTTAGATAAAAAAAAGATTAAAAGACCACGACTATCTTTCTTGGAAGAACATTGCTACGAGGTAATCTTTACTTTAACGAGCGGATCAGTGCTTGTGACGGCGAAATTGTTTTCGAGGATTATCTTAGCTATTGATATAAAATATACAATTCGCGTTTAAAATTAAAAAAATTGAAATTCGTTTAATCTTGCTTGAAAATTCACGATTAGGAGCTTAAGCCTAAAGAACAATACGAAACGTGTATCTCGATAGAGAAAGCATCGACCGAGTAAACATGCAAATAGAGATGCAATCAAAGGACGATCCCACGAGAGTCGTAACATTGAGAAACTGATTTGGAACTACAGTGTACACGCACATGGCAATTAAATGGCACAAAAAGAAAGTAGAAAAGAGGAACGAGGACGTATAGCAGAAAAACGTCATTCACTATGTATATATACGACTGATCGATGACCGCAAACGAATTGCTATCGCATACGTGAATACCGCGGTCGGTGTATGTATGTGTGCATTAGTAATGAGCTGCTGTATGTTTGATGAGGCTTGATTTTGCACTCGCATAGCACAGCAATTTCTGTTCTCGTTGTTTAGCTTACTTTACTGTGCGATCAGTATATTCGAGAGCTGTAATGTACCGCGCTGGTAACATCGTAAAATTGTGGATAATTTCGAGAAGGATAAGGCAATATACCCATATTTGCAGTAAGATCCATCGAGCATCCTTTTGCACAACCTATCGAGAGCGATACTAGAAACATTTCAGTTCATGTTTTTCGACTTATCGACCCCAAAAACTTTCAAAGTCACTTTTATAGGTGGCACCAAAGAATATGCCCCTCGTAAACGATAATTAACTATTTACATATCTCACGTATTTTCTTTCCTTAAAAAAAGTATTATATATCTCAATTTATTAAATAGCAGATCAATTATTTTTTATATGAAAAAATTAAAAAATCTGCGATGTCACATTAAATTTGAAAAAGAATAAAATTCCCACAGGAATTAACAAATAACTATAACATGATTCTAACTGATGATAAGTTTTAAAATGCTTTACATTTTCGATACATCAATAACTGTTCCATTAAGGAAATTCAAATTAAATATGTCGGTATAGAACTTTTTTAGCCAGACAATTAACGATATAAAAGTAAACCTATAACATGACCCAATTTAAGATAAAAAAGGAAATTCAATAACCTCAACTCGCAAATAAAATTAATTGATCAAATTCTGAAAGCAAGAGAAGAAGAATGAGTAAAGCCGATGATCCGTTAACGCAAAGACTTTGGCGCGCGACGTAATAAAAGCAGCTTTGCCAAAGAAAGGCTAATTTTATAAAAAGGATTTATTTCAAACGCGAATTCGAAATATTTTTTTCCCACGTATTTACATTACAATATTTGGTGGAAATTCATTCTGTAATATTGATGATATCGGTTGATTTACAAACACCAGGAAAGATTGCCGATGAATATTCAAGTTTGTGGAAAGTAATGAAAGTTTATAATAAATTATATTTGCGATAAAAAAAATAAACGAGGAAATGTTATAAGATATTAAATTTGTGGTCCTGGTCTTTGCCGTAAATATTTTTTCATTACATACAATAGTGATGAGTGCCTCTATAATTCCATGTGAAAAATTCACAAAGCAATTTATCAAGATTTGAAAGACGATATTCAGTAATAATTCATTTATACCACGTATAAGGCACAGTAGACATCGAATTTTATTGAACAAATCGCTCACGAGCTTTGAAACTTTCGTACAAAACTATGGCGGAAAAGGGCGCACAAAAAAGAAAAAGGTATATATATGGCGAGACGAATGCGAAGAGGATAGAAAAGAACTGATGAGAAACAAAGAGAATTTGTGAATGGAACGTCCTTTTTTCGTTTCATCTCTGCTCCTCGATTAACTCGTCGACAGTATCCGCTTTTATATTGTTCATCTTCAAAGGACTCGTGCGTCTTGCGAATTTTAGTTACTGTATCAAGTGACGAATAAAGAAATAAAAAATTCTATGTTTCAAATCGATGCTTATCGATTTATTAAAGCAGTAAAGATATTTTTGAAAATCATTTTGAGAGGTTATTAACCGACTTTTCAATCAATATTTTCTTTGTACTTATCGTACAATGACTTCAATTTTTTTTCTCGAAAGACTTTTGCCATAATAACGATCGTCGATAATATTTTAAATGAAAACATTAATTTTCCTGATGTTATTGAATTTCACGGTTAATTATATCTTGAAGAGCTATTTCCCCTTCCACTCCAAATTTAAACTAAAAAATTCGTTATAAATGTCTGAAGGATTTCTTTTTCAGACATTTATATTTGTCTATTTTTTTCGGTAAAATTAACTGATTAGGAATTTCTTGAAATGAAACACGTAATTGTGCTAGTGGCTATAATTGC